TTGTTGCCAATTGTCACATGCTATTCTTGAGTTTATTTTACAGATGGATAATCTACAAATGTGCATATTTGAACATTATACATGAGTTGTCAATATTCTATCCCATTGATACTGTTTTTCGACTGCAATACTTATCTAACAATCGGAAAGTTGCGAGTTCTTATCTTGGTTGCCGGTCCACGTCTTCCATTATCCGTCCATTGCAGGTAAAATGAGTACTGCTTTATAGAAATCCTACAGTGGTTGTCCTATGTCATGATGGCTACCACTGGCTCACTTAACGCCAAATTAAATTAGCACCACTCCGCACTCCTTTGAACATGGCGGCATGTTGATCTTTGACTTATGTTCCCAAAATACACATTAAAATAAATATATATTTGTGGTTTTAATAGAATTTGCCCTTTTGCAGCAAGGAATTAAGCTGCAAGGCGCATTATGAGAACTAATGTCCGTATCGTTACTTTCATCAGCTCACAAGTAGCTTTTAAGTTATGTTTAATTGCCAGTTATATTATTAGGGCCATGGCAGTGGCGATGTTAATCGAGGTGCCTTGCAGCGACATGAACCAGGGCTGTCTCCCATGACATTTTGCCAGGACAGGCCTTGCAGGCTTCTCTCCTTCATTCTCACACTGACAAATGTGTTGCTGGTTCAGCTTATTACTCAAAGTTTAGCAATGATCTTAAAAGGCTTATAGTTCAGTAAGTCATATCTTTTTTTAGCTCAGAATTAAGAAAATTACTTTAACGTTTTAAAAAGAAAAGAAATAAGTCAATGATGTAGAAAACATGTACTTTACAAAGCATTTGTAGTGCACTTTTAAAAGGCATAAGTCGAGGTTCAATGGCCAATGCTCATCCTCATTGACGGTCCTAATCCAGTGTTGTGAATTACAGCTTTCAGCGATATGGAGCAGTCTCTCCAGCATGCAATTTCTTACAAATTAGTACCTATTTGATCAACCCTGGAGTGATGATAGGTCGAGTACACCCCATAGTGGGATTTGAACTTGTGATCTTGACAATGTATGTCGAGCACTTTACGCACAGCACCAAGTGGTCGGCAAACAGATATATATTTTTAAATTCTATATTGCAATTGTATTATAACAAGTGTACTTTGGTAGGGACAATCACTCACGAAGACTCCAAATACGAACACAAGGATGTTGGACTCTATCACCAGCAGAAACACCATTTCTTGAGAGCATAGCAATGGAAGGAAGGGCGTAGGTGGAAAGTGGCTGCAGAGGTTTACCTTACTCAAACATAAACAGGTAGTGTGCACAGTGCATTAAAAAAAATCACATGTTGCAATGTGCATCCCTTAGTCTCCTCAACAGCGTTACTTACACCTGCAATCTAGTCGTTACATAAAAAAGTAGGCCACATTCTTCGTTAAATGTGTGTGGAATCTCAGTCAAATGTGCGATATAGGACGAGGTCTGTACAGTATTGGGTGCTGTATTTTATATTTGCTTCTGATTGGTTATTTCTGAATCCATGTTCATTATTGTATTGGTCACATAGGTCACGATCTTATGGGATTATTTCAACAGAATTGCGTTAAATGCTGGGGTGCTTGGCTCCCCTAGAAGGAGACTGGCTCCTGTTGAATTCCTATCACTGGGTCAGAGCTGCCAATGGAATTGAGCACCACTTCACACTCGTTAAGGCACCATTACTTGTCTTTGTTATTGATATTTAAATCTTGGGAACTTAATTTTGTTCGAAAGGTGCAAGAATTAATCAAACATCAACATTTCCATTTATAAGACTAGATTGTCAGGAAGATTCGTGGATTATGTATAAGTAGGCAATTGCGTCTCATTTTACTACATTACTCCTTAATGGGCGGGTGTCTTCATTCATCCTTTAAATTGCCTTTGGATTGTTTTGGTCCAGATTGCATTGAAGTTGCGATATGTGGCTGCAGGGTGTTTCTTCAAATCATGGCCTCATTAAGGGCACGTGCAATTTCAACATCACTTTAAAAGAGTCAGAATCTGTGTTCACGCAGTACTGTGCAGTATGAAAAATGAAATCAAATGTAGGTTTTACGCGAGCCTGTTTCATGTGTATTACTTTTCAGTGGCTTGCGAAACGTCGTTGGAGAGAGCCGATGTTTAAACAATTACATAATGGAAGAGGAGAGGATGTAAACGAGGAGAAATACAATCTCACAGCCCTTGTGGCAGGAGCTGCCAAAAACAAGGGGGAAAAGGCAAACATCCTCTGCAGGTATGTGCGCATGTACAGACAGCCCCTTGTGAATCCATTGCTGGATGAGGACCTTCGTATGCCATGAGGGTATTGGTGGTTATTTGACTTTACCTCAGTGCAGGTTGAAGGATGTAGGAGCACACGAGTACAGTACAACAATGGATTTTGCTCCACTGCCCTCTGCTGGCCACCACACGGTCCTTAAAGCCTATAGCACTATTTTTCATGGTAACCAATACAAGTGATACCTACTCTGATTAGTTTTTGAGATATGAATTAGGAGTTGGGCACATTCCAGGTGATTTGGCCATCAATCCCCAAAAAGGGTCTTGAGATTGAATTATGCTTTCTGGGTTAAACAGAAATAACTGGTCTCTCTGACGATGTGCTGTTGTGGTTATGGTGTTTGCTTCACAAAATCCATGAGTTCACATCCTAGTGGAGGTTAACTCATCACATCATCCCTCCAAGGCCAAGAAAATGAGAGAAGCCTACAATAGTCATCATGCACCATAAAAAATGCGGAATTTCCAAAATATAGGCTCAATGCTACGAGTGGATATGAGTAACATCCCAATATTAGATCGATCAGTTTATACATGTTGACTTACCCTTAGACTTTGATTTTACTAGCAGTAGCTTTGCAAAAATCCATGCATTTAATTATGCATGTGAAAAATAACATGTTGTTTATTTAGGCAAATTACTGTGTATGCAAATGCGTGAACAGTTCTACATGTAGGCAATGGGCAACAGCCAAAAATAGTCATATGAGACAGACGAAAAAAGTGAAACAGTGCATAATAGAGGTAGTACAAATAATCTGACTACCACACATTCCTGCGGAGGGAGCTGGTAGGAACGTTGGGTTGCTCGGTCAATGGCCAGGGTAGACGGCGGCGTGGTGTATTCCGCAAATATGCCCGACTGTGAGGGCGGGCACAAGCCGGCGTGAGTAGGTTAAACGTTGAGTTTTATAAGGGCACCACGGGATGACCAGCCACCCCCCACCCAGCCCCACCCTCCCCACCCCCCACCCAGCCCCACCCTCCCCACCCCCCACCCAGTCCCACCCTCCCCAGACAGCCCCTCCCGACCCTCCCCAACTTGCCCCTCCCCACCCAGCCCCACCCTCCCCACCCAGCCCCTCCCCACCCTCCCCAGCCCCTCCCCACCCCTCCCATTTTTGGATCCACGACGGACGGACGGACACAATAATCCCCTGTGGGCTGGTGTAACCAGGAGGTTCCTACCAGTAAAATACATCTCTGGATCGAATCGTGGTCCTGAGTCGTGAAAATGTATCTAACCACCTTGGGGCGTGAATAATGCCACCCTTAGTGATGAGCATATGGCTTGTTCGTCGTATTCAAGTGGGGGCAGCTTGTCTGCTGTGCTCAGTTCCACGGTATGCTTTCATGCCAGGTGAGCGTGTGGGCCTTTGTGACGTACGAGGCCTCATCACTCCCCCCACCCCTCCGTGCCCTACAAACAAAAGGGAAGGCGACACCACCACTACCACCACCACCACACCTGCCCTCCACTGATATAAAAAAATGAACCCCATCTCAAACTGCGCTAACGGCGTCCACTTTTGCCCCCCCTTCCCCCCCCTAAAAAATACGAACAAGTCATATTGTGCATCTTATATGTTAATAATGTAAGTGGGATATTTCAGAAAAAAAAAATTCTGGCTGTGGGTTTCCCACCTGATGATGGTTGTGTAGCGATCGAAACGTCGTGATTTAATTTATTTTATTTTATACCTACGTGACTTTACCGAAAGAACCAAAGAGTATGGATCCCTGCAGTCCCGAAAGCTTCAAATCTAGATTGAGATTTTTCAAGTAATTTTTTACAGTACAATTGACACTTTCTCAAGCAATTCTCAGATGACTCGTATTTTATAAGGTCCAGAGTGCGCTAATAATCATAACAAAGTCTCTTATCGGTTTGTTGCAGACGCCTGCAAGCAAGCACTGTGGTTTTTCGTGTGTGGTAAGTATTGCATTTGATGTTTTATCACTTTATTTTAAATCTATAATTAGTATTTCTAACGTTGAAGAAGAAGAAAGTTGTTCAGGCGTGGAACATGTTGTGGCTCAAACGTAGCGCAAGCTTTTAACATGGGACGAATCAACGGGAACACGAAAGATCGTTTAACGAATGTTGCGGAACGTATCTCTGTCGTTAAGCGAGACACGCCTGGAAAAGGCAATAAAACTCAACACATTCGCCATTAAAAAAAAGGACAACTACAGCATGGTATATAATAGGCGACGTTTCGGGCAATGTCCCCTTTTCGTGGCACATAACTAGAGAAGCACGAAGGTTTGAGCGGACAATAAGCGTCGGAGATTTGCGCAATTGTGTAAAGTATAACGTTTAATACTCTTAGGTTTTTTTTCTTCCGGTAAAGTCACGTAGGTAAAAAATAAATAATAAAAATAATAGAAATAATAATAGAAAATAAGTGATATATTATTTTATTTCTATTATTATTTATATAAATTTCATTATTTATTTTTACCTACGTGACTTTACCGAAAAAAAACCCGAGTATGAATCCTTGCAGTCACGAAAGCTTCAAATCTATAAACTTTAAACCGCAAATGGGAGTATAACATCCCTTTGTAAAGCATAGCCTGCATAGGCGCACACGTTTGGATCTCGTAGTCCGCATTAGCAGCCCAGTGGGAGAGTCGAGGAGTGGGGGGGGGAATGTGCGCACTACTTTTCTCGACGCCGCGTAGCGCAGGGATACAACTCGCCGCGTGGCGCACGGATACACTCGCCGCGGTGCTCCGCCCCCGCTGCCGCCATTTCGCCTCGGGCTCTTGAGACCGAGGCGGTTTCCAGCTGCCGCTGTTGCTGCTGCTTCGTCTTCCTCCCTCTACTTCCATAGCCTCCACTACAACATTCCCTCACGGTCAGTGTCTTCCCTTCACCTACACACACAGACACAGTCGGAGTCGAGCCGTGGCAGCGTTGAGCGAGTCGAGCGAGCGCGACAAGAGACTTGGTCGTGTGAGGAGTTGAGGCGGCTCTGGTGGTGATGATGTTAATTAACGAAGATGTTGGTGATGATGTTGAATCAACGAAGATGTTGGTGATGATGATGTTGTCGATGTTATCGTCTCGCTAAGTGTTGTTTGTTGTCGGATCAACTGTTTGGTTTTTGGTGGTAACTCTTATGTGTGTTGTTACGTTCGGGACTTAACTTGTAACTCTGTCCCGTATTGTCCTGTGTGTTCGATTCCAATCCTTCCTTTAAAGTTTTAAATCCCACTGCGAATATCATTACCGTGCTATTTGTACAGGGTTGTGGATAGTTCCTATTGTTACACGTGAAACTGCATTTGAGTTGAGAGATGCGTGCTGGTAAGTGATGTCCACTGCCGCCTTTAAACTACACAGGTCTACGTATTCGTGTTTCTTGTAATGCAATGGGTGATGGTGATGTGTGCGTTTTGTGTTTACTTTGTGTATTTTGTGTGTTGTGTATTTTTGTACTATGTGTGTTATGTTTTCTTTGTGTGTGTTTGGGTGTGTTTTGTGTTTACTTTGTGTGTTTTGGTGCGTATTGTGTGTGTTTTTGTGTTATGTTTTCTTTGTGTGTGTTTTTGTGTGTATTCTGTGTTTTGGTTGTCTTTTTGTATGTATTTTGTGTGTATTTGTGTGTGTATTTTGTGTCATTGTTTATCTTTGCTTTGGTTTACAGATGTATCATTAACTCATTACTCGTATGATTACCACCACATTTAAGCATAACTATCATTTCGATAGTAAGTACTGTTATTAGATTACATTTTAAAATGCGGGGCACTTAAAGTTGTATTGGGCACATGATTATTTATACTTGCACAACTGTGTGTACCTTGTGTATGCCACACGTTACACACCCTGTTGTAGAGTACAATGTGTATGTGTAGATGTATATAACACAATGTGTATGTGCTTGTCTTGCGTTCATTGTGGCTACTAGCGGTGGGGAGTAAGAAAAAGAGAGGCTCACTAGTTCGTGTTCAATATCAACATTCGGAGCAAAGCAACGCAAACCTCTAGGGGAAACAACCCCGACTGAGTATTGTGCAGACTCCAGTATCATAAACTCCAGGTAGGGGAAGAAGGGTGCTTTGCAAAGTTTGGCTGAGACATCTGAATGTGGTGGTGGTGGTTGTGGCTCTAAGGAGGTCAAAAGTCACGAGATTTTTCTTCCATGCGTGTCTTTTTAACTAGTTTTTTAGTGCCTCTAATTTGTGTTGACCTGCACACGTTTTGTACATGCGAAGCTTTAATTCACGCGTGTTTTACACACTATGTGTTAAATTGCTATTGCACATGTGCTTTGGAAGCACGGTGTTAAGGGAGATGGATGGGTTATGATCTTAGTGACTTGGGTTAGATTTTTATCGTTGGTGCACAACATCATTGGCATTTGGAATCTGATGGCTTTGACGAGATAGACTTGGCCATCAATGTACATCTGGGCTGGTTTGTGAGGTGGGTTAGAATGATTCACGTTAATAGGTTCTCGCTAACAGAATTTATTCCAACAAACTACAAGGTGAAATGGGTGATGTACATTTACACGTTTTAAGTATATATACGTTGATTGTAATATTTATTGGGTAGTTCTGTTTTTTTTTAAACATATACAGTACCACCGTATGTGTTCATTGTGCTTCTGTTGTTGAGTGTAAACGAGGACTTGCACAGGCGTAAGTTGGTTCGGGTTTAGTTTGCGGTGCCCCTAATTAAGCTTGCATTAAAGCGTTGGTTTAGGCCCGGTCTTTAAATGCTTAAAGACTAATCCAATGTTGACGTTAAGGGGGAGAATCCAACATGGTTTACAAAAAAAAGAGATCTCAGCTGCAGTCGTGAGTGGACCGCAGATTTCTGATCGGCGTTTCTCTCTGAATAACCCATTTGTAATAGTTTCACATACTTTAGCTACTTTAATGTGAGAGGAATTTTGTAACGTTTAGTTGTTCAAATTAAAATGCATTTCTAGGTGGTAGTACGACTGTAATATGCATGCATTATCAATCCTCAACGTGTGTCTTGCTTGGCAATATTCAGTAGTGGCCACCAATTGTATTACCGTACGGTTCCATCTTTTCAGAGTTATGCTAACTTTTGGTAGGCTGTACCTGTGGAGCTTAATCTGTGTTATTATTAAACACATGTTTAATATGGCAAGTGAAGTTGTATTTTATGCAGTGGTCAAATTATGGTAAAAATATATTTGCACAGGAGGGGTTTGGTATTTTGCTGATTGGCATGTTTTCTAACAAGCTATTAAAGTGCATACTATTTGAGGATAAAAGTACTACTACATATATGATACCCAGGAAAATAGTAATTCCTTTAAGCTCACAAGTGATAAAGTAATTGAAGGCTATTTTTGCATCCGTTTTTTTTCTACTTCAAGTCAGTGTTGACGTAATGAACTGCAATTGTAGCCTTGTAATCAAGTGCTATTTGCATATGTAAATAAACATTTAATATAATTATTAATTGTGGTTCGTGTACTTGGATCAAAACGCACCTTTACCCCCCACTACTTGTGCTGCTGAAATGCACAACTTAATGAAACATTCGCTCAGAAGTTTGGCTGCCAATATCAGCTTCAGTGGAACTTGAAAATAAACCAACATAATATTTAATTGTCAATGAATGGATCCTCTGGACCATTGTTTTACAATATAATTTTTGTTTAAAAAAAAAGCAAAACACTGGTCTTTAGTCTCTTCAGTCGTGTCCAGTTAAAGAAATGCTATTGGGGTTATAGGCAAGAGTCGTTCGTAAACACATAGGGCCCGAAGTCATATTCAGCAGAGTACAGCAGATATCGTAATGTTTTTTTTCCTGCAGGCATGGGCAGGTTGAAATTATAACTGGTCTGAAATTGTTACGCCTTTTGGCATTGTTGCTGATTCAGGTTGCAGGCATGTATTCACCATTGCCGAACACGTCAAACCCTTGTCACTGTTTAGTGTGTCGCTGTTGCAGTCGTGTGTCATGACGAAAGTAAACCATTTGAAAAGAATGAGATGAGTAAGACGGGGTAAGGCAGTCTGGTGGGTGTGCTGTGAAAACGAACCTGTGAATAAGGGGGGGGGGTTACTTATGTCTGTATACTCTTTTTGGTTCTTTCGGTAAAGTCACGTAGATATAAAATAAAATAAATCACGACATTTCGGGCGCAACACAAGCGTCCATCATACTTACGTGACTTTACCGAAAGAACCAAAGAGTATGGATTCCTGCAGTCACGAAAGCTTTAAATCAAGATTATGTCTGTATGGTGAACTTTTTTGCATCGTATCCATGAGCAGGTTTCCCTACACTATTATAGTATCATCTAGCTTGTGTGTGTAACTGCTTATGTGTTTTTGGGAGCAGTTGTTTGCATTCTCCAAACAATGCTGGCCTGCTGCATGTATTCCTTGTCATGAATAACACAAGTATAACGTGTTATTTGAACCTTTGAAGGGCCTCTCCTGGGTCAACTCAGTCTTAAGTAAATATCTGTGGTGGAGGGCAAGGTGGATGTTGGGTGTGTGTTCTGACCACCGAGTAAATACCTAGTGGGGAGCGGTAGAGTAGTGGTTAGCGTGCTCTGCTACGAACCCGGCGACACGAGTTCGACTCCCGCTTACGACCAACACCAGTGACGATTATCTGAACCTGTCCTGGGCCTCCCCTAGGTCGACTCTGCCTCATGAGTACCTGGTGCGGTGCATAAACATCGCCATGAGGGAGACAAAGGCGGCCTGGTGTGGTGCTAGTCATCCACCATCCATAAATTCCGAGCAGACCTTAATAAGTGTTCGCTAACGGCACTTGCCCCAAGTCTGTTAATACTATACGGTGGATCTTTGTCTTTTAATTGTTTCTGGCCACACCACCACCCTGTGCTTATACGAGCGTTCATAGGCGCTCGCTCACAGCACTTTGCTCCCTACAGTTCATAACGCCGAATAGTGGATCATTGTTGTGTTTGTTAAGTAGCGTTGAGTCAGAACTGTGCAGACAAGTGTACTTGGATGGCGATGAAGTCATTGGTGGGAGTGGTGTGTCCAGACTTCCTAAGCCATCTCCCATCCCCCGCCCTCACTTCAGTGCCATGTGAAGGGAGCGCCGTATCTGCGTTGTTCCGAATAAGGAGGGTTGTTGTGTGGATGGTGTGGCACGGAGGTGGGGGGGTTGAAGGGGCCGTGTGGTATGGGGGGGGACAAACGTTTTATTCAGTGCAACGTGTTTGACCATTGGCTCTTACAAATTCCCTGCCGTGTTTTTGTTGCATTTAATTCTGCAATCTTTTAAGTTGTTTGAAAATCGTCACCTAGATTAGTGAGCAATAATGCGCTGCCTGTTTGCTAAACCATTCATGGGATGAGAATAGGTTTTTCCCCTTTTATCTGGTAACAAAACAGGTGTTAAGTTGTTAAAACACCAAACTGAAACCTTTTACAAGGAATCATGTCTGCATTAACCACAATACCTATGGTCAAAACGCAAACAAAAAACTCTGATCATATATGCATTGTCTTTGAAACTGATTGGTCCACACCGGAGAGAGCTTTCTTTTGAGCCTCGTCTCAAACGCTGTTGAAAAAAACCTTTTCTCATATTTTGGTACTGGCAAAGGAGGTCATATGACGTTTATGGGATATGCATTTGGGATGCAGGGGATGGTAAAGTAACTTTACCAATGCTAGTGCTTTGGTATTGTAGAAGCAACTTGTTTTTCTTGGTCATTGTCGACATTTGATTGTATATTTAACAATCGCATTCAAGATAATGGTACCTTGTGTTTTACATTTGTTTTACATTTGTTTTATTGTGTGGTTAAAATTAATTGCCTCTTCAAACGAACAAGGGGTGGCACATATCTCCTTTGGCTGCCCTAAGACTATGGCGGGGTTGAGTCTGTATAGGACAGCCACAAATATTAATGTATTTTATCGACCAAAGAATGATAGGCTGAGTTCACTCCCGACTAGGATTTGAACTTGTCCTATGGTTATAAAGCCTAAAAGAGCTGCTTTTAGAATCTGCCATTGTGCACATTCCTGTTAAAGATGTAATGGGTCTATGAGCCATTAAACAACACGTGCTGTGCCGATCAACTGGACTCGCTTGTCTGCTCCCAGGACGCTTTTGCAGCAGGCTCTTTTCAGGGGCACTATGAAATTTGTTGGAATGTGACGCTGTTTGTCAGATAAATTGCTTACAGATGTAGGCCCTTGACTGAAAAAAAAGTGTTTTATGGGCTGGCGTTATATGAAGGTTGTATGCCGCTAAGCAGAACAACTTTCGGGGATAAGATTTAATGGGCACTTGAATCGGCAGTGAGCACTACTTTTCCTGGCCACCATCATGCTGCATTTTCGCATTTTGAGGTTCTACGTTGTACCTGTTTAAACATGAACCTCTTCACTGTTCTCAGTGGCCAGGTATTACAACAGTAATTTAGCCTGGAAAGAATGATGTGAATTTAAAGACTTTCAGGAGAGTCCTGCATTAGGTTATTTGTTTAATTTTAAGCAGTATTTTGCAATTGGAAGGAAGCCAGAGTACCTATCGAAAACCAATACATTACAATAGAATAAACGTCCTCAATCCAAGCACTGTCCTGCCATATCCTGGTTACTCGCAGCCCAGCTGCTTGGGAGTATCACAGCATATGATTTATGATCTGCCAACTTTTGAATCCAAAAATCTAGATTTCATGCATGTGCCGACCATGCCTGATTTTAACCATATTGTGGAAATTATGTTTATATTTGCTCGAGTTTCATTTGCATGTTATGTTTATAATGTGAATGTAGTGACTATAGTACATTTTGGAAGAGACATAGCACCGACTGCCACAAGTATGTGTAGGTGCCTAATATCCAGTTTGTTTTTTTAAGACTGTGTACTATTGTTGTAAATGCACTCTACACTGTTTTATCAGTTTATGATTTGGGTGCCAGGATTCATTTTTTGTAAAGATGAATAATCCTTCATTCACAAAAGTGAATGCAAGATATAGAAACACTGCTTAAAACTTTTACAACACTTGCTAAGTAGATAGGTGTTAAAAGACCCACGTTTTGAGCACCTGAAAGTAAATACTGTTATGCTCAGAAAAAATTGGTAAGTAACTTTTTCAACACTATAGAAGTTTGCTTAGTTGCAAAGTGTCCATGAGTATTTTTTGGGCAGTTGCAGTGGTCAAGTGTGCATATTCACTTTTTGCTGCAGGGGATTTTCCTAGGGTGGTTCTGAATGGGCCCCGACTTTCCAGATCCACAAGAGCTAACCTGGACCTGTGCCCCATGAATTTTAGGCTTCTTAAAAACAGAATTGGCTGAACTTTTGAAACAAAAAACAAGGCATTTCCGAATCTAGGTCATTGGTGTTGAGTGAATTAACTGTTTCAGTATTTCAGAAAAAAAAGAAAAGGGAGGGGGGTTAGTTAGTATTCTGATTAGCCAACCCGTGTTTCTCTCTGCTTTAAACACTAAGCTGTTGGGTACATTTGTCGATGGGATTTGTAGATGTTGTACTTGCAATGAGGGCATTCGTTAAGTGTCCATGCTCAACAAAATGACTTCTCTTGTTGCAGGAACTTTTCAAATAATCTTTGGTGACAAGGAACTTTCAACGAAAGATGTCCTTACATGGTAAGAGTTTTCTCAAATACACTGAATTAAAATGTGTGCATATGTATAGTGATCATACGTTTTATTTAATGATTTTAATGTAAATATATTGTCATGAATATTGTTCACGATGACTTTTACTTTGCATGCACAAGTAGCTATTGTGATGCATTTTCGTAGTTTTTTCCCTTAACTGCATTTCACGTCCCAACTAAATGTTCCAGGATCTGAAATAGTCTTTTCTTTGTTCAAAGTAAAGTCTCTCTAACATTTGTGTTTTTGTTCACATCCTATGTAATGCTTACCGATGTTGGTCAGACGTAACATTAAAGTCCCTTTTTGGTGTTCATTGTAAGGTTGAACTCTATGAAACCTGTTATTTGCACCAGTAGTCTTAAGCTGGTATCTCTTTCAAATCCAAAATACACGATAGAATAGATTATCAGGAGCACCGGTTTGGGAACCCCAGTTTTTAAGAAAATTATATGATGAGTAGGTATGATAATGAGCAGTGGTGTAAATATGAGTGAAGGGCATAGGGGGGTACATTATTACAAGTTTGCTATCACCCAAAATAGGAATATGAATATGTAATTCGCCATGTACATGGTGTTTAGCGAAAGTCAAAATTGGTCATCCTATGAAGAGACTGGCTCCCACCACATAAATGTGGAGTTTCCGTGATTGGCCTATGGGTGTGCCACTGGTTCCAAGTGTCACCCAAACAAATTTTTGGTGGGAGACACTGTCGGCAAGATTTACATTTATAGAAAATGGTTGATATACATTTATTTGTACAATTAACCTCATTGTAGGTTATGGAGACGAAGCAACTTTTCATATAATTCTGCACAAAACCTTGCAATTCCCGATAGATTCATATGGCCTGTGGTCCGGAGTGATATTTGTTGGGGAGTGCATGTGCCGGAGACCCACACACCGATTTGTCACTTTTGCAGCCGACCTGATGGAGTTGGACATGGCGGTGGATCCTGACCGTAAGGTCCAGGTGAGCCAGTGGCAGCAGCAGTCCTACCTGGACTCTGGCATCCACTCCGGGGCAGTCACACGCACTCAGTCACTGAACGGCAAGCACCTGGAGGACGAGCAAGCCGACTCGGCACTGGGCTTTGAGTGGGAGCAGGGCTTCCAGCACCAGGGCTTCAATGCCAGACAGGTTGCCGGTGAGTACAACGATCGCTCAGTAAGCATGGTGTCTTTCCTCACTTATTTCCCCATCTACCCGGCTTCTCCCAAGTTATAGTTTTACTGGCAGGCCTCCATGTCAGTTCAAGATAAAGCTGTCCCATATTCTTAACTTAGTCTTTGTTTGTACTTCCATGCTTCTGATTGTATGCAGATTATGTGCCTCACAGCCAAACTGACTTAGGTGGAAACTTGGGATTCAACATAAACACCCAAAACTGCTCATTCTTAAGGAGATTTTGCATAGTAGTGAGAGAGACTTCCCAGATCCTCTTGCATGACTGCCTTGTTAGATTCTTTGGATTATTTTTTGTCGCTTATAACGGCATGAAATATCTTTACTGTTGTCATATTTCCCGTGAAATATTTCAGCATTATACCCTGGCAATGCAAGCCAAACAACAGATGCCTTTGTCTTCTGTAAATGTCCCTGGCATACTGTGTATCATGGCAACCACTTATCAAAAGAAAAAGGGTCTCCATGCTCAAACAAGTGTGTGGGGCAGTGCTCCTCTCCATTGACAGCCCTGAGCCAGTGAGCGGGAATCGGTCATCTCACAGCACAACCACAGTTTGCTTCCCATAGTGGTACATATATCAACCTGAGAGGAATGATACTGGTAGACTTGTTTGGCCTTCAACCTGGATATGAACTCTCAAGCTTCCATTTGTTAGTGAAGAACTTGAACCAAAGCTGTCACCCAGCCTCACTTTTGCATTTACAAACTTTTAAACGAGGCAAGCTGAAGTGCAAGCACAGTCTTCTTGATCACAACGGCTGTGGTTGTTCTCTGCGTGTGCACAGCTGCTTCTGCGCCATGGTTTAACACTCGCTGTTCTTCCCTCCTCCCTGCTCAGAGGTGGAGACATCGTATGCGGCGACGCGTGCCCACCGCGTGCGCGGGGCGCTGTTCCCTGAGACGCTGGAGGAAGGTGTGCAGGTGATGCCCACGCAGTTCGACGGGAACCACCCGACCAACGTGCAGCGCCTCGCCGAGCCCGCCCAGATGCTCAAGAGCGCCGTCGTCAATCTCATCAACTACCAGGACGACGCCGACTTAGCGACACGTGCCATCCCTGAGCTCACCAAGCTGCTCAACGATGAGGACCAGGCACGTGAGGGGTGGCAGGGAACAGCTGATAATGCACAGTAGACCTCTAAGGATTTGCGATTAGACTAGCAATCTTGTGCTTATTAGTCACGCATTAAATTAAGATAGTATGAGGTGGTACGGATAAAAAAAAGTGCAGATGAGCCAATTCGAATGGACTCTTGAATTGACTTGTAATCGATAATTGATTGCAGAAATTATTTAAAAGTGGGGGTGGTTGAATTATTTCATGCCTGTGGTCAGCACATCGCCACTTTGTGCCGGTGATTACTCCCCTGGACTCGTGGTTATTTTCTGGCAATAAGATTTTTTGTCCAAATCTTGGTCAAGAAGAACCAATTTATTGGAGATTGTGATATGCAAATGCATTGTGCAATTAAGTTATCTTTCGGAAAATTATTAAATCTCATATTTTCAATATGACACTTAATTCTTAAACTCAGAATTAATATTGTGATGCGCCGCTGGTCAATATTGTAAAAACAGCACAATATAAGTAAGGTTTGTATTTCATGTGCTGAAGTTAGTCAGCCAATGAGCCTGGAGTGACCGCGTAGCACTATTGGCCTTAATTTCACATTCTCAGGTGTTGGCCAGGTTTTCCATGGGATAACCACTCTTGATTTCCCAGTGTTACTTGTTTTATTGACATTGATGATGGAAAAATCATAATTTTTGACCCCAGGCAGCAATTTTAACTCCTGTATTACCAATTGTCAGCCAAGCCCACTAACTAATGTGCCACGGAGCTGGCATTTATAATATGAGTGCCCTTTATTTATCTCAGAAAACCTTTCTGATCCTCAGGACTTTTTCTCAGGGGGGTCATAGTTTGGGATGTTTGGCCAATTTCTTTATAAGGAGTGTTTTACATGTGGAGGGTGGAAACTGGAGATGAGCAACATACGTGAGGAATAACACTCGCACAAGTCTCTTCATTCTATTGGCCACCAACATGTCCCCCAGCCGCACTTGGAGAAATGTGCACTCATTGCTTGTTATACTTAATTTTTTCCCTTGTCTCTTGTCAGGTGGTGGTGGGCCAGGCAGCCATGATGGTGCACCAGCTGACGCAGAAAGACGCGGCGCGTCTCTCCATCATCAACTCGCCACCGCTAGTGGCTGCACTCGTGCGTGCCATGCAGAACACGGGCGACGTAGACACGGCACGCCACACTGCTGGCACACTGCACAGCCTCTCCCACCACCAGCAGGGCCTGCTCACCATCTTCAAGTCTGGTGGCATCCCTGCCCTTGTCAAGATGCTCAGGTGTGGCCTGCTATGCTACGGTATCGGCTGTCTGGTAATAACGCTGGTTTGTTCTATCTTGCGTGTGTTAAGCCTGAACTTCTGATCTATACGTCGAGCAACCGGGACGTGTTGGGCATCTGAACGGGACAAAAGTTGATGCGTGAGAAATGTGGATTTAATGGATATTTTTTAAGGTTCTTTGCCCTGTCCTTTGTGTGAAAAGCCTTTGAAAAATCCTACCAGAATTACTATTGGTCAGTATGTGTGATCTTGGTGTGCGGAGCGTATTGTTTGTTGTGGAACTAATGCAGGAAGGACGAATGGGGCAAGGCATTCTAATGTCATCGCTTTTATGACATTGCTCTATTGTGCATTGAAAGATAAACCACATTGTGCCTAGCTGAGCATGTAACTGCTTGCATAGTCTAGCTAGGACATCTTAAGCATTGTACACTGATTTTGGTGTACATACCAGATATTCGAGTGCCTCTGGTGAATTGTATGGATGTTGAACTTCTTTTAGACTGTACGTTGCCAACCATGATAATCGGATGTATTGTAGAAGGCACCAGGGTAATACATGTGCCATTAATTTTATCCACTGTCTTAGTTGAACATCAATTATCGTTCACATACAATAGTTGAATAAATAATACATCTTAAGACATACATAAAATCATCACTTGAGTCCTGCATTTAAATATTTTGCTAGTTTTTGTTCATTGCATATGTTCTCACATATACATCTTCAAACCCACATGCATAAGGAGATGACTCAAAATCTATACAGACAGGTTCAGAGCTCACTAACTGTATACTTCCACCTCGCAGCTACGCCGGTTGGCGATTTTCTTAAAGATAATGCTGATCTCTGTATTTATTGTCCACCAAAGCTGCTTTCAAAACACCCGTGTAAAGATTTGCACGATCACTCAGATAATTGTATTTGGGCTTTAGCTTGAGGCCTCCGCGTGCGTTGCCCCTGCAGCTCTCCCGTGGAATCGGTTGTGTTCTATGCCATCACCACACTGCACAACTTGCTGCTGCACCAAGAGGGCAGCAAAATGGCCGTGCGCCTGGCTGGTGGCCTGCAGAAGATGGTGGCGCTGCTTAACCGCACAAACGTCAAGTTTCTGGCCATCACCACAGACTGCCTTCAGATCCTCGCCTACGGCAACCAGGAGAGTAAGGTTCGTTGGAGAGCAAGTGGAAGTAGTCCAGGGCTGTTTGAGTTGCGTGAGGACATATAACTGCATTGTTACAAATAAATAGCGACATGTAGCCTAATACAAAGACCTCAAATATGTCTACATTTATGGAATTGTAAAAGCCCTTTATATATACGTGAAGCCTTTTGACTCCAGACACAATTTCAGGAAAGTCTTGCTTTGGGAAGTTTTTTCTTGTTTTTTGCATGCGGAAGAAAGTCAGAGTTCCTAGAGAAAGCACACACATGAAACGATAATATCTTTATATCCTATTCATATTCTTAGGTTTTTTCGGTAAAGTCACGTAGGTAAAACATTAAAATTAATAAAAATAAAATAAAAATCACGACGTTTCGGAGGCAACACAAGCTTCCGTCTTCATCTGTTTAGAGTAGTTAAGTGAGGTGGAGCTGTTGTGGAGTGCTTTATTCGCATTCGAAATGTCGTGAGTTCGAATCCTGGTTTTTTGACTTGTAATCAATAATTGGGTCAATAACTTTCATATTGTGCTTATCGTTTTATTGTCCATAGAGCACTTGAATAATAATTCAAAGCTGTGAAATAAACATTTGATGAGTAGTCTACTTAGTCTTTCATTTTTCTCGGGCTAATTAAATAAATACTTCTTTGTGGTAACTCAAGAGTGGTTGTCTTATGGAAGGGTTGCCCTTATCACAGAGGAAGTGTGAAATTTGCACCATTGGCTTAGGCCCCAAACGCAGATGAGTACACAGTCATTGACTTACAAACACAATTCGTTCCTGGGGCCCGTTCGTAAGTCCAACGGTTCATAAGTAGGAACAGTAATCTACTGTATTTAAATATCCACACACAAACATTCACTCCTGGCACGAGGCTAACTCCTTACATCTCGCAGAGGATCGCTCAGCGAAACAAATTGGTTCCACGGTTCAATTTGCAAGTGAGTTCCTGTTTTAAATAAATGTTAAAAACAAATATTTAATCGAAGCTGGTTGGTAAATGCGGGTGTTCATAAATTGGGTGTTCGTAAGTCGAGGACTGCCTTACATCATACCACTTATGTGAGAGTGGAGATTTAGACCTAAATAAGTTGTGAATAGACATGTAGCTCTGTGTTTTTTAGATTTCTTGTCATGCAGGACTCTTCAGATTCAAATGTTCAATTTGTGTCTCGCAACACCCGCAGCTCATCATCCTGGCAAGCGGCGGCCCTGCGGCGCTGGTGCAGATCATGCGCACGTACAACTATGAGAAGCTGCTTTGGACCACGTCACGTGTGATCAAGGTCCTCTCGGTGTGTTCCAGCAACAAGCCAGCCATCGTCGAGGCTGGTGAGTTGGTTCGTACTCATGATGTGGCTTCATAAAGTGCTCTCTGCTAATAGCACTTGCACTATGATGTCTGAGCGTATATGCTTTGTTTATGAATTTGTGTGTTCATGTTTGTGGGTTTGTTTGCATATGTGTGTTGAGTTGTCTGTGACTATATGTATCTGAGAGAGTACATTTGTCCTTGTGTATGTGTGCAGGAGGCATGCAGGCTTTGGCTCTGCACCTGTCCCATCCAAGCCAGCGCCTGGTCCAGAACTCCCTGTGGACTCTTCGCAACCTTTCCGATGCTGCTACTAAGCAGGTATTATGCGACCTTTACAGATGTCTGGTCCAAAGTGAACTTACGAATTAAGTAATTGGAAACGTTTGTTTTACATTTTGCTTTGGCAACTGAGAGTAACCTAGGTATAATTGGTACTGTGCTGCAAGCAAACGCTGATGTTTGGTTGGTTAGTAAGCATGGGATAATTAGAGATTCTGGATTTGAAGCCATGGCGTAAAATAGTTTCCGGATAAGCAGCACTGCATATTTGAGTGGAAATACCGATAAAAAATATCTAAATAATACATGGATGTGCCTACATGGAAACAATATACAAATTGTTGAATAAAAATGTTTTTTCGCCACATGACCAATCATCACCCAACATTGGCTGTACTCAAATCCAAAAGTACACTTTACTTTGCTTGGTATGTAGGTCTACATGGGTAGAATTAGGGTATGAATATGATATGGGTATGATAGGAGTTGGGGGAGTGCTATGGTTGAGGTTGGAGAGGAGTACGGTTGGAGTTGGGTTGAGAGGAGAAATAATTAGGGTTAATATAGGTAGAGTGTGGGTAGGGTAGCATAGGGATATAAGGTAAGTTTAGGATTTGGGTAACAGGCTAATATTGTCGGGTAGGATAGTGTTTGGGTAAGGATAGTGCATACATTCAGGAGGTGCCGTACAGTGAGCACCAAACAGCAGTGACCTATTCTGGGATGATTCTCAACAGAAGTGATAGTTGTGGTGCACCTGGAGCTTGTGGGCTGGTGCCTCCCCTAAGCAGGCATGTTGCGTTCGCCAGGACAACATGGATGGGCTGCTCCAGATGTTGGTCCAGGCGCTGGACTCCAGTGACCTGAATGTGGTGACATGTGCTGCGGGCATCCTCTCCAATCTTACCTGCAACAACTACAAGAACAAGCTCATGGCCTGCCAGGTGAGACAATGCCCCTATTGCCCTGCTGGCCATTGCAACTCCTGGCCATTTACTGTTTGCTATACAGTTGATGCCATTTAAGTGTGTTCAGTCTAACTACCAGGTTTAAAAAAATACATCTACTGTGTTGTTGGTTTCATGTTTGTACAATTACTTAGCAGTAACTCTTGATTCACAATTGGAAGGACACATCTCATATCCCAGCTGGAGGTTGACTCCGACCTATTATCCCTGTGAGGTTGATAAAAAATTTACTTTTGTGGGAAGTCGGCTCTGATTATTTCCATGTCCACTACCATGGAAGTGTGGCTTTCTATTGCTTCCTTCCAGATGCAACAGGTATTACTGCTACCCCCAATGCTTGTTGATCAGAGAATTTGTATCTTATATATGCATATGTAACTTAATCAAACAGCAAAAGCCTGGAGTGCCTGCACTTCAGTGTGCATATCATATGGGCCACAGTTCATCCATTCACCCAATAACATAATTGAAACACCATGGCTGTCTTTCAGATGGGTGGCATCGAGGTGCTGGTAAAGACCCTGATGCAGGCTGGCGACCGTGAGGACATCACAGAACCGGCTGTCTGTGCTCTGCGCCACCTCACCAGCCGCCACCCCGAGGCCGAGATGGCCCAGAATGCCGTGCGCCTGCACTATGGGCTACCTGTTGTGGTGAAGCTGCTGCAGCCGCCCTCACACTGGCCGCTCATCAAGGTGATTGGTGCACGCCCTGCTTGTTCAATAATCCTCTTATAGACTGATATCGTCATCTTCAGTAAGAACCCATTGAGGGAAACATTTCTCCTTTAGAAGACTGTAAAAAATATAAAATGAGTGCCTATTTGGAAGAGGTTGTGTGTTTGTCTGATGGGAAAACTTCCCGACACCATAAGTATGTGGAATTAACATAACTTGCTCCAAGCTACCATTGAACAGCAGTGCTGTTTGATTATAAGCATTGTGACTTCACTTTAGAGGAAAGTAATAATGTCTTGATAATTTTCAGCCAAGCGGGTGGAGCTGTTAACATTGTGCTTGGTGTTTGCTGCTGTCTTTATGCAGGCCGACGTGGGGCTCATACGCAACTTGGCGCTGTGCCCTGCCAACCACGCGCCCCTGCGTGAGCAGGGCGTGCTGGAGCGGCTGGTTCAGCTGTTGGTGCGGGCGCACCAGGACACGCAGCGTCATACCATGGGAACCATGCAGCAGTCGCAGCCGGTAGTGGGAGCACCCCACACATACACACTACACGTCCTCCCTGTGTGCAGCTGTGTGAATTAAAAACTGATAAACGTGTTGCCTAGTAATGATATGGTGATGCATGCCTGTACTTTAGGGACTTGGTTCGGGGATGACACAGGGATTGAACCATCATTTGGGAAGAGATACTCGGCTCACAATGCAGTGATGTGTCTCTAGAAAGTAGTACAGAAAATATGTCTATAATGTATCTTTACATAATATATTCCTATGTTTGTGGAGATTTATTCTCTGGGCATTCTGGTATCCTTGAACAAGGAAAATACTCTAGGAATTAACCAATTGTCCGACAGCCACTCATTGTCCAATTCTTAACTCAATGAGGCTATCCTGAATAAATGCAAATCATTACTGGATTTACATTGCTCATATATTGTAGACTATTGATATTTTACCAGTTTAGGGCTTATATTAAGTGCATTGATTCATGTATATATCTATAAAACATAATTGTAAAAGTTAAACATTGAAAATCTATTCAAGTGCTTTACATTAGCACGTGTAATTTTCCAACAGCTGGACAGTCCTATTGCCAAGAATGTTTACATCAGTGTGGGGACATGGGGTAGTGCCCTCTTTAAGCATTACAGATTTGCCACTACTGAATTATAAGGTGTGTGCCGATCTTTGTGCATGAGCAGTAGTCCAATTGCAGTGCACTGCTATGAACCCGCTACCCGAGTTTCAATCCTAGCCATGATTTTTCTCGTTATTGGCACTTGCCATCTGAATCTGTTCTGGGTTGCCTGTGAGTTAACTTGCACTTAAATTAGTACTTTGGTATGCTGTGTAAAACATCAGCACTGGGAACCCAAAGCAGCTGTACATTGTACTGGCTACACCAGCTCCTTGTGGACCATGCCAGTTTTAATGTGCCTCTTATGGTACTTGTCCCCTAAGAACCATGACATTTAATGGGGGATTATCTTCTTTGTGTGTGTGTGTTCATGGAATAGGATGGCATCCGTATGGAGGAGATAGTGGAGGGTTGCACTGGTGCTCTGCAGATCCTGGCACGAGATGCTGCCAACCGTGAAGTTATCTACAGCCTCAATGTCATCCCCGTTTTTGTGCAGGTGTGCCACTGGCAATGATTCCGTTGTTGCAAAACACTTTGCTGTTTGTGTTAACCTGTCACTTTTGGTTTAAATAAACAGGACATGTGCGGACTAATTATGAAAATGATCCAAACATTTGACACAAATGATGAAGATGCATGAATAAGTAGTAGGATGACTAATGGGGTTAAGCCATCTCTGCTGTAATTCTAGGTTTAATTCCTCTGCTCGTTCAAGGTAAAACAGACTTTTGTATGTAATGATGATGGTTTCAGCCCATACAGCAATGTATCTACATTAATGTGTATTTAAATGTTGCACTTCTATTTCAACTTGCCATATCATTCCTCCAGAGATGATAAAATGGATACTACTATGTGGGAAGTCAACGATGGTCATTCTGTGTAGACACTCGTTCCCCAATAAGATTGAAATTTCGAACAGTGGTTCTGGAATGCCAACAGTGATCACCATCACATGACGATAATTTGAGGAGCGAGTCATGTTGTACTTTTTAAAATCGCATATTGGAGTTTGATCCTTATTTTAATAGATAAGCCACAAATTCAAACGCTCATACTCGTAAAAAGGTGCAATTGAGGTAAGAGATTGATTTCAGAGAGCAGAATTATATCGGTTATGTCATGTTTCAGGATCGTTCAACATCTGTCCAGATATGAGGCGCACCTGAAATATAATTATTGAAAACTGTAATATGTATGATCCCTCAATATCCAAATGCTATCCAAATGCTATGCAAATGTAATACACAACACTGCACATGTACAAACACCTTAATTGAATCTATGATGATGTCGAACAGATGTCGTAGTTACCCATGTAGGGTGGGTGACTTGAGTGCTTATGGGCACGTTTTTCATTAATGCACAATGTTAATCTTGAGATGGTGCCACATCCCTCTTCGCTGCAGCTGCTGTACTCGAACAACGAGAATGTGCAGCGCGTGGCGACAGGGGTTCTGTGCGAGATGGCGCAGGACAAGGAGGCGGCCGATGCCATCGAGCGGGAGGGCGCGACGCCCGTTCTCACCGAGCTACTGCACTCGCGCAACGAGGGCGTAGGTGAGATCCACAGCGTTTGCTGCAGCTGGGGTTATATCAACAGTGATGGTGCCTCTGGCAGCAACAGCTGCCAGGCAATTGGTGCTTTGAGGTCACCAGGAGTAGATGGCAAGTGATAGAGGGACAGACCCAGGCAATGTGCTTTGGAGAGGTGAAGTCTCAAACGGGCAGGAAGTAACAAAACACTGGGTGTCATGGGTTAACAGACTTATGTGAATGGCATATGGAGTCCACTAGCTGCACCTCCCCAGTGTTACATTTGTGAAATTGGACATTGGGCTGTTCTATACTCTAACCCCACAATACATCACAATGCCGAACCTGAACACCAGCGACAGCACGCTGGCAAAATTGTCTTTTGTAACCTGTTCACATACACGAATGTTGAATACGTCTTGACATGCTCACACCACACCCCATCCTTAATCACTGGAGGTTTTGTGTGTGAAATCCAACAGTGGGTTTGCACTCCATCTCTGGTAGCTTAACGGCCTTGCCTCCACCTTACCCTGAGAAGTAACAGTGATGGTTATTGAGATGTCGGTGAGGAAGACTTCTCGGCTACTGGCATAAGCTGTGAACAACTCTGCCTTGAGGCACATTGCACAGTTATTGTGTTATAATTTAGGATGGCATCATTGAGTTGGCGGAATGCCAGTAGTTGAAAGTCTACAATTATAAGACCCGTAGCCATCTCTTAATAGGAATGTCCACTGTGGACTTGTCAAAAAGTAGTACTCATTGAATTCATAAGGAAGATGATGTTGACCCCTGGCGAGGTATTGAACTTGTGGCCATCCAGTTTGAATATCCACTGACTGGATATCTAGATTGCCTGCTAGAAACATGTATTGCCTAATACAGGTTACCTCCTTTGTACTGTGAATGGGCATCTCACATGACTGCTCCATGTCTGCATGAGTCATCAACCCTTTTTATGCTTCTGCCCTGTGCTATGTGCCCACAGCGACATATGCGGCAGCTGTGCTGTTCCGCCTGTCGGAGGACAAACCCCAGGACTTCCGTAAGCGCCTATCGGTGGAACTCACAAGCTCTCTGTTCCGCCATGACCCAAATTCCTGGCACGAGGTAAGGGGGGAGCCTCTCTTTCTATACTCCACCTTTATACCATAGGATATAGGTGATGCAGCTTTGAAAATCTTGCTGGGTTATGATAGCATTTTAACGGTTTTGTGAGTGCTGGCTGTGTGGCTCAGGGGCCTGAGACATGAGTCAAACCCATGGTAACCACAAGATCTGTGATGCTCTATAGAAGAATATTTATACTGGAGGAATCGGATGAGCTATAACGCAGTTTTTTTACATATGTCCAATCGATATATATTCCAAATAATGGTGGCTAAGTAGTTATAATAAATAAACTCATTCGGGCCTGTGTCATCACCATGAAATAAAAGTTAGATTCACCAGCCAGTGCTTTCCAGACTACTTTTTTCTAGTAGCATTTAAGTAGGCTAGACCTCTGGATACTGTTGCAAATGCTGCGGAGTTGCCTGGTGATATAGGCAAGAGCCCTCGATGAACACCATAGAGCTGTTAAACATAATATCGCAAAAGTGGATGGATTCATGCACTTTGTGAATTGTGGGAAAGAAAAGTAAATTTAAAAAAAATAACGGTCTGACCAAAAAAATGTATTTCGGTTAATTGTGCAAAATAGTTTTTGGTGGTGAGGTGTTGGGTCTGAACCAGTAGGAGCATTCTAGTCATGGACAAATTGCCCTGGTGTTTTATGCCTATGTTTGGTAATGGTTTCTGTTCAGGGAGGTGACATGCAGATGGACATGCTTCCTCCTGGAGACCCAATGGCCTATCATCCAGAAGGTATGTGGCTGTGCTCTGTAGGGGAATGTGTGCATGGTTTATGTTATTTGAAATAGTTTATCCTTGGAGCTCTTATGATGATCACAATCCACTCACTCAGAAGATTGAGAAAGAGCTCAAAACCATTAATAAAAATGTGTAATCTTTCTTAGGGGTTCTATAGAAAAACTTGCCTCTCCAATGGAGATTTGGCATGAACATTTTTCTCTTCCAAAAAAAGAATACTACTATTACTGCTTTGGAGGGACAGTGTTCACCTGAATTAAACCATAATCAGGATTTTGAGTCAAACGCCCTGAATAAAGAATATTATGAATAACAAAAATGTAAACTTGCATTATACTAATTTGCTGGCTGTAAATGAATGAGTCTTCTCCCCGTTCTCTCTGCCCTCCGAAATGGCCCGTGTGTAGACACTGGCTTTGGGCCATACCACTTGAGCCCTGGCTTTGGGGGTGCGGAACTGTCAGGTGTGGAACCCATGCTGGAGCACGCAGTTGCTGACTTTGGGGTGGAACCTCTGCCAGACCTGAGGCACCACACTCAGGACTTGAACTTCGGGCTCCCTCCACCCCCTGACAACAGCCAGCTTTCCTGGTTCGATACGGACCTCTAGCCTGAGCAAGCAGAGGTGGTAAGTGCTGCATTACATATCCTGCCACTTTTATTGGGAATAGGTCATGGTTTATTTCTCCTAATACAACCATTAATAACATTTGTATTTGTAAAGCAGCTAAATTCAATCACATGTTCAATAGTCAGGGTGCTCTGGTTTCCTCGCATATAAAGCACTTGAAAAAAGTACATGGCCAGACATCTGAAATTGCAGACCACATGAGGGTTTTCCAGATGGAGGTCATGATATACTAGTGCAAAGCCCGTTGATATTTCGGAGGTATTTAATGTACTTTGATTGGAGTTTATTCACCTCTGAAATGTCATGAATTAAATTTACTGAAAATTATTCATTATAATTGCATACTAAAACAATTATAATATGTATACATCGTCCACCTGTTAAGAGGCCACCACCTGCTCAATTGAGATCCTGTGTACCCACGATAATACATAACTAGAACAGAACAATGCTGCTTCTGAAACAGCTTTTGCTCAAATATTGTTTTCACGTGTGGCCCTTTGAGCTTAGTCCCTTCCCATCTTCCTCTGATGGAATATCTATTACTAATATAGTTTCGATTTAAAGCTTTTGTGACTGCAGGGATTCATCTTCTTGGTTCTTTCGGTAAAGTCACGTAGAATGGAAATAATAAAAATAAAACATAATAAAATAATTCTCACGACGTTTCGGCCACAACACAAGCAGCCGTCCTCAGGTGTAGAACAGGTCTGTCGAGAAGACAGACTCTGTCTCTGTTTGCGTTGTGGCCGAAACGTCGTGAGAATTATTTTATTATGTTTAATTTTTATTATGTTATTATTTCCATTCTACGTGACTTTACTAATATCTTATTAACATCATTGTCTGGTTTTAAATACAAATTTGGGCCTTCATTGATATTGTTTAATTCATGTCACTGATCCATCGTAGTTCCTTAGAAGAACCCCCTTATAGATTTGCACTCAAGCCTAACCTGTATTGCTTTGTCATGTGTTATATTGTGCTTACCTGAAAAGACACAATAAGCATTATTCTGCTACCTGTTAATTATTGTACCTGTGCTCTTGTTCCTATCCCCATTATTTTTTTCCGAGAGGCTGTTTAATATATTATGCCTTGGTTCTCAGTCGCAACTTGTTCTGATGGGGGATGGTAGGGTGTGACAATGAAGCTTTGTACCTATAAGTTACTTTTGGTAAAACGGTAAGCTACTGAAGGAAGTCATGGTAGTTTCTACAATGCACTGCTCAAATCCTTGAGTTCACTGTTTCTTGAGCAACAGCTGATAATACAATTCATTTGTGTGCTCCAGAATAGAGTACTGCTCCCAAATTTTGGGCTGCAAATACTAAACTCTGATATAATCTAAAGTACTTCCTATTAAGCATCCTTGTATGACATTAACATTAACTATTTACCATTACCAACAAATTCCTGCAGGACAGTAATCTGTGTTGTCCTCATGGTTAAGCAGAGGTAGAAGAAAGGAGGGAGTCTTGAGGGTTCACTGGATGTGGAAGTTTGAATAGATATTCATGGGTTTTAAGAATTTATTTTATGTTTACAGTAAACTTAAAATAGTTGTGAACAAATTTCGAAGATCATATGGCTTTAAAATTGCTTGGCCTTGTGGGAGCCTTAGTATGTGTTCTGACCTGAAGAAGTCCCGATAAAGTTATTTTATGTTTCGTTTTTCTTACGATTCCATTGGGAAAAGGTTGTATCCATTTCGAAAGCATTATGGCTTGCTGAAGATGTAAGCCATTCATCAGCAACTTTAAAACAGTCCATGGTCTAATCATGAATGTATTTTGTTTGTAGGAAACTCAAAAGAAGGCCCTTAAGAAACTGTTGCCGATGAAGGAACAAAGCAAGTGAACTGAAGGGTGTAGAGGCAATGAGTTGGGAAGAAGTCGAAGGAAGTGCCTGATATTCAAGAAATGATTGTTTCGGACAATTTTGTACAATGGTGTACTTTGGCTGAAATGTAGGTGGTAAAGGGGAAGAGGGTTGGCCTTCTTACATGGTGGCTATTTCATTGATATACTGTAAGCTTTTAATTGAGACTAGTTTATTATGTAGCTCGTGTTTTTTAACTGGGTATTTTACTTGTATTTTTAGGTCATAAAGACTTTAGTGTAATTTTGTATTACATTTGAATAAAATATCTTTGTAGCATTAACATACACAAAAGTAAAATGAACAATTCTGATAGAAATCGATATTCATGGACTTTTTCGTTCCTTTTTACTTATGACGCTTGGTTTTTAGGTGTAGAGGTGCCAAAATAATCTTTTGCATGACCTTTTTTTAAAAATCATTCTCTGTATACCTGCAGTTGGTTTGACACTAATTGATGAACATTTTTTTGTAAAACGAGCATTCCAGTATTAAACAATAAAGAATAGTTGTAGCTCTGACATGCTGTATCTCTTGTGATCTTATCTGATGTGGATTTGTCAAACGATGTGTGCTTTTGCAAGGCTTCTCTGGGACCTCGTCTTTCTTGATGGTGGCCTCTAGCCATTGTCATTGTATAATTGTCACCTTTAAAATGTGTTTCAAAAGTCAGGTGCTTGAGGCAGCAACTTCAAAGTTAACTTTGAAATCTGACTCCTGGCCATGCTTTGTTCTGGAAAGTAAAAAAATGTGCCTTGTGGGTAAATTTGGTTTATTTAATGTGGTTTTGTGTTTGCATTGCTACTGTTCAGTAAACGTCTTGGTTGTGGTCTAGCCTTACTTGGTGATTCCATCGCTATTCCGTGATGGTCATGTATCTTGGTTATAGGTGTGTTAACATTTATACATTTAACAAATACCGTTTGCAGTCTGTGAGAAATATTTTACTAGTCTAAGTTGAGGTAAAACTAGATTAGCGACCACATTACTATGTCATGATGTTTAAGATATGTTAAATGCCATTGGTGGGAAAATTTGTCTTCGGATTTTGTTCAATGCCAATCTGCCACATTGGCAGAATGATTTTCAGGTAAAATGTTGAGAGGTTTATTGCATTCAACTCACTGCTTTTACATCACTTCAGTCATTCGTAATGATATGCATCTGCTGTAGCATTTCATATTAACTTTATAATTTTTTTTACTTAAGATTTGTTTTTAATCCTTACTGGGTAATACTGTAGGTTGAGTTTTCAACTCAAAATTAGGTTGAGTTAAAATCCTCCATTGGAGGTCAGCTCAGTCATATCCCACTGAGGTAGTGGGAAGACAAGTGGTTGCCCTATAGTAAAACTGGCTTCCTAGCATTGCAATATGGAATTTACTGCCTTGGCCTCTAACAAATGACCATCACTGCACAGATATTTGTATATGGAGACACTGACAATATTTATAGTATTAATACTGCCTTGCACAGCTGTTAAATGACATGAGATTATCAGTCACCTATTTCAAAGTCCCCTTAATTGCCGTGTCAATTTCAAATGCCACAATACATACAAATATATCCACTATCGTGATGTGTAACTGATGTTAGGAGTATTGGATGTTTAATTATATTAAAACAAGTAATTTAGGGCAGTTTAACTAATTGACCGGGATTTCAATGTCACGTCCACTTGTGTAGACACCTGTTGCCACAACTGTTTACGGCTGGATTAAGTTGACAGCAAATTTGTAGATGCAGCACAGGCTCCTTTGAAGCTGCTAACCCCTGTTAAAGCCCTGTAGCAACCAGGTGTGTTTGCGCGAACCTTGCCATATAAGGACTCTGCTTGATCTGAAGCTGATGTGGTTTGAGCTCAGGCCAAAAGCTAAAATTGCAGCAATGAAAGCTGGGCCCAGCCCCTTATGGAAAAACTGGTTTGCTCCAAGGTGAGAAGACAACTGTAACCAATGTTTACACTTGCTGGTCGTCACTGTTGCTGTGTTGCACAGCATTAAGTGACTGCTTGCATGTCTTCGGACAGCTGACAAGTGAACAGCTGACAAAACTCGCGATACTGTGTGATCATCATAGTCTATTAACGAGCAATGCTCATCTGTTGATGGCATATCCACATGTTTCCATAATACTGGGAGGAACCTGGTTACACCAGCCCACGGGATTATTGTGTCCGTCCATTGTGCAGGGAGGGGCTGGGTGGGGAGGGGCTTATAAAACTCAACATTTAACCTACTCACGCCGGCTTGTGCCCGCCCTCAGTCGGCCAAATTTGCGGAATACACCACGCCGCCATTGACCGAGCAACCCAACGTTCCTATAAGCTCCCTTTGCAGGAATGTGTTGTTAGACATTGGGCTCCAGCAATTCACCTTGACACAAAGTGCCAGACAATGAGAACATTAAGGAACCTTGAATGCTGACCAAAAAACCTTGTTACATTACAATATATAAGTTTGTACAAAATTATTCATATGTATGGCTAAAGAGCAGTGGTTCTTAATCTGGGGTGCACACACCCCCTGGGAGTGCGAGATGCCCTATCTGGGGGTGTGAGACATGCCAGATTTTTTAGAAGGTAAATCGAAACGAATTAAGCACTATTTTTCATTAAACCTATGTATTAACATACTTAGTTTTTTTTACGATTGAGAACCAAATTGCAACCTACTGACGGTTAAGTGCTCTGCCACAGCACATTCTGGCAGACTTTAATATTGCTCGTGTAAGCAGTGCATATAATCTAATCAAAAGAAGTCTTGAAAAAAGTGGAAAAGTTTGGATTTATTTTGGCGACGGACAACACGCTCAAATACAAACTTCAGCTGGCACCAAGAATTGTAAAACAAAGCCCATAGTGACTCCCATGGGGTCCTCCACAACACAGCTGATGTAACAACTGATGCTCTGTCATCTGAATGTTTTTAATTTCTAGCCCTGTCCCTTGAAGATTTTTATAATGCAACATATTGACAGGACACATAGTTGGACTTTCATTCCACAAAAATGTGCTGTTCACCATGGCAAATAAGGCCAGCGTTGACTCAATCGAGGCCACATCTGCTTGTGAGGGTGACCACTGGTGCCAAGGATGGCTGCTGAGTACAGTGTGGGGATGCGAGGTGAGTATAATGTCTCTTTAAAAGCAAACGATGCCCGCTGTTTTTCGTATCCTGTCTGTGGGGATGCCATGGCAGAATGCTCCCCACGATACCAAGAAGAGTGATCGTGAAGGCCCCAGGAAGGCAGTGGCAACATGGTGGCCCGCAGTCGACCAACGGTTTAACATGTTGGTCATCTGATAAACAGAATTTTTTTTTATAACATGCACTACACGATGGTGGCTTTTTATTATGCAGCCATTGTTCAAGGGGCTGAAACTAACTTCTTCCATCTTGACTTGAAGCTTTCGTGACTGCAGGAATTCATATTCTTTGGGTCTTTCAGTAAAGCCACGTAGATAGATCTTACATTGACATGCTAATCTCTCAATTCAATGTCCACCTCCGCAGCTTCGTTGTGGACGTAGCTCTCCGTTGTACCCCATCTTACATTTACATGCAAATTTGATCACTAGCCCCGCCCACTTTGCTTATGACCCTTGGGCTACACCCATCTCAAACCTTTATTACATCCTGCTGCAGCAGCTCTCCCGCTTTTTCACCTGATGACGATTGCTTGTGTTGCGATCAAAACGTCGTTATATTTTTATATATTTTTTATATCTATGTGGCTTTAACGGATGACCCAAAGAATATTAATTTCTGCAGTCATGAAAGCTTTAAATCAAGATTTAACTGCCTCTACGGGGAGTTTATCCACAACTATTAGATCGTTTAACAAACTTCGAGACAAAGGCTCATCTGATCGAGTCGCTCACTTTTCTGAAGAGATATCGCGACACTAAGGTAATACCGATCGCCTTTACACTCACATCTGCTGCTGTCACTTCTAATGCTAAACAGATCTTGTTCAGGGCCAGCCTAGCCCTGATCTCAGAGAGAATCAGATTGCTCCGATTTGAACTAGACAATTTTGATTTGAAGCTTTCGTGACTGCAGGAATGAATACTCTTTGGTTCTTTCGGTAAAGTCACGTAGATAGAAAATTAATAGATCGCGACGTTTCGATCACAACCCAAGCAACTGTCATCAGGTGAGACAAACAGCAGGAGAACTGTGATGTTTGCGTCAGCAGCTCCCCTGCTGTGTTTGTCTCACCTGATGACGGTTGCTTGTGTTGCGATCGAAACATCGTGATCTATTAATTTTATATCTTCGTGACTTTACCGAAAGAACCAAAGAGTTTAAACTAGACAACTTAGACAAGACTCTCTTGCAATCACACTTAACATTGACAGACATTTTTTCTCATTTTTCGTGGCTTTACCAAAAGACCCAAAGAATATAACTTCTTCGATTTGATAACGGCGAGCTGAAACCCGTATCTAAAACGAGATTTTAAACCTAAGTTTGGGTGGTACCACTGCCTCTCAAACATGACCATTGAGACCATTGAGTGATTCTGCCACCTGGGTTTTGTTGATATCTTTGTGCTTTTACTTGTCGACCACATTGCAGGGCAACATCGTAAAACAAAGACACTTTGTATTCACATAATTTACTTACATGATTGCCTATTAAGATAATATTTTCTCCCAAAACTAAGCAATTTAACTTTGAATATGTATTTACATAAGGCATACTTTGAGAAGGAAGAAGTATATTCTTCAGTCACGTTTTCACAGGATGTGCTGCAGAATCTCAGAAGCCAGGGATGCCACGGTCACATCTGCAGCAGAACTGAAAAAATACATCATGTTAAACATACATTCATACAGCACATCTTCCATAGACTTTTCACAAAATATGAAAATGTTAACACCTACATCTGCAGTGTAAGACCAGGCGTACTCTCAACCAATTAGAGTTCGTGAAAAGTCCGGTGTTAGTCTGCTCAAATTACGGGTAGTCATCTCTGTTGACAGCCCTGAGACATTTGTAGACATTTTACATTGCCATACCCATGGTCAGTCTTTTCCATAGGATAACCACTTTTAACCTCCCACAACATGGTACGTATCAACCCGGATAATTTACGGAGCCAACCCCTTGAGATTTCAACATATGACATCTGATCCTAGAGTCGAGGATTCTGACCACAGCGCCACCTGACCAGTACAACTTCTGAATAATGTGCGTGCATTGTGCTTTTCTCATGCGAGATGGGCACAAGGCCAAACAAAGCCACTAAGTCAGACGTCAAGCCAGACAGTAGTGGGCTATAGGAATAACCCAGACTGGTTCGTCCTGTTTTTGCACATTTCCTCAAAAAGACTAACACTCACAAATGACTATAAAACGCTTCATAACATATGGCCCCAAGTGAGTAATAATGGTTACTCACGCATACATATGAGTTTATACATGTTTGTGCTGTGCAAAATTGCTGTGCTATGGATCATAATTATGCAATAGTTACGAGGAAATGCATGTAATATAATTGACTTTTCAGCTTGGAAAATGTTTCCTTCCCAATATGTTAATGGTAATAAGTACAATTGCAGAACCAAAGCTTATCATTACTGCACAAGTCAAGTGCCAAAGTGTCTCCCTGCTTAAAACGGAGTGGTGTCCATCTCCATCGTGGTGGAAATATAACATTCCTATGAAAAGCAAATTTATCTTCAAGATAACCACCTACGATACCCATATAGGAGCGTCATATGGAATTTGCAACATTGGTTGAGTACAACTATTGTTGTTTCTAATCTAGATAACACACGTGTGTGTTATCGATTTTAAAAAATGGCATAAATATAGATTTGAGCCAGGAATCTCAGTGCTGTTGACTTGGTGCTCTGACAGCCATTATCGGCTCCATTGTCAAGCCAATGTTAAGCTTGGCTTCATCTCACCTGGCAGTGATGGCCAGCTGCTGTAGCGCTGAGGTGAGGACATCGCCGTGCAGCCTCACGCTCTGGGTGTGCTTCTCATCTGCAGTCACCTGCTCACACAAAGGGGCAGATATATTCATTGTACACTGGTGCTTTTTGCTGCAGCTTTCCTTCGTGGACTCAGTGATGATATGTCAATGCCAATATCAAAGTGTCTTCCTCTTTATTTTTTGTTCTGTTTTCTCTTTAGTTCATTGCCGTGCTTGATTTTATTTTTACCATTTCGAGGCTGTCTTGTTCTCTTGACTTCTCACCTAGTTAAACAAAACAAACTCAAGTGATCTCCCTGCTCAAACAAACCTTTGGGGTGGCATTCTTCTCTGAGAACCCATGAGCCAATGGTCAAAATTCTTTACAAGAACCATTTTACGAAAAAGACAACTATTCCTGAACTCCCACAGAGTGATACTCACTTCATTAACTCAACTGTCTATCACATATAAAACATCACACAAATACGTGTGTCAGGAATGGAAATGACAGTTATTGTTATTGCACTGTAGGAGCATATATGGATACATTCTGAATATCATGCTATATTAGAATGTTGCTGTGTGTTACCAGATATATATTTTTTAAGTGGCTGAAATCTGAATTTGAACCAGGAATTTCAATGCCAGTACATACAGATCTATTAGAGGCCAAGATGTGGCAGCCAATGGGCTATAGAACACCGATTTGTGGGATGGTTAGCATATGCCATAACACAACGCTGGAGGTTGTTTTAACCAGAGTAATAGCACATCTATGCAGTGTGTCATTCCGATTATTACGGTTGGCTACGTACGATACGAAAGAAGTTCAACTGACAGCAATGCAATCTGGCCGTGGAGTGGTGGCGCAGTGGTTAGCACATAGCACTATGAGCCCAGGGATCTGAGTTTGATTCTCGGCCACGGTATCTTAACTGGTACTGGGCCCCTCCCCCTTTCACTAACCAGCACTGACCAGACTAGTGAAGTATGGTCCAGTAAACCGCACGATCGACATGTTGTAGCGAGGTCGTCATCCAGCAGTGGAGTGATAAAAGGGCTGCGAATTATTATGTATTGGTCTGCCTTCTTCACCAAGGTGTGTAAACAGCCATCTGACTGTCAGCATCTACAGTTAATTTGACACCAAAAATACAAGCTTGGGTTGCACGTAGCCCAACGTTTAATGTGGATTCTTGGAATTGCCAGCTGGGTTCTAAGTCTCTTTGAGCCGTGTGTGCCGACACACCCATAATAAATTACTGAATCCTTAATTACATTTGCCAGTGACGTGTAAGGTAGAAATGCCATCACCTTATGAGCAATGACGCAAAGAGATGTTTGCATTGTTTCAATGACCCCTGAGATAATAACAAATATTCTCTACACCACTAGGTCAGTCGTGAACAAATCATTTTTAATGCTTGCAATTTCATAATTTTCATGACTGGTGCTTAGAAGTGTCCAGTATTTAGGGAAACAAATAACGTCAGGTATTTTGTGCAACTTTTTTTAACCTAGTTTCCAAAATGGTAAATTAATTATTTGCACCTCGAAAAATTGTTAAGGCTTCATATGCACTGATGGGCTCGTCGAATACTTCAAAAGTAACTGCACAATGCCAGGTTGTTGTCAAAGGGAGCTAATGTTGATGTTGGTGACACCATTCCCCATGGAGCCTCTGACTTGATTATGTCAGTGTCTACCTGATCAAATGAATATTGGGGAGTCAGTCGCAAAAATGATACATTCCCATGATGGAGGGAACGTTATCAACAGAACAATAACTACTATCATCATCATCAAAGCCATGTTCAATCTACTGATGGATGAAGGCCTTCCCAAGCTGGTACCACTACTCTGCTTGAAACATTGTCAACATCCCACTAAAAAGTAAACATTTAATCAAGTCTGGAGGGATAATGGATGATGTCCCCTGATTCGAATTTGTACTCAACATATTCTGATGAAGAGTCAAGAATCTACCCCAGGCAAACCTTTGCAAGCTGGGAAGTGATTGAGAATTGTTTTCCCCCATCACAAATACATATCCATATTGTAATATATTTTAAGCATGATATCTCAGCCATACAGCATGTGGTTTTCCTACAATGTGTGTGTGTCCTGCTTTTTGTACATTGCTTTGATATGTAGATGCTTTAAGATGTTATATTAGTCCAAATATTACATACATACAAATTTTATTAAACAAAAATTAACTAGCCACTATGGGAGCTATACAACATTTTCATTTATAAATGCCATTGACAGTGAATAATTGAAATTGGACCTTATTGAGTTATCATATCACATATATACTCCAGATGCGTTATTATACCAGTCACTACTGAATTAATGTTTCAGTTTTCGTTTTTTGGGGCACCATGGTGGTGAGATGTTAACTGCCTTGCCTGGTATACAGGAGATCGTGGGTTCGATCCCAACCCTGATGTATGTATATTTGGAGTTTCCATGTTGTCCCCGTGGTCACGTGGACTTTTCCCTCCACATTTAGAAACATGCGTTGGGAGTATTTGGCTGCTATACATTTCCACACGATTAGTCACTTCCTTGAGCTATCATTTTTGGCCAGGTCGCTTTTGAAAAGAGCTAAATAGCTAGTGGGCCATACCTGGTAAACTAAAATTAGTTTAGCTATTTTTAGTATAATCTGCATATTCTAATTATATTTCTCATATGGATGTTTATATAATTTCTACCACTGGCCAAGAGAAATGGGTGCCACCCACTGCTCGTTTCAGTAGGAGAACTGAGTTGGATCCTTTTTTGTTACCCTGGCATTTATTTGCAAAGGAGATGAGTTGTTTCATCATCAATTATGTGGCCTCACCAAAATATACATTATGAAGTCAAAGAAAGTTGCAAAGAAGCTCAAAATTTAATTAAATCTTGGTGCCAGAATGTATAGTAGACTAGGGGCCTGTGTTTATACTACAGCTGTGTCTTCCATCGTATGGCTACTAAACCTTTCCTGATGTGCAGAAGTTCCAGCCACTAACCCCCCACCCACCCCCGGGAACACAATATTATTATATATACCTACAATTATGCTGTGTAATTTCCTTCAAAAGGACCGCTACACACCACGGACTGCCTGAACATGTGCATTCACGCAAATAAGTAGCCACATGTGCTTGCACGTACACAGTCACGTGCTCAAAAGTGAATTCACATGCTTGTACACAGATACATGTGTGTGCGCATAAACATGAATGCCAAAGAACATATGCAGGAGTTGTGCCAACATGTGGCTGTCTGCTGCTCACCCCATAATTAGCAGAAGCTTCCCGGGGGGGGGGAGGGGTCCTGTCTATACTCAGAATATTACAAATAATACCTGACCTTTTCCTACTTCCCGACCCTAACAAAATGCTACGCACACAGTACATGACATGCTTGGCACCATCATCGAGCTAAAGGAGTGAATGTTGGCTGGGTAAGAGGTGCTCCTCGTAAAGTCTTGGAATGTTAAGAATTCCAACACTGGTGCAATCAAACATAAGCACACCTGCACATCTCACGCTTGTTTTCGAAACACGAAGACAGTCCAACGCTCATGCGCTTTATCGAGCATATAACCTCTGATTAGCATGGTTGGCTATGTACGGTGCGAAAGAAGTTCAACAAACATAACATGGCGTGGCTCCACACTCAAACAAGATTCAGACAATGTTCTTCTCCACTGGCAGCCCTGAGATGTGGAGAACAAATCCAAATTCCATTGGCAAAGACCGGTATCCTTAAACAATGACGACTGACTTCCCTTATAATGGTGGACAGAATATATGTTTGTATATTGGCCGCGTTGCTCTATTTTGGGTCTACATTCACAGACAATGAGGCTGATGTGGAGGCAGCATCATGCTAGGTTCGTTCATAAAATTACGCATACAATCCCAATCAGTGCTACATACAATCCCAAGTGTTAAGAATATTGTGTTGCCACACTGCAGAATGCAAAAGATCACCCATGTAGCCAAATGGGTTGGCAGGGAATGTGCTGTTAGTTGGCACTGAGCATGGCCATCTTGGCACAAAGAGGTGACTGTGTGGCCAGAACCATGCATGCTCCGCAAACTTGGTCTCAAAACTGCTGATGCTAACCACACTGCACCAGGTACTTGTTTAAGGTGCAATCATTCCAGGTGCAATCATTCCAGGTGCAGACATAAGTTGCCTCTTATGTTGTTCACGGACAAAAATTAAAGCAAGTATGAAGAGTATTCTTAGGTTTTTTCGGTAAATTCACGTAGGTAAAAAGTTTAAATTAATAAAGGTTAAATAAAATTGAATAAAAATCACGACGTTTTGGAGGCAACACAAGCTTCCGTCTTCAGGTGGTACAGCAATCGTGCTGTGACGGTTCCACCTGAAGACAGAAGCTTGTGTTGCCTCCGAAACGTCGTGATTTTTATTTTATTTTTATTTTACTTTTATTAATTTTAATTTTTTACCTACGTGACTTTACCGAAAAAACCTAAGAATATGAATCCTTGCAGTCACGAAAGCTTCAAATCTAGAAGTATGAAGAGATATTAGCAGATTTTGCTATAACTACACAGTTGCTCCCTCTCCTATTCTTCCACACACAAACACAAAGATCCCCGTATAGCCTTAACAAACTGTTAGGGCAAGTGCTGTTAGCATGCACTTATGAAGGCTGGCATGGCACATGAGGGGGTAGGTGGCCAGCACCATGCCCAACCGCCTTTCTCTCCTTAGTGGCAATGTTTACACACCGCCCAGGACCAGGTAAGTCACTGCTGTTGACGGTGAGCTTTAATCGTACTCGGGTCGCTGGGTTTATAGCGCTAACCACTACACTATCGCTCTGCCCACACACACACACACACTTAACACACTTAAAGGACCACCATGGCTAGAAACAAACTCCCTTCTTCAAATGCATTGTGCTAAGAAAATGTTGGGTCACGAATTATGTTAGCACCAAAAGAAACACATTTCAAAAACATGCTGCCATGCCGATGTAAGCTGTTTTCTGAAAAGAAAGGGTGTGCAGAGGCAATAGCAGCAGGTGATGGCTATTTATCACATGTCGCGACCAGTGACGTGCGGTGAGGTCAATGGCTGGGGAGGCACAGCCAGATTCACACACTGAGGGGGGCGTGTCTGACACGCCCCCCTCAGTGAGGCAGATGTGATAGCTGCCTCCCCTGGTGCTTTTTCATTGCAGTTTCATGACGAGACCAGCGAGCCTAAATATCTCTTTATACACATAAATGAAATAAGGTACGTGGAGCATGGAAGGCGAGGACATGAAATTAAGGGGTCTACAAACATTAAATTGGTGGCATACTGAGATAGTAACAGGCATGTGAAGACTTTCTTTGGGATTTTTTTCCTACAGTGTCTTACTCCTAAGTGGGATGTGTTAATATTTTAAGCAATTCGTATATGTAAACATGCAAAAAAGCTAACAAAACGGTCAATTTGTCCTTTTTAAATAGTCAAAGTAACAAAAAAAGTTAATGTTTTAAGTAGCTGGTGTTCATCTTTCTTGGCAGCACTCCCGACAAAAAACCGTGTGATTCATTCAAAGTGGTCAATTTTACCTATGCAACAAGGGAAATAATGGGTTTAGTGAACTTCTAACCAAGCATTGCAACATTTTAATGCTTTTGAAATTCATTTTGTATCTAAATATGTATGAAATGCTCTTGGTATATTTTATTTGACTATAATTAGTATCAAATTCTAGCATCTACATATTACGTACCCTCCTGGTTGGTATTGTAAAAAATGTAAATGTTTTTCCTTAAGTTTGAAGAACCAATCATTGTAAAGAAAGGAAATATTTCACTTAAACTGCTTTACGTATTTGGTAACAGGACTCTCATAAAAAACGAATGTCTCTGTTACAAGACTTCCAGGATAAACTTGAATTCATACGGATGTAAATTAATAAATACATGTACGAATACACAAACACATGTCTTGTCCCCACCATAAATACTGTACTCTGGTGAAATAATAAAATACAAAGACAACACAATGCCCTAAGTGTAGATATACTAAATATAGGTACTATTTAACGTTTACACCCACAAAACAATCGCAGTTCTTTTAAATTCCTGATCTCTATACAGTATTTCATTACAAAACTTGCACAAACAGCAAATTGTCACATCTTGTCGACTGCCTCAGAAAATCACACCACACAAGCGACAACTGCTTATGCGGTCACTTGCACCTTTCTCGCCAAGTGCTAGACGGCACTTCTTTGCATCCTTATAAAGCAATGGTGAACAACCTACGGCCCGCAGGCCACATGCAGTCCATGCAGCCCCTCCTGGTGGCCTGGTCTAAGCGTGTCTATGGTGATGCGTGGAGGTCATAATTAGCGCACAAACACAGTATCAAGCTTGCAGCCTACTGAGGTGAAGGAGGGCCGCTCAGGTAGCTCATGAACTCGTCTAGTGTGTTTTTTTGTGTGTCAATCAACAACGAAAATGTATCCATATATTTTTATCACGGTACATTAGATCAGTGGATACACTACTCCCATTGGTTGCTACAGCTGAGGCCATCAACTCACTTCACATGAGAAACCAGTTCAATCATGGGTGGCTGAAACCTGAATTCAGGCCTTTGATCTCAGCCGAGCTTGCTCAATGGCTTTCATATGGCCATTGCAAGTACGATGAACGCCCTTCTTGTTATGCTTTTCTGTATGGTAAAAAGATTGTGGGTCAGCTTTACACTCCAGGTGCTACGGCCTAGCTTCGACATAATTTAGGCTGCCGGGCCCTGCAGCACACTCTGCCACTCACCAGTCTCTTGATGATGCGCAGGAGCAGCTTCTGCTGTTTGGGGTGTGGAGCAGTGGCTTGCAGAGCGGTGGCGAGGCGTGCGGCGCTCTCGGGACCCGTGCAGTCGGCATCCTCCGCACCGTACAGCTGCACTACCAGCGACAGGCAGCTCAGAGCGCGCTCCCCCACCTCACTCTCCTCCACGCACAGCTGGCAAACACAAACAGGGGTGGAAGTATGATTTTTTTGTTTTTGTATGTGTCTCTAAAGTGGGGTGCGGTAGTGTGGCAGTTAACGCGCTGCGTCCCGCTCACGGACAACACCAGTAGCGATTATCGAAATCGGTCCTAAGCCTCCCTGAGGTCGACTCAGGTGGTGCATCTGCCAGTGAGGTATGTGATTAGTACTACTTGTGAAATGCGTATTTCACAAGTAGTACTAATCACATACCTGCATTTCCCATAAATATGCTAAATTCCTCTTGATATGCAAATTCGTTTGTCAAGGCGCCCTTCCCCCCTTCCAACCCAGCTTAAATAGACGCTCCAAGCGTGGTGGTGTTTCATTCAGACGCTGTCTCCCCGACAGACCTGGTCTTCACCTGAGGACGGCTGCTTGCGTTGTGGCCGAAACGTCGTGAGAATTATTTTATTGTTTTATTTTTATTATTTTATTATTTCCCTACTACGTGACTTTACCGAAAGAACCAAGAGGACGAATCCCTGCAGTCACGAAAGCTTTAAATCGAAATTTAACCTCGTCTTTATTTTCAGGTTTACTTTTACGTATAAGTGTCCAGTACATTGTTATTCATTCTTCACGTGTACAAGTTATATTTAACAGATACAAAATATTAATCATATTTTACATTTAAATACTTCCGGTTTCATGTTTGGGTTAATATAGGGTAGCATAAAACAAAAGGAGGGGGTGTCCTATGACGAACCGTGAACTAAACCCTATTATTTCCCATTTGCCTTCGATTTTGCAGATCGTGGATTTGCCGATTGTGGCAATTTTCAAGAACGTAACCCCTGCGATGGGCAAGGGTTTGGTGTATGCTACAGTTTGTGCCTTACAATGACAGTGTCATGTTGTTGACAACGACGCAGAATGTTGAGGCTGACGCCAAACATCACAGTCATGGACTGCTCTCAAGAGTGGCGGTGTGCTCAGGATAGGGTCGCCCGGCAGCATCTCATGGGGACCGCTATGCTCCAGCCAGGGGCAAGCGACTAATGATGACAGCCATGCTGTGCTGCACTATGTACCATATGCAGTGTATTATGAACATAGTACATTTATGTGCAGTGTGCTGCATGAGATTGCCTAAGCCAAATTAAAAAAAACAATACATTCGTCAATTGACTATGCCAAACGGAAATTTTGCCATTAAAAAATGTCTGCAGTTAATTACCAAATTGCATTATTCTGTGAAGTGGATGTTAAATGCCCTGTTACATCAGACTCTACCGCATCAAACTTTGCAAAAGTAGGCCACTGTATGTTGTTGTCTTGGCCCAAATTACAAAATGACCTGACAAAAGATTGAAAAAAATACTTTTCTTTCATAACTAAGGTAATTTGGATCTCTAATGAAAACAGAGACAAGTAATGAATTTTGCTCGACTGTCACCTGATTTGAGGACATCAATGAATCAATAATATTGGTGCGTGCTGCGATGCAGTGCACATACAATGCAAGCCGGTTTATTGTTATGAAATGTAGAGCGTGCTTGAAGGAGGCACTGCACTCACCAGCTGTATGAAGGTGCAGGTCAGCTTAGTGAACGGCTTGTTCACAAGTAGCATGTCCTCCGCAACCTGCGTGCTGCGTGAATCCCCCACCTTCTGTTGCTGTGGAGACACGTGACACACACATAGACATTTACACACACACACATAGCAACATAAATAACCTGCTATGCCTGCACAGACTGCTGGGACAAGTGTTTTTGGTGAGTCCCGATTAAAGCAGCCACAACATACAGTGAGGGTGGTGTGACTACAAGAATGGATGCCTAGCCATCTTTGCTAATATTTTAGGCAATACACCAGGTATTCATTTAAGGCTCAACCAAACTACAGGAGAAACCTTGCCACTAATGTTGTATATGCCCAGGAATTACACACAGGCCATCATGATCAGTGCAGCGAAAACCACTACACAAATGTTGGCCATTAACACCAAATACAATGATCTCCCATTCAGCCCTATAGATCATAGGGGAGAGTGGTGCTACTGAATACCTACGAAGGCTGGCATGCCAAAAGAGGGGGTAGGTGGCCAGCACAACATAGACAAAGATCCCCTGTGTAGCCTTAACAGATTGTTGGAGCAAAGGCTGTTAGCGAGCACCTATGAAGGTCGGCACGGCACACGAGGGGGTGACCAGCAACACATCCAGCCACCTTTGTCTCCCTTGTGCCGATGATTACACACCACACAAGGTACTCATTTGATGCTGAATTGTTCTTGGGGAGGCCCAGGAACAGTTCAGACAATCGTCACAGGTGTTGGTCACCGGATTCAAAGCGCAGTCTGCTAACTACTGTACTACACACACACATTTCGATTAAAAGCTTTCGTGACTAAAGGGATTCATCTTCTTGGTTCTTTTAGTAAAGTCACGTAGAAGGGAAGTAAAGTGGCCGAAACGTCGTGAGAATTGTTTTATTATGTTTTATTTTTATTATTTTATTACTTCCCTTCTACATGACTTTACCGAAAGACCCAAGAAGATACACACACACACTTAAGCACACACATACACATCATTCCCATTAGGCTTATTACTGCTTGCATTTAAATAATTCCTCAAGCCTGACTGACATCAAATGCCTCGAGTGGACATGACTGCTGATCGAGCACGGGGCTCTTTTTGCGGAGAGTGCACCGGTGGTGCTTGAGTTATGGGGAGGGGGCTGGTACCTGCAGCGCACGCCGCACCATGTCCGCCGTGCGTCTCAGAAGCTCTTGCAGCATCTCCAGCAGTACAAACAGCAGCAGAGAGGCCGACCTGCTGGTGCTCTCCCCCTCCAGCACCAGCACACCGGCATCCATGCACGCAGGCACCAAGCGCTCCACCAGGCCTGCCAGTGGGGGTGATTACGACAAAGCCATCGGCGGCTGCGAGTGGTGAAGCTCGGCAGGTGGTGGCTCAGTGGGACCGACGAAATCTGTGGTGAAGAGCTTTGAGAATCTGGTGTGTAGTTTTAGCCCACCTTGCTGATAGAGTGTGGTCATGTTGGTGTCCTTATTGGCAACCAGACTGCCCAATAAGCACACCACGTTGTACATGCTGCTTCCCAACATGCTCTCCTGGTGCTCCTGCAGCAGTGAGTAATGACAAAAGAAGCAAACAGTACAGATGAAGATGCTTTGACACGACATGAAGAGGGGATACAAGAGAAGGAGAGGTGACCAGGTGACTCTCAACTGGCTCAAATACGCATGAGCCATCACCGCTGCTGAGTTCCTGTGTTCAAATGCAGGTCTCACCAATATGTGATTAAACCAGGTTCTTTCATATAGTAAGTTTATGGTCTCAGTAGTCATTTTCATATGCAGATGAAAACGCTGAATTAATGGTTGTATGAAACGCATTTAGGTGATAACTTAAATGAGAAACACATTCCCATTTTTGCAAAGAAAATGTTTACTCTGGTTGCAAATATGTAATTGTTCATAACCTGCATATTTTTAAACGGCTAATTATCATTTTGCTTAGTACACGGTTGAACATCCACCTTCTCCCCACGTGTTTAACATTATGTTAACTCTGATCAATGTGTGGAATACATTACACCTTATTAGCATCGCCAGAACCTCAAAGTGTGCGATGATGATATAAAAATATAATTAATGTAAGACAAGAGGACATTTTGTACCAAGGAAAATGCAAAACAGTGAATAATTACTGAACAGTGAATAATAATGACTGACACAGCAGAAACCCTTCAATTCCAAACACCTGTTTAAGGTCCAATTCACATTCCACAGAGATAATGCAGACAGTGTGTATCTGTATAGCAGGGGCATATAATTAAATTGAATGAACTTTTGTTTAAAATATACTTTACGGGATCGGAAGTTAAGCTGTGCACATAAAAATAAACGTTGGCTGTATCCATTGGTGCTTAAAATTCCTCAATGCCCTGACAATATTGTGTAACCCACACTACCACATTACCTGCAGATTAGGGACGGCCATCATCGGGGAACGTGTAATTTGTGGCAGTACGTGAAACTCGTAATTAAAAATGTGCGAAAAAATATCTAATTTAAAAACAAAACAAAATTCCACGCTCTGCATTCACATATTTTTTATAGCTACTTATCGCCATTCAGCAGGGCCAATTTTCTGCTGTGGACTGCATAAACATAGCTCTAAATGCATTAATAGGCAGACTGCGGATGGATCAACACAGCAGGGGTCCAGAGACAATCCCTGCTTCATACATTCTGAACGGCAAGCAAAGTACTTATCTGCTCACAGCAGACAGCTGCAATAGCTGGGCTCGCATAAGTGCAGATGAGCTATGCGCTTATGCATGGGCCCTGTGTGCAATGCCTTCAACGACACTATTTGCATCTAAGATATGTGTCAAGCGATATACATTTATATTTGATCAAGCATATACTATTGGGTCCCTGTAAATGCTAGCAGGAAATAGACAAAGCAAAAAGATTGAAAGTATTGTTTTTTCCAAATTTTCAGGAGTACTGGAGAAAGGTGGACTATGTAGGTTTAAATGCTTGCAGAATTACCATTGGTTGCACTGGTCATACTCTTAAGTTTTTTCGGTAAAGTCACGTAGGTAAAAAATAAATAATAATATAATAGAAAAATAATAGAAAAAAAAACATAAATAAAATGATAATAATAAATAATATAAATAAAATAATAACATATTATTAAATACTATTATTAGTATTTTACCTACGTGACTTTACCGAAAAAACCTAAGAGTATGGATCCTTGCAGTCACGAAAGCTTCAAATCTAGAATGCACTGGTCATGTCTGTTTCCTCAATACAAGCCTATTATATATACAAAAACAACAGATATGAATGTGAGAAGTCCCAGGAAGCAGGGATATTAAATTTTATATATCGTTTCAAGATATAAAATTGAAAATCCTAATGTTCTATCAGTGTCTAGACACGTAGCATTTCTTTCCAATTTCCGAAACATTTAATAAGCTGGAGCCACACCTGATGAACCAAGATTGGAATTATAATACCTTCAGTCAATTTCTTCAAGGGCCTGCCTTCTATGACCACAAGACTGAGCATCATCAGCTAATGGCTGGTTTGCTATGTGTCTGTCTGGCAAATCAATCTTTATTGCTGGATTTGACTACATTTATTTAAAAAGAAAGTATTTCTGTATGTTCATTTGTAGCATAAGTTGACTATCAAATATGTATATACTCCGTAGCCAACCATGCTAATTGCACCTCCGATTCGCACGGTTGGCTATGTACCGCCTGAAAGAAATTCAACATACACACATACACATACAAATCTGCTTTAAATTCAAGTTGGAACCTGAACATCAATGCCAAGGCTTGTGTGGTAAATTTTACATAAACTAAAACAGTATTAATGTAGACATATGATAAACGGATAGCTAATGTAAAGCAGCAGAGGAATAATTTGTACACTTGTGTACAGGTGCACATTTGTACACTTGGAGGCATGATGACCTGGGGGCTAAGTACAGAAAATATTCGTAAAATCCACCAGGTTGCCAAACTTTGTAGACTGCCAAACGGTGTAGGTGAAAATGCAGAGTATTTGGGCACGCCCTCTTGAGATCTAAAAAATGGGCGTACGTCAGTGGTTGCTAGGGATCATGTCATCACTCCAACTATACCAGCCAATCAGCTACCAGGAAAACAACCCTGCCGCAACATGACCACAGTGAAGTCCCCGTGCACTCCATGCATTCAGCCGATCTGTGGATTTACATTATTGTTTTAAAAAAGTCATTTAGGTGTAATGTTGTGGTAATTTATTTGTGTGACTGTAGATGAGTGTGTGAAATTGTTTGAGTATGTTGCTTTGCGTGATAATTTATTTACGTGCAGCCTTACTAGGTACTCATGAAGAGTGTTAAAAGGCTCTATATATGGTGGATCTTTGTTCTTATTTATGAAAGTGTGTGCTTGCATGGGGAGAGTATTTATATGTGATTGTGCACACGTGTGTGTTTGTCTTTGTATTTGTGGGGAGTGGTAGTGTAGCGGTTAGTGCGCGGCGATACGAACCCGGGGACCCGAGATAGATTCCCGCTCAAGGCCAACACCAGTGACGATTATCTGAACTGTTCATGAGCCTTCCCTTGGTCGACTCAGCCTCAAATGAGTACCTGGTGTGATGTGTAAATGATCCTTATGGAAGTACTCCGGGGTACCAAATAATACAAAATGGCCGAGGCAATAAAATATTTTATTCCTGGAATACAATTTTTTCCAGGGGTGTACTTAACTCCGTGACTGGGGTACCAATCAATCCGAAATCAGTGCTACTCCACGATGTCGAAATGCCAAACATTAGCATAAAAAATCCGTTATCAAAAAATTCAACTTTTAATAGTGCATCGTGTACAGCTCGTTGAGATGAGTCGATTGCCGCAACGCCGACCATCAACAGACTAAAAATGACTGCATCACGAACATTATGCAAGAGCCGGGGTACTATGCTACCCCGGGGTACCGCCATAAGGTTCAAATGACGCCACTGGGGAGACAAAAGTGGCCAGGCATTGTGCTGGCCACCCACCCCCTCATGTGCTGTGCCGGCCTTCATAAGTGCTTGCTAAGACAATTTGCCCCAACAGTATGTTAAGGCTATATGGGGGATCTTTGTGTATTTGTGATGGTGCATGTGTGTGCACATAAGTAATGACGAATTTGAAGGTAGTCCCCACCGTCCCCAAGTTCTCACGGAATGTACGCAATTTCTCTCGCGTAAATCCCGTACGGAATCAAGAGGTAGGACAAGTCTGGGCTTAAGCATGTTTTTTAATTGCGTAAGTCGTTTGTACTCAGGCAGCTGGAAGAAGCTGTTTTAACTCTTCACCATCTCAAACTAAACATGACTAGACAAGGCTGTTGACAAACCATTACTCCTGGATTTTCATAACACTTGTGCTGTCAACTTTGCTTTGTAATGCTATAAATATCGTATATATTAAACTTCCTTTACATGCATATATGAGAGCATTTGTAGTGTAGTGGGTGTGGTTGTACTAATATAAACTATTAAAACTATGTTTTATTTTACCAAGGCCCACTGAGCTATTACAGATATTTTTCAGAAGCGACCTGGACACAAATGATAGCTCAATAAAGTGGCTTATCACGTGGAAATTTATAGCAGCCAAATACTCTAAACACATGTTTATAAATGTTCAGGGAAAAACCGGAGGACCCAGATAAAAATTCACGTGACCACGGGGAGAACATCCAAACTCCCAATTTACAGGTGTCAAGAGTCGGGATCGAATCGATGACTTCCTGTATACCAGGAGAGGAAGTTAACATCTCGCCACCGTGGCGCCCAATCTCAGCATCAAAAGTTTGATGCCTAAACATGCACATCAGTGGCAGGTTGCATCTAAACCTGTCCCACGTATTGCCCTATTCGACTCGGCATTATATTAAGTGCCTGGTGTGGTGTGTGAACATCCATACTGGGAAAACAAAGGCAGCCAGGTGTGGTGTTGGTAATTCTGTCCCTTCATGTGCTTTTCTGACCTTAACAAGGGGTTGCCAACAGCATTTTCCCCTGCGGTCTTGTAAGGGTAAATGGATGATCTTGCATTTGTGAGCAGGTTGGCTTGCATAAAAGCATAAAGGACCATCCACTGATTAGTCCTGTGTTATACTTCTTGCAAAATTGGTATGAGCAAATTACACGTATTAGCACAAGCACCATGTCCGCACGTGCACCGATCTGTCTTCTACCCTGGCTCAAGCATGTGTGGGACAGAACACCAGTGGCAAGTGCGGGTGTGTCTCTGCATATGCATTATTACTGTCAATGCTGCGGATGTTCTGCGTGCCGTCATGCATTTGTGGGACACCCTGGCTCCTGTGACAGAATCCGCCACATTCGTGTGCACGCTGCGTTGCCTGTTTGCGTGTGCTGCAGTTGAGCTGAAAGACCCGCGGGTATGCGTGTACATGCGCATGCGAGTGTGGGTCTGTGTGTTTTTTGTATGCTTTGGCAAGCGAGTGGAGTGGGTGTATTGGCATGTGGCCCCATGGCCTTAGGGTCTATTCCTGGCCAGCTGTGGTGGATGCTCACCCACTGAGCTCATGCCAACCATTCTTCCCCCTTGGTCCACATTCATGTTGTGTTGCTGTCATCCATATGCATACTTGAACTGATCACGTGCACTGCAATATGTACAAGTAAAAATAGTCAAAGTGTATCTCCCTGCTCAAGTAAGCAATGGAGCAGTGTTCGTCTCTGTTGGTGACCCTGAGAAGGTAACTAGAATTCTATATTCCCATGGTGGGGCCCCTCTCTCTATCGGACAACCACTGCTGAATTCCTACAGAGCGGTACTCACTTTATCTAACTTAGAGGCATAGGAACGTTTTCCTCACGACAATGACCTGCACGTAACAATAAACTGTATGAATCAGTTATGAGTTCTGTTTTCAGTAAGGGCATATTAGTAATATGGTTTACAAATTTAAGTTTTTCATTATTGGCACCGTTTTATTATGAAGTGTGCTGGATTAACGTAACTTTTGATTTATTTTTGTTTGTCGGAGACTTTATCTGTGAACACTGAACCCAATGTAAGATTTTATTTTGCATATCAATTAAATATAAATTAAAGCGACAGGTGCACGAGTGGAGCACATTTAGTGAACTCAGCCTTGTTAACTAATCACCACAAAAATAATCAAATATTGGTTCATTATGATGAATGCAGCTGAGCACGAACACACTCACTAATCTCCACAGCCGCTGAATGAGTGTAGTCTTCTGCCTGCGTGAGGCAGATACTTGAAGGATGCCAAATCGAGCCCTGTGCTGTTACTTATGGGCCATTTGGCAGTGAGGCGTGCAGTTCGGCAACATGGGGTCGATTTCCAAAATGCAATAATTTTTTGCTTTGCGCCTACATGATGATATGACAATGGGATATGATAGGTTAACAAGAAGTAAATATTTACATATTTTTTTACATTTTAAAGATATTCTTGTATATTAATATCATGTATAAGTGGTTATATAATTAGGAGTAGCAACTTACAAGTCAAATGCTAATTTATTCAGCAACTAGGAGATGAGTTTCAAACAACACAGATACATGTGTGAAGAGTAGACAGCCTTTGTGCATATGTAAAAACAAGCAGTATTTCCTAAAAAAAACTGCATTGTGGGTCCTTTGGACTTAGATCACCATCAAAATAAAAAAAATGGTTCACGTTGCCGATTACTGCATCACTGATGCTTTCGGCTGGTCATATTTGTTCAGATTAATTTTGATGATGATGTAAGACAAAAGGACCACAATGCAGTTCTTCAGGAAATGCTGATCGTTTTTGCAATTGCACAAAGGCTTTGGGTTCTTAATACATTTCTGCATATGTTTTTCCAGCCGGCACTCTTATTATTTCAATGGCTTTTTCTCATAATTTACAGATCTGATCAATGGAGATGAGTAATCACAAACCGACTCCTTTTCACAAATGATACTCCCAATTGTTGTGTCCCACATGCACTTGAGAGAGCTCTTGATTTAATGCCTTGGCGGTCCCCAGCTCATTGCGAAAATTCACAGGTGCGGAGGACATGTCGCAGCTGGGTGCCGCTCACCATTATGGAACATAAGCTCATCCCGGCTGCTGAAGCGCATCTTTGTTTTGTTCCTTGCAGATGATGATCGCACTCAAATTAAATTTAATGATTTTATCTGCTCCCGGGCAAAGATTCCTCCCTCTAACACGCCCCGATACGTGCAGGGTTTTACAAAACTAGCTTTTCTATTGATGTGGCCATGGCGCAAGTTACAAATGAAACGTAGCAATGACCAAGTATCCTGTCATAGAAAAGGATCCCCAACTATGCAACACGTGTAATCATTTTGACTTATCACTGATTCAAATATCAAAGTAACTCGTGGATCAAATGAGAAATGGGATGGCATTAATCTATACTGGAAACCCTGACTCAGTGGTGCAAATGTAACATTTCCATAACATATCCCAATATCTCCATAGGATAAACTATTAAATAAAAAAAACTTTAGACAATATTTCTTTTACCAGGTAAGGATATAGACCTAAGAAGGTTGATCGGCTGAATTGACCCCTAATTAGGTTCTAACTCTTAACTTAAAAAAACATTGTGAGCCCAGTTCTCTAATCAGCACAATTTGGCCAGATCAGCACTATAATGAATAAAAATGTTTTGTTATGTATCAATAAAAGCCTCACTGAGAATCAAAACGCTTTCTCAGAAGGATTATGTATATATTGGGATGTTTAGTCCATTCTTTTTTGTCTTTTATGTGGGAGGAAGCAAGGGTAGCTGAAGAAAATCTACACATAAGAGGAGGTGGGTCCATGCATATGGCTCAAGAACCAACTTGCTGTACTATCACCTCACAGACTGAGAGTCTCATACAATGTGGTTTCCTCTTCAGGAATCACCATCGTGTTCTCCCAAGATCCAAATTTAAGATGTGTGCCCCACAACTCCAAACTTGTACTTATATTACTAAACTTCTCAGTTATAAAAAAAATCTACCTCATGCACTTCTTTTTTAAATCAACTAATGACCATCATAGATGAAGAGTACATTATAATGAGGACTGTACAGGTATTCATGCAACCGAATAAAACTGAGCATGTACTTGAGCGCATACTGCACACGTGAATTTACACAAGCTGTTCCAACATCTGGCAAGCACCGCCTTGTAGACACAGCTTGTTTGGCATGAAGCCACGCTCCCAAAGATCAAACAGGGGTGAACGACAGATTCAAGGAGTGTTTTTGTTCCCACTGCGAGTGGTGGGAGGATCTGTGAGTGCCACTCCAGGGGAGCGTATTGCCACTAGAGCTACCTAAACGTCAGAACATTTGGAAGCAGAGCCTCAAACAGCCCCAAACAGTTGTAAAAAGCACCATGGAATAATAATTAGCACAGCTTGCCAGAAAATTAAGGCGGGATCGTTCGGGGTTTCTTATGGGATTAAATATAAATTGATTTGAATCATATGTAAAAATGTTTCACCCTCGTATAGCATGATCACTCAATTGGAAGGAATGACATTAATCAATACCAAAGTGGAGATAACCCCCCCATGCCATCCTTATCCCATATGGTCTTGCGATGCCACAATATATTTCACTCCTGCACATTAATTTATTTCATGACTCCATCTCTGTAGTGGCCATTCTATGGGGTACATTCTTCCATAGCTGCCAATCCATCACAAATTTTGTCCATCGGTCATCATCCCTACGAATTAGGTGTCCTGTACACATCCACTGTCTTTAGTTAACAGACAATGTGTCTGATTTGCACTTGTTCTCTGATCCATGTGCTCCTCTACCTGTCTCTAAGTGTAATTCCCAAGCGTGTATATTTCCATACTTCTTTGCAAGACTTTTTAGCTTTCGTTCCATTTGTATCAGTATCCACGTGCCTAATGTCAGAGCTGACAATATGTACCGACTGACAACTTTCTTTTTCAGGCACGTTGGTAAGTTGCTTTCATTATTAAGTTCAGATTTCTAAAAGTACTCCATCCTGGTATCCAGCTAATATATTAAATTACTGTTAATTGATTATATATGTTTATACTTTCAATGTATAAAGTGTTCTACCTGGTTGTATGTAGAGTGCTCAACTTACAATTGGAAGGTCGATGATTCAAATCTCAGTTGGAAGATGAATCAGGCCATCAATACGAGCTCCAATTTGTAGTGATTTAAAGACCCTGTCCTATGGAGAAACTAGCCCAATGTATATGCATGTCAATATCCACACCTGGCTCAGGCCTACAAACAGATTTGAGCACTTTGCAATGCTTAATTTTGTAAGTTGACAATTTTTATGTGTTGACACAAATGATAAATGAAAATGCTATTTCTATAAGGGGTATTTTATAGGTTTTAAACAAAGCATTAAAGTTTAGTGTTTTTTCATGGTACAAAGCCAGGTAATGCAGAAGCATCTATGCTACACGGCAGTGAATCATACTGAAAATAATTGAATTCCCAGTGTTCTGAGATATGTCACAAAAGAGCCTCTTCTTAGCGTTGGTTCATAGGTGATACTTGTAACGATGAGTTGACCCACATACCTGCAATACTTGCAATAGTACTGGAACAAGGTTTAACTCCTCCAGGTGCCTGGGTGGAGGACACAGAAGCCATATGTTATAAAGAGGCAACCACAGACACTCACTGTTGCTTCAGCACATACTGAAATATTAAATAACAAATAATGGCCAAACCAGCATTCATCAACATTAAATGAACTCCTGTATATGTTTCAACAAATTATGTCTCTAGTAATTTATTTGTTTCCGAATAAGGATGTATATTGTTCAATAAAGTAAATGTTCTGTAGGATGGACAGCAGGTAACCAAGACAGGCATTAGAGTTATAGTGGTTCAACTAAGTTCTGTGTAGAGGGTTGATTGTCTCAGCCTGATCACCAATGGTGGCACAATGTTTTGTCCATCTCTGCTCCGCGAAATGTATAAACTGACTGACGTACGGACATTATAATTCACAAAGCATGTAGTATCGTATAGAGTTGGGTAAAACAGGACTATTGAAATAACTCCAAAAGTAGTTCTGTGGTATCATTTACTGAGGCCTTTGTCTGACACGATGTCATGGTCTACTGGCTGTATCAATTCCAGGATATATCTCCATCTTATATCATAATTTTAACAGCAAAATTGGTGTAATAATTAATATTTTAGTATTATATTAAGTGTTTCCCCACTCAAACGAGTTTTGGTTCACACTCATCCTTGTTTATGGGCAGGAGCTAATGGGGGAAATTCCACATTCCTCTGTCAGAGCTCAGTAATTATTCTTTGGTTCTTTCGGTTCTTTCGGTAAAGTCACGTATAAAGAACCAAAGAATAATTCCTGCAGTCACGAAAGCTCCAAAATTAAGATAGAGCTCAGTAACTCCATGGAACAACTATAATTGATAAATATTCAAAACTGTGCTGAAATTCATTTAATTATACTCAACATAGACTTTCATTTGCACATCGCAAAAATGGCTCAACAACAACGCATCTTAAAAGTTAAGCAGTAAAGTACTAAATTAATGTTTTATGCCTTTTCCCAGGTCAAGGAAAAATGCGTCCTCAGGTGAAGAACAGGGCTGTCTTTCCGACAGCCCTGTTCTTCACCTGAGGACGGATGCTTGCGTTGTGGCTGAAACGTCGTGAGAATTGTATTTTATTATGTTTTATTTTTATTATTTTATTATTTCCCTTCTACGTGACTTTACCGAAAGAACCAAGAAGATGAATCCCTGCAGTCACGAAAGCTTTAAATCGACCTTTGCGACTCTTTGGTAGCATTATGGCTAATAATTTGACACAATTGGAAAGTGTAATCCCATTATCTTTTCAGGGTTGATAAAGTAAGTAACACTTTGTATAAAGTAAACAATAATTATCCTATGGTTAAAATGGTTCCCACCATAGGAATGTGAAATATCCATTCCTGATTATTACTATTATAATTATGCTTGTTTCTGCCAAGTTTGTTCAGAAGCAGGCGATGGTTGCTATGTATCATTCAAATTGAGTAGTTTGCAAGTAATGATGCTAGCACACACTGGCTTACTCTTGCAAATTACGTCGCTGGAGCTTTAACATCTGTAACGTCCACTGTGAAACATACACCCGCAGCATTAGAGCGGCCGCTTGATGTTGAATAAGTATAACCCGTAAAAACAAAGTTTTTCACTCTAAATCCTTTATATGCGTGGCGGCTAGAGTCCTCTCGTCCTCTGGCTTGAGATGGCTGCCACCTATGGGTCAGATGATTGTCTGCAGTATTAAACAATTGGTAATTAAATATTTAATTTGTTTTCCCTAAACAGTGTAAAATTTTGGAAAAAAAATTTCACGAACATTAATTGTCTCGCACAACGAGTCTGTGTGCAAAATGTCAGCTCGATTGGATCACGGGAAGTGGGTTAAAAAACGACCGAAAGGTTTGCACGGTCGTAAGCAAGCAAGCAAGCACGCAAACGAACTAAATATAAAGGATTTAAAAAGCGGCGAACTTGTTACCGCTAGGCCATGTCTCTGCCCCAAGACTACCAAGGAGATAAGCACAATCTCACATTTTATGTATGATTAATTACACATTTCTAAACGTATAGTTTTTACTTGGCATTTACAGTAATCGTATATGTAATGTGTCAAGATGTTTTTTTTGGATCAACATGCAAATATAATATTCTATTATAGTAATATTTAAAGCACTCCATGAGTTCATGAATATGGGCACATACATGCACGTAACAAAGTATGTTTACACTTAAAACATAATAAATTATGTTATGTTTCAAATTTTCAATGTTGAATTTCAGTGTATTATCTTTGGGGAATTACTAAAGGACACCATCTATCAACTGGTTGACATACAAGAAGCATTTGCAAGAGCAGGCAGCTGTGTGCTAGTGTTGCATCCCAAATGCAATATTTCAAAATTACTCTCACATGTGACCATCCATCCATATGTAATGAGATAGTGACATCTACTGGTTGGTAAAGGGTAGCACGGGTACAGGCACCATTATAAACATTATCCAATCCCCAAAGGGGAAGGTATCTCGGCCAAAGGTGAGGGGTAGGGACGGCCGAGAAACTCCCGAGAACTGGATGGAAAGTTCCACGAGAGGGCGTGGCCGGAGGCAGAGTCTAGGCGCGCCTGCGAGAATATAAGCGGAGGCGGACTCGTGGTTGGTGTGTGAAGTCTAAGGTCCGGACTGCGTCGCTGCTCGCCATCATCTCTCTCCGTCGTTCGACCACGTGGCGGATCTCCGGCAAAGCTCCACCGCCCTCCCCGGCATGCCGTCAGCCAGCGGCGAGACCGGGACCGGATGGGCAGAACCAGCCGCGTGATCAACCGTGTGTGTAGTCTGTAGAATGTAACATCTACGTGTGGGCCTGGAGAGGACGCTGATAACGTTGGCCTGTGCCGTGCCGTACGTGGAATAAAGAAGAGTACCCTCTACACGATGTGTTGTGGAAGTCGCTCATTATACATACATGACTACAGTTATCAGGGTCTCCCTTGTAAAATAGATATTGAATCGTATTGAGTCAGTACAGTAAAAAAAATCGAACACGTCAAGCAGCTGGTGTAATATCAGGCGCACAGAGGGAGTGTATACACATTGTAAAGGGAGGTACAGAGTGAAGTGGCTATTGTATTGTCTGGTTGCAATACAATAGTCAGAGACTTCCCCCAAAGTGTTTTCGACGCCCCTTGCACAGAACCATGCACGTTACACTCCACAAGCGAGTCTGTTTGCTCCAAAATCACAAAAGAAATAGGTGAGCATAAGCCCTGACTAATGAGCAAAAATAAAGATAAACTGCAGTTGGTTGGCCCTGTAACATGACATCACAGACTGGAAAACACAATACCGAATGGCAGAATTCAAGGATGGAGGAGTCAAGTCAAACCACAAGGACAAGCTGAACGACCATCATGAAGGACTGGACCAGTCTGAAAGAGGTGGATGCTCTACAGGCTATAGAAGATAGAATAAGATGGAAAGGAATAACTAGCCATACATCTCATGTACGTACATCTCATGTACGGCTGGTTATTGCTAGGAGTAGACATGACAAAGGGAAGAGGTTCCACCTACTGACCACACATAAATCACTCGTACACACACACTGGGGAAGAAAGGATACACTTAAGGAGTGTCCAAAAGAGGAATAAGCTTTGTAATATGCACGTACATTACAGTAAATGTTAGTTTAAAAAAATGTTTTACCACGTGGAACAACTCCAGTGGCACAATTTGTATATAAGGGTAGCAACAAATAGTTAATTCAAACACTATAGGGTGTCATACATTGTTATATTTAGATCAAATGGTGTGCGATCATGAATATTTTAAATAAAGAGAAATTAGTAACTGGTTAAAGGCAAAGCAATCAAGGCAATAACATTATTTGTGTGCCTTTCAGGTGAACCATAAGGAGGTGGGAAAAGTCTAGTGGCAAATCAGCCATGTGAGTTCAGATGAAGACACAACAAACCCCCAAAGATGAACAAAATACTCAGACATTCCTGCTAACCCACACATACGCCCATGTCATAAAACCCATCTTGAATTACATAGGAGTGGCTTTTGTCAGGGTAAAAAGAAAACTGATCATAGATAAAGTAGGAAGGTTTACTGGCGGTCATTTTTTGGAATGTTGGTGTCTGTCCAGAAACTATTAAATCATGTAAAGACAGTCAGCTGCTGTGTAGGATGGTACATTTATTCTCATATACTTTTCAAGGCAAACAAACATGTTAAAGAATGATAGCAGTGACTTTATCCAGTTGGATGGTGCTGTGGTTCGAGCACTCAACCCACAAATAGAAAGTTGCGAGTTTGAATTATGGTTGTAGGTCAACTTCCATCATCTAATGAGTCAATAAAATTATTACCACTTGCTGGGAGGTCAACATTGGTTGTTCTATGTAGACTTTTTGTAGGTAGCTTAGGACCACCATTGGAGATTACCACTGTCCCAAAGCTATTTTGAGCAGGGAGACACTGATTTTGATTTCTTGCTGAATAGCTGGAAGTTAAGATGGATCATTGCAGCACTTGCTGTGTACAACCAAGCAATTCTACGTAGCTTAGTGAAACTGTCACGAGGCTTATAATATAGCTACCTAGTCTCTTAATGTATGCAGTTAAACAAACATGCAGCATATTATTTGTTTGTAAAACAATTGATGTATGGCTGTATTAATCATGATACATTCTAACCTTACTCGTAAAGCTCTCTTACGGATGCTATAGGCTTTGGGGTTGGGCCAATGGAGGGTCCGTTGGTCTAAAACAATTGGTTACAATGACATCATATCAACATCTGCTGAAACCACATCGAACACTTGCCTAACATTGCTTTAATAATTGCCACATGTCTTTGTCTTGCCAGCATTTGCATTTGATATATTACTTACATGTCTTATGCCGCAATAAAAAATGATAAATGTTGCCCCTTTTGCACCGAGACCAACAATTATGAAAATATTGATTTAATCAGAACTTTTATCATAGTACCCACAAGCCACAAATGTTAATCTTTCCATGTAATGTCTGCTTGTCTTTAAAACCCAGAGAATGCGGTGTTGTAATAACAGCAAAAGACAAAACGAGAGTTTTCTGAACTTATTAGAATTATGACCTTATAAACAACACACCATGTGTTATTATACCACATGTATTATTTTGACTAAATTTGAGTTTAAGATAATATAGCTAAAATACGAATCTATGTTTTTATGTTATCAAGTTCGTTTGCATTGCATTATTTTTACTATTATGCAAGTACTGGGTTGCCCTGTATTCAAGCTGTTTTAGACGACATGAGTTTGAATCCTGGTTGGTTTTGCTTGACTTAGGTCATATTTCCTTTAGGGTCCACAAAATAAGTGTTACTTTGTTAAAATTCAACAGTGATTGTGCCATCGAGAAAGGAATTGTGAAAATTATTTTGCTGGCTCAGGGCTGCCAAACGTGATCAGCACCACCTTACACTCATCTGAGTATAGGCACACTACAACTTCTGAACCAGGGAGTATTGGAAAAGCAGCCTTGAAATAAAGAAATAAATATTGTGAAGAGCACAGACAAAAAGGGATAATTACACGACAGAGTGTGGGTATGGTACCGGATGAACACAGGACTGTAATCCACCAGGGCGAGTAGAAGCTTGAGAGCGTATGCTGGCACAGGATCTGGTTCCATCAGCAGGTTCTCATACCTGCTCAACAAAATATCATACCACCAGGATTGGGTTAGCCACTGTTATAAGATGTGCAAGCAGACCGACATTATTGCCTATAATTGTGCATTTATCGCTGAATCCGTATTAAATCCCAGCTCTTGAGTGGTCCCACAACAGCAGTTTCAAACATTATATATTACTATCCATAATTCTATAGCTGGACTAAGAGCATCTCTACACTCGAGCATCGCCACAGACCTCAGCCTCTGAAGTACGGCATTGGACAATTAAATGTGCTTATTGTGTCTGTCAAGGAAAAACTAATGGAATGAGTAGGCAGAACGTGAAACAACTATGTTAAATATGGGAAGGTGATATGATCAAAGGAACATGCAAACGGTGATAAACCAATATGATGTTGTTTTATGGTAGACTATGACTTTAATCTGGGTTAGTATGCCACACGCAAAGCTACAGTATACTTTCAGACACACACCACAGTGCACATGTTATACAAACAAATTAAACCACTTCAAACACGCCACTCACTCACCCACCCACGCAAACACTGCATAGGTCTCCACCACATACACACCCCCTCCACACATGCCATAAGAACTGCACAAATTATATAATTATACAACATACACAGACCATACACACATTCATCAAGCAGAGACTATTTTAACCACAGGACAAGCACTGTTGGAAATTGTACTCACAAAGTCTACATAGAACAACTCTGTACTTGTGAGTCGAGCACTCTCCACCCAGTGCCACCTAGCTGAATGATTTAAAGTAGTCCCTCGATTTACGTTTTTAATCCGTTCCACGAAAACTGTTAACCAAAATAACTGTTAATCTAATATAGGAATACATGTTAAAAGCATCCATCTGTAATGTACACAAAGCTAGTCGAGGTCTAAATGCTCATAAATGGGCGTCGCTGATTGAGGTACTCAGCCCACTTATGAGCGGTCGGATTGGCCGTAATCATACCGTTAATAAAAATGTTAATGTTAGTCGAAACCATGGGGTCCTATGCGAGGTGAAACGTTTACCGAAAAACCGTTAACCGATGTCACTGTTAACCGAGAGACTACTGTATATCTCTTGTGCTATCTAGTGGAGCTGCAGTGGTAATGCAGATATAGATTCTATAAGAATACCTAACATATTTTACTTACCTATAAAAGTATCACCAAATCACAGAATATAAGTAAAACATGTAAGCAGCTGTCTCCTTCATATATCTGTCTTATTCAGATAAAATACAAGTATATTTTACACAACTCAATGGCCCCATAGCCTTCTGGGAGGGTACATTTTCAGCAACATTAATTCACTGCATGAAAATTCAAGACCGGTTTTAACATATGGTGTCACATCAGCAGTCAGGCTTTTTGAATAAATGAGTATCAGTAGCACCCTACCAATGTGACTCAGTTATATCAAAACCAGTCCAGGCTTTTCCTTCTAAAAACAAATTTTACGAGACATTTATAAACAGATAAGGGTTGATAGGTGAGGTATCCATAAATCCATGGACCATGTGGATCAATGTTTTCCATCAGCAGTTAAGTTGTAACCCTCTGTACTTTCATCAATAGCGTGTGGCCTGTTTCAACTGCTGTTGACTTGCCTGACATTATACTTAGGAACCCTTCACAAATGGGGGATCACGGTGAAATGACACTCACTCTGGTAGAAGGGTCTCCTGGACGAGGCGGAGTAGGCCGGCATTAGGCGAGACACCGCCGGCCTTGCTGCTCACAGCCTCGTGTCCAAGCAGTACAGATGCCGCCTCTGACAGCAGCCGCAAGCTGAACATACGGCGCTCCGCTGGGGGGAACACACTAACGGAGACGGAGGGTAGGTAGAAAGAATATCGTGATATGTTTTACTCGTGTAATTAATCGAGAGCCGCTGTTCTAGAATGTTTCTTCACCAAAAAACACTGGTGCAACTAAGCAATACGATACAATTCACCACATCAGTGGAGACATAGTGGGTTTAAATTAAAATGTTTTGCTCAAACAAGTGCTATTTAATTGAAAAAGGTTTAGTTAATTGAAAATGGTGAAAGACTATGTCTCTTTTAAAAATATATCCCACTCAAGACCAAGATAAATTGTACAACTCCTTGTTTTCTCAAATAAATGCATTTAAGATACAGTGAAGGAAAGGGGGAATACATGTTATTCTTTAAAGCGGATTAATATCTCATACTTCTATTGAAAAAATCAATGCATTCATGATGAGGTGGCAGGGTGGATCCGGGGATCAATGCCAACATCTCTGTAATCCTGAACATACACATTATAAAAGCAAGTTCTTAATTTCAGGGAGCTGATTTTTTCCACAGGTGACCAGTGACTCAATCCACTAACCAATTTGTAGTCCAGTTTATAGTGTTAAAAATATTTTCTTGATCTTGTAGAGTGCTATTGATAAACAACAATGAGTACAAGCTATTTAACACCATTAATAATGCAACAGCAGCGGTTCATTCATTTCTCGTATACGGCTGTTTTTCGAAATAGAGAAAAATCTACAGCCCTGACATACCAAGGCCATTTGTTGATATTGCACAGTTAAATCGCACAGCCTTACCACTTTGGCTCAGAACAAGAGCAGTCAGAGGAGGCAGAACAGAGTCCACAACCTGCAAACAACAGCAGTCATAAAAAGCCTTACATGAGAAGGGACATTCTAAATAGTCTAGAGATCCCAGCAAAGGGGATGTATGTAACTTTCATGCCATAAATTCAAAGTGCCTCTGTGCATAAATGAGTGCGAGATGACACCCGTATGCTGGCAGTCCTAAGCCATTGGTTGAAATTCTGCATTGCTAGGTTGATGCCAGTCTTTCTATTAGACAACTACGTTTGACTTCTCACAATGATGCACGTTTTATAAACCAAAGATGATGGCCCGAGTCAATCGGTGAACTAAAGTTTAACTCGCAATCTTGAGATTGTGAGTACTGCACTCCTATCACTCTGAGCCTAGTGCAGATTGTTTGTAAATAAAACAGGTCGTGCAATTGTATTTTAAAGTATTTTTTAAAATAATCCTCCCTCTGTATTTTGTGTAGGAAGTGTCCAAAATGTTACGGAGATTTTTTTTCTCAATGAAGCCTCTTTATGGAGATTCTAATATGAATAACACAGTAGCTATCCTCTTTCCAACATGGAAGAAATATCCACAACTTGGCACAAGATGACATGTAAAACATTTAAGCACTATATGCCAGAATGACACAAATGCCTCTGCAACATAAAACATTGTCTGCTTCATTTGAACGAACACAATGCTGATATCCCAAATGGGCAATGTGTTCCGCAAAAAAATCCCCTTTTTCTCACTCCACGAATGCCACCGAATTAAATTAAAGTAAATTAATATATCGATGTGCATGATGTATTTGCTTGGCCTCGTGCCGCAAGGGCAGTGACTGTGGCTGCCCTCACTGCCACTCACTGCAACGTGGTGCTGAGTCAGAAGAACAGGGTGCTGGGTGATGGCCTCGAAGACCGATAGCGTTACTCTCATTGCTTCGTCCGCCTGTGCCTGGCCTGGGTACAAAATATAGGAATGAGCACCGCCACTACACCCACTCATCAAGCAAGCCTTTGCAAACACAATAAAATGTCCCTGTATTTACCCAGGAAATGCTTACTGCATCTCAGCGCTCTTTTTTCAGGAGGGCCCTGCACTGGGAGGTTTGGCAATGAGATTTTGCATGTGGGAGGAAAGATAAATACCTACAGAAAACCTATAAACACGATAGAATGGCAAAGAATATCTATGTATATAGATCAACGAGCCATTTTCTGTACCACCATCACTTGGATAACTCCCAGCGCAGCAGATTTTAAAGTCTTATTGTACACAAATAGTAGCTTTGGTGAGAGTGGATCTCCTTAACTTATTCCTGTCCTGATTAGTATTTTGTTTCGTTCTTTGCGTAATTTCAAGTGTAGTTGTCCCTTGTTTATGAATAAAACTAGTCTTGGGTAAGACACATCACTGAAACGGATGATGATTGATGGGGAGGTACTGGAGTAGCATCCAAAGGAGAGAATGTGCCAGAGGGAACAACAACTTCAGAGATGGAGTGATGAGATTTAACTAATGTGCAGAAGATGGATTTTGGAATAAAAAAAACGTGTTTCAAGGCATCGGTATCATGGGTGGGGGAGCGGTGGATAGATCATGGCTGATGATGATGGCCATCAGTAAACAAAAGTGTGATCCACAAACACCCTTCTTTTCTGTTAGTTCCAGCACAAACTGTAAACCACCAAGTTGCTTTTAATGCCAAGGCTTTAAGTCAGTTGCAACTAACACTATTAGGCTGAGCTTCACAAGGTCTTGTAAATTTTTCATATAATGGCAACATATTATTAGATTATTGTATATGTCTGTATACATTTAAAGGGATTCAGCTCACGCTACATTCAACAAAGGTTTCTTTATTGATGACCCACGGGTTACCCAGCAGGTAACACGTGCTGCAGCAGACTTCACACCCAGAACTCCCCTCCTCCTCTTTCTCTCTCCCCTTCATTCACTCCTCCTTCTGCTCCACCCCCTATCTACACTCGCAAATTGTCCTTCTCTGTTCTTCCAACTGTCACTTTCCCTTCAAGTTTCCCACTCCTTTTTCCCACTGTGGCTGTCCTCCAATCTCACCCTCCTTGCTCATTACTCATCGCCTATACATACGTACGTCTAGGGCTATTGCCCAGCGCCTCCCTCTAACGTCTGATCAGAGTGGGCTTGGCAAGACGCCCGTATTCCCCTACACTGTTGAATTCTGAAATGAAATCCGGTGTCCTCCTCATGCATTAGGTTATGAACAGCAGTAGCAGCATCCTCTATGAATGTATGATCCCCTGACATACAGCCATGTGTATTAAATGTCGGGAGACTTCTGGTAAAATCTGTGGTTGATATTCATTTCAGCATATAAAATGTCTGGTTATTTCTGGGCCACATTTGATCAAATAATTCATCTCATGTTACATAAAATAACTATATCTTTTAAGTCTCATTGTCTTGTGTGTTAAAGATCTGACGAGATCAGGTACATTCCAGGTGATTTGATCATAGGCTAATTATGTTTCTCGTAAATTATAATTACCTTAAATTACCTATACCTATTACCTAAACTGTAAAATATAAGATAAATATATATTTTCTTCCTAAGATACAGTCAGGAGCTGCCAATACTGGCAGAAAATAAAAAAATATGCTAATTTATAAATGACTTGTTTACGTACCAACAGCGCCATCAATGCTGGTCTCTCCATAGTCGATTGATTTGATATACCCCTAAGAAAGATAAGCCACTTCTTTAATACATTCACAGCAAGCAGTTCATGGAGAAAAACATTATAATGCAGGCTTTGAGGCTGTGCAATTATTCTGCTCAGTGTTTAGACTGTAAGAGCTCTTGATCTTAATCATAAAAAGTACTGTTCCAAATAAAATAATGCCATATTTCACTGGGACTCCTTAAAAGTGAAAATGCATCTCTGCAAGGCTCAGAACATCATACACGTAAACCATATCTCAGATACATGTCCCCTGCAAAGATACAAATTACATATTCATGCTGAGAAATTATAGATATGCCAATTTGGCAATAAAAAATACACAGACGAGGAACTGGTGCTTTGCAGGTGAAATGTTACAAAATACACAAATACATGTAAAACCTCATATTAAATTTACATTGCATTACCCTTGTTAATCCAGGAAAGCATCACCGAGCATGGTCTTGGTAGGTTTGTGCAGTAAAGGGAAATGATTGCTATGTGTTTCCCAAATAAGTAATTTTTGAATAACCTTTCAAATTTGGAACAGTACGCCAACACTAAATATGAATCAAGGTGACCACCCGTTTCTAACCATGCATCTCTGCAACAAGCTGCAAACACGCTACTGCTAGGCCATGTAACCGCGTCAAATGCAGATTGTGTACATAACACAGAACACATCACCCGAATGAAGCCTAAAGCTCTGCATTCGTTTATATACAGGGTTTTATTGAAAGTGCAGTTATTCAAGGGTAACTAAGGAAGAAAACAATTAGAAAAATTGACTGAATGTATACCTACCAAGAGAATCCCATATTTGAAGAGAAACTCATCATTCACAATCTGTGGCCTGAACACCTGGAAAAGAGCACAGGGAATGAATATAGGAAATAGGTGTGATCATGATCAATGATCATTCATTGTTTGTGAAGTCATGTTGTGCTCATGAGATATATGAGTATCAGCTACAAAAAGAACAAAAACACAATTCTCTCCACGAGCACAGTGGTTTTGAATGGTACGTAAATATATTTTTTGAACGATCACTGAGGAAAGGATGATAGAATATTATGCGTGAGGTAATGTACATCAGGTTGTGATACTTTATTCACCGTGCATTACTTTCATGCAAAAGTGACCTCACAAGGCAAAACCACTTTCTATGTGCCTCTTGTCATTCATGTAACATTTTGACAAATATATCAGTGTTAATATTTAGCTCAAACATTAAATAATATTTTATGAATTCAAACTGATGGGAACATTTTCCTCGAATTAAGCACGTGACCTATATTTTTCAAGAGTTTTGCCTGAGGATTATGTTTCTGCAGCAATAAAATGCAATGTGTTCCCCAGATGTGTACAAAGTGAGATGAGGATGGTTCATGCTCCAGTGGTCCATTGTGGGGTGACTACTGGGCACAATCTCACCAACATAAAGAGAATACGCGGTAAACAAAACTAAAATTGACTCACATTATAAACAATGAGTGGTTGGCTTGAATTGGAAATAAATGCCCTTGTGTTCACACTGACCTGTGAGGTGACAAGATGTAAGAGCACGGGCAGCATGGGCAGCTGATGCTTGAGCTGTTTGGCCTGGACTGTGGATGGGTGCCGCCTACCGGACACACTCTCCAGGACTGATACAACCTCACCTGTCCCACAAAGACCGGGCAAGTTCACACATGCAATAGAGGTAAGTAAATGCAATTGCTTTGCTCACAACTGCTGTATGATATATTTACAGGAGCAATGCATTATTTTGAATATACTTAACAAAAATGTCTTTACCACACTCAAGCAAGTATTGGATGGTGCTCATCTTGGTGTGTGGTCTTGAGCTGAAATTCCACATTTGTATTCCACATTACTATGGTGGGGGCCAGTCTATCCACAGGTAAACCACTGTTGTCTTCCCATAAAGCAGTGCTCATTTTATTGACCTCAGAGGGTTGATGGGCTCAGTCTATCCTCAACTAACATTTGAATGTGGAACTTGATAATGAGATGATCCTCTTACCACTCTGCCACTTGGCTGGATGAATTCAAGTAATATTTTCTTTGCTTTGTCTAGAAGGCTTCACTAAGTGTAAAGACGCACTTTACTTAGGGTGGTACTTTGGAATGTGTTTAATTTGTAATTATGTAAAAGTATTTTTGCTTGTCGGAGGAAACAGGAATGTCCAGGGTGAACTCATGTTTGTGAAGTACAGTAATAGCAAATCTCTTACTGCACCGCCCCCTACAGACCTCTCATTACCATCAGGCTGGTGTGTCAATGTTCGTATGCAGTCATACCCCAGCTACCCTGATTTCGTACTTAGCCAGATCAGAGCAACTAATTAAAAAGAAAAGTCTGTGTATTAAATGCAAGAACGTAGAAAATCTAATAAAACATTTTTACATACTAAATACCTGAGAATATGTTACGTAAAATAAAATGCAAGAGAACATGTTTAATTGTACATAATTTTATAATAAATGTCGTTCAATTGTATTAAATGGTAATACGTTAGTGGTGGGGGAGCGATGGTGAAGGGTGGCAGGTGGGAGTGATAGGGGAGGGGTGGTGGGGATTGGAGGGACCAACATAACTACTTAACAGCACACAGTACACAGCACACAGTTACATACCGTACACACTCTTGAATTTGGGTCTGCTTAATAATACGCACGTACACGATATACACTAACATATATATGACATATATATATACACATATACAGTACATAGGATTATTGTTAATTTGAACTTATTTTAATTTCAGACCAAGGCTATGGTTTCACTGTACAGGAGTTCATTCATGCATTCACAACCCATGCAGTTCATTCCACATTCACAGGTTCCTTACCAGTAAGCAGGGGCAGCTGGTGGACAATGAGAGCAGTGAGGATCTCCAGGCACCGGGACAGGTATTCGTACCCCCCCTGCTGCTGATCCTTACCCGGAGTTGCGCGCCGAGAGTCCCTCTCAATGTACATCACCAGCCTGTCGAGGATTTGAACGCATCGCCACCGTCACTATCATCATCATCATCCCCATCATCAACAAAAAAAATGAAGATCAATGGCAACAAACAGATTGGAAAGAGTGTTTCACTGATCATGAGATGGGTGCTAGGCAACGTTCATCAACATTGGTACCCCTGAATCAGTGTTGAAAATGATAGATTACTATGGTAGGGCCATCTGGTTGGATGGTGCTATCATTTGGGCACCTATCTCACAGTCTGAAAGCTAAGAGCCTGAATCATCGTTGGTGGTTGACTAAGTAGATCAACTTGACATTATGAATACCTCTTTGTGGGTAGCCAGTTTGATGTGATAAATACCAGTGCACTCTAACCTGGTGATTAAACTACATTGAACTGGGAACAGAGTGGTGAGCGTGCGTGTGGCAGTGCTCACTCACCGGGACTGACAGCAGTAGAGCAGCATGTCGGGGTTGTTTTGCAGCACCTGATGGAGTGCCAGGAAAGCCTTGGCTCGGATTAGCACCGACGGACTCTCCAGCAGACGCACGATCTTTGCCACAAACTCCTGCCACACACCAATGGCGTCGTCAGCAGAGAAGCTTATGGGAGGACACAGTCCAATAATGAAATGAGTGCTTTTTTATTTCATTACCATACCTACATTTGTCTGTATCAGTGTGACAGTTTTAGTCAATTCCTATACATAATAATTAATTGAATCATCTCAAATAACTGTTCCTTGTTACAAGACAATACATTGAGTTCATTCTATTTCCTCATTGACAAATTTTCAACCTCATATTACATAGCCTGTGATATGCAGCTTAGAGTGATACCTACTGCTGTTTTCCTTTTTTAGGTTGTGTAAAACACCTTATTTAAAAGAAACCTGTTCCCAGCTCACAATGGGAAAGTCATAAAATAAAATACCAATTGTGGCTATAATCTCTCAGGACCTGATTAAAACAGAATCAAGTAACAGTGGGTATCCTTTGGAGACGATGGTACTAACTATATTCATGTGGAATATCCAGCCATAGCTCAGGACTCCAAATGGAGATGAGTTCCGGCATCTATTCTTGAGTTTTGTTGTAGTAGCCGTAGCTCATGACTCCAAATGGGGATGACCACTGGCATCTATTTTTGAGTATTGTTATAGTAGTAACTCAATATCATATAAAATGAAATCACTTTGGAGTTATTAGTGATACAGAATGGCAGTGTGTACACAGACGGGAAAGAGAGAGGACCTTCTCATGAACAAGGCGCTGGAGGTGGCCACCCGACGCCAGCATGATGCAGAACAGGGTGAGCAGGCACTGCTGCACACGCGCAATGCTCGACAGCAGTGCCTCAAGCACAGGTGCCAGCCCCACCTTCTCCAGCACGTTCTGAAAGCAGCTTGGCATGCGGCGGCTCACGCGACAAAGTGCCTACCAAACCAGGATGGGTGGAGGGGGGAAGGGGGGGCGCACACACAAGCATACGCACGCCACCATAATCACCAATGCCATTTGCTGTATATCCAGAGCCAATAAAAAATGTAGCCTCGAGCTGTACTTTGGGCTGAATTAAATTGTACTCCTATGAGCTGCATGGCTTTGTGCCATACTCCTCTATCGCTGCTGCCAATCCCTCCACGCTGCATGGTAGTGTTTACATTCGCAAAACAACAATTTATCGAGGATGAAAGTCCAACTAATGTTTCATCTCCCATTACAACGGTTGGCCACATGCACGAAGGAAGTTCAACATACATGCATACACTGCACTTGAGAAACTTAGAATATTAACAATAGCCACAAGTAATAGTGAAAAGTTGTGTACATTTATGTGCAACATTATAACTGCAAGTCATCTTATCCACTACAATACATCCATAATTAGGAATTTTGTAAATATTTTTTATACAAATTGTGATTAATCTCTGGTGCTATTGCTTATTTTATTGTGATTTACTTCTATGGTTCAAATTAATGTTGAATTGTTATTTTCATAATTGGTGGCTCAGAGCCACTGGTGGAAAGTTCACATTACTTTGGTGGATGCCAGTTTATCCATAGGAAATTCACTGTTGACTTCCAACACAATAGTGTTCATTACTTTGGCCTTACTTGATGATGGGCTGAGTCAATATTAAAGCAGGATTTGAACTTAAAACCTTCAATAGTTGGGTGCTCTACTAACAGCACCACCTGGCTGGATTTATCAGTTAAAGGTACAGTGTTGCATATGCGATCAACTCAACATGTAGTGATATTCCTTGCATCATGTGCATGTACTAATTTAAACTGTACAGTCACTCTGCACATAACATGGACATACACCTCACATAAACCATACAACCATCACCACAGGACACACGATGAAGAAATTATCATGACAACACACACATGGCACGATCACATGCACATCAAAAGCACCAATAAAACAAAAAAACACGGTAACATCAAAGAAATATATTTGGGTGTATTGTGAATGTGGTGAGCAGAGGGAAGGCATCTAAGTGTTAGGATATATTGTAAAAGGGTGTAGCCAGGGGGCAGGTGTCTGCCTTGTATTACTATTGTTTATGTCTTGACATCAATTTAACAACCACTGACTTTTTTTGGGCTGTAAGCCAGCACATCTGTGCTCCTGGATGCAAGCCTTTGGGTGAAGATGCCAAAACTTAATGGTTCCTTCAACGATAAGGGTTTTCAGATGGATCGAGTTAAAATGTGTGAAAATGTGAAGTACAAAGATAATAATGTAGTTATAGAACTAACAGGTAACATATTTTTTTATTCTTTACAAACACTGCATTGTTTGCATAGGTAGAGCAGGGGAGTGAGGAGTAAGCACTTCACAAGATGCATGCCAAGTCAGCTCCAATTGTTGCATGTTTAACTTTCCAATATTTGTAATAACCTCTGTATTTTACTTAATATTTAAATGTTTTTACTTGCTGTGTTTGGATATTTGAATGTCTGATCAGATTGCATATACATTAACATATTTTAATATGGTATTAACGCATTGCATGATGTCGACATTGGTCATCTTAGGAAGATAATGGTCCCCGTTACATGAACATTTTCACCAATGGCTCAGGGTCGTCAAAGTCGTTTGAGCAGACACTTGATTATTAATACATTTATATAATAATTCATTCAATAACATTAAAACGTATTAACTCAACATACAAAAAAATGTTGCGGCAAACAAACTCACAGAGATGGCAGTGACACGCAGGGAGTCGACGGTGCAGTGGGTGAACAGGTACCACAGCATGGGCCCCACCTCTGCCGTCTGAAAGCCGCTCGTCTGCGCGGAGGCTCCACTGCACACATTCTCCACTACCTTTGCTGCCAGGTGGTTCGTTAGAGGCTCCTCCTGCTCACCAGGTTTTCACAGAGCAGCCCATGCAAACCCAGGAAAAGCACCACCTTCTCGAAATGTTCTATTGAACTCCTTTATTTAGCTTGTTGACCTGGTGGTACTTTGCTTAGATAAAGTCATTAAATGAAGAATCATTATGTGCTGTCTCGGTGGTGGTCTATGTCTAATAAAATGCATTAAACAAAGATAGGTGTTTCATCGAGAAATGAAACAACATTTTATCCCATTGACCAAGGGATTTGTTCAAACAATTTCTGCTGGAAAACACTCATACAAAAATACATGGCCCATTATTCATGCTTCCAAAGTCGACAAAATGAGTAACACTAGAAAACCCACTGTGGTCATCCTATGAAGATTCTGAACCCCACCATGGAAATATGGTATCTCCGCCACTGGCTTAAATATCTTGACTTAAAGCTTTCGTGACTGCAGGAATTCATATTATGTGGGTCTTTCGGTAAAGTCACGTAGATAGGTTCAAAGAAAATAACAAAAAACTACGACCTTTTGATTGCAACACAAGCGGTCGTCATCAGGAAAAGGGGGTTAGCTTCTAAAGGCAAACTGTTTATAAAAGTTTGAAATGGGCATAGCCCAAATGTCAGGAGCCAATGTTAATGTAAGTGGTGGGCAGCGACCACGATGGTGGTGGGTTTTCCACCAATCAAAGGGCTGCCAGGTAAAAATTATCATCTTCTTGGTTCTTTCGGTAAAGTCACGTAGAAGGGAAATAATAAATTAATCAAAATAAAATATAATAAAACGGAGGAATTTAGCATATTGACGCTAAAGAACTGCAACTACCCAACTACCATACAATAAACCGATGTGAAAAAACTAAATATAAACTACATCAATATAATCAATGTGCTCAATATACTCTCCAATAAGATGAGCTATTAAGATCAAAGAAAGGTACCCCAATGGGTTCTCCCTTATCTCCAGTTGTAGCCAATGTTGTCATGGAAAAATTTGAGACAGATGCCATCCAGGCATCCACTCTACGTCCGTCCTTGTGGAAGAGGTACGTAAATGACACGTTCGTCATCTGGCCACGTGGCCGACCAGCTCTGAACCAATTCCTCAACCACATCAATTCCATACACCCAGCCATCAAATTCACCATGGAGATGGAAAAGGATAGCAAGCTACCATTCTTGGATGTTTTAATCGAAAAGAGACCAGATGGCTCAATGGGACACTGTCTACAGGAAAGCCACCCATACGGATGCATATCTAAAACCTGACTCCCACCACCATCCTTCCCAGAAGAATTCCTCATCAAAACTCTACACCATAGAGCTCGATGTATTTCCGACCATCATCACCTAGCCAGTGAACTGGAACACGTACACCAAGCTCTCAAGAAGAATGGATATTCAGACTACACAATCTGTAAAGCTATCACCCCAACTGTTGGGAACGAACCATCTGAAGACCCAATCAAAACCATCACCTTGCCATACATAGCAGGGGCCACCAAAAAGATTTCCAAAATCATGAGCAAACACAAGATCCAGGTTCGATTTAACACAGTACATAAAATTCGTGATCTGATCCCATCTGTGAAGGATGTGATCCCTGACATGCAATACCCTGACGTCTATAAACTAAGCTGTGTCTGCGGCAGTAGTTACATTGGGGAAACTAGGCGACATGTCTCGGACCGTGTTCGTGAACATAAGGCAGATCTGAAACACGGTAGGACCAATACCTCGGCCGTGGCTGATCATTGTTTTAATGCGGTGAGTTCACACGAAATTGATTTATCTAAGACAAAGGTACTTTGCAAACCCACTGGCTATCAACAAAGATTCGTTCATGAAGCCATCTATATATACATATACAGACACAATTTCAACCGAGAAGATGGGTACAAACTGAGCAATCATTGGAAGGACGTTATTGACCAGTTTAAGTCATAACTGGCTGTGATGTTCCTATCCTACCACCTTCCGATTTTAGTTGTTATTTTCGGCTCTCTGATTTTACGTGAACAGGTTAAATTTCTCACACTAACACAGCCACCTCGCGCGCCTACCTCGAGGTTGCTGCTCTGCGATCTTCCATTAACATGCTCATCTCTCACATTAACACAGCCATCTCAGCGTGCTCGCCGTGGAGGCCACTCAACGATCTTACATTAACATGCTAATTTTTACCTGGCAGCCCTTTGATTGGTGGAAAACCCACCACCGTCGTGGTCGCTGCCCACCACTTACATTAACATTGGCTGCTGACATTTGGGCTACGCCCATTTCAAACCTTTATAAACAGTTTGCCTTTAGAAGCTAACCCCCTTTTCCTGATGACAACCGCTTGTGTTGCCATCGAAACGTCGTAGTTTTTTGTTATTTTCTTTGAACCTATCTACGTGACTTTACCGAAAGACCCAAAGAATATGGCTTGAATATATTAACAAGACTAAAGTCACTTCCCATTGCTCACTGGACCAGCAAGACACCTTGACTTATTATTTTAATAATGTATTGAATTGATTGGAGAGCTGCATGAATCAAACTGTCAACCAATAGTAAAACTGGCTCAGTAATAAGGGTATTCACAGTAAGATTACCCATCTATCTGATTTAAAAAAATGGAACTCGAATGAATTCAGTGGTAATGTAGAATTTTTTCCGCGTGTAAAAACAAAAGGGATAAAGTGGTGAACATTGCAGGCCGTACCCCATCACGTAAGCATCGCAGTACCACAGTGAATGCAGCACTTGGGATATGCCAGCTCTCATTCGATACCCTTCTCTTCTCCTCCTGCATGGTAGATAAAGACAAAGGTCGTTCATATAGCATTAACAAACTTTTGGGGAAAATGCTGTTAGCGAGCACCTATGAAGGCTGGCACGGCACATGAGGGGGTGGGTGGCCAACTCCACACTCAGCTGCCTTGTTTCCCGCATGGCCATGTTTACACATTTCACCAGATACTCATTTGAGACTGAGTCGACCAGGACTGGTTCAAATAATTGTCACTGGAGTTAGCGTGAGCGGGAGTCGAACTCAGCTCACAGGGTTCATAGTGCAGTGTGCCAACCGCTCTGCTACCGCTCCCCAAATGGTAGAAACACACACACATCTATATAAATAAAGACTTTAATCTGTATGTCTCAAAAACCTCTAGGGTACTTCCCAACAAGGTAGAAAGCTAAAATGTGGTACATAGGTAACTTTTTGGACACAAACAGAAAAATTTAGAAAATCTAAGATTTTTCATTTTAAGGTCCCCAAATCTCGATTTTAAGTACCCTATAAAATGTTTGCACGTATCATTCAGAAACTGTAAAAAAATATAACATTGCGTTTTTTCTTTTGATATAGCGTTTCACAGAAAATTTAAAAGTAAAAACCATTGTTCTATCTTTAATTGTTTTTGAGATATTTTGGATTAAACCGGTTTTGAATGAAAAAATACGCATTTTATGATGTTAAAATCTGAATATTTCGAAAACAGTAAAAGACAGGAGCTTCCTCTCAGAGAGTATTAAGTTAATAATTTTTGGTTCTTTCTAGTAAAATAAGAAAGGAATCTTTAAATTGAGCGGTTTCCGATAGGTACGTCTTTAAATATAAGACATTGAAGCAAGTCAACAATTTTAGTTTTTTTGCAGAAAAATAAAAAAATGTTGACTAGTTAGTATCTGATTGTAGATACAAATTGTAAAAAAATCACATCTGGTTAATTATTATAATTATTGAAAACTTTTGCCTGGCGAAGACAGGCTTCATGAACTAGTACAAAATAATTGACAAAAAAGGTATTCATCTTTAATATATAAATGCCATGGTGCTGAAAGTAAATGATTTAATGAAAGGTATACAAACAGTGAAGTTAATGCTTTTTAAGCACTGAATGATACAGCTAATAAAATCGACCATATAGTAATTGATATCTGTTATTGATGAAACATCTACTCTGGTTATTTTTAGACTACATAACACATCCATGACACAAGTGTTTAACACATCTTCCTGAAGAACATCGATCAACTGCTCTACATGCACTCTCCTCCAACTGCTCTTAATACATTTTTTGGAGATTTCGGCAGCTGCCACATGATAAATGGTTAACCAACACACAAGACATGACCACACGTGTCTCACTGCTCCAACCAATTACATTTGCATACAACAGGCATACACATCGAGCACACAAGACAATTCTTAGATCAGTGCTAAAGATATCATAAAAAGGTACTGTACATGGAAATATCATAGGATACATTTTACAATGCAATTTTACAATCTAGAATTTTACAATGCCTTTTTGGATGACTTGCTAGATGAGGTTGGTTAGATGTTTTATGCAAGGGGAAATGAAGGTGGCTGGGTAGCTGGTTGGTGCTGGTTTGCTGGATGGGGTTAGTTATCTAATTAGACAGCTGGTTTGGGGTGGATTGTTATAGTTAGCTTCAAAGTTGCATTACTGGTTGAGAATGAGGTAAAGGTTTGTATAAGGTTTGTTGGTTGAGGTTGGATGCCAGGTAGTTTATTGAGGCAGTCTTGCTGGTGGTAACTGGCTTGTCTACTGACAAGATGGGTGGGAGGAATAAGGCTTACCTGTCTCGTGGCAAGGCACATGAGTTCCCCCAGTGCAGGCAGCAGGCACTGCTTCAGCTTGCTGTTCCTATAGCTCTCGCGCACCAGCTCCGTCACGGCAGTCATGGCCTTCCATCAAGAACATGCACACAATGGGATAGTCTACACACTTGCCTCATGCTATGCACCTATAAGCCCAAGAAGATATTAATATTTACTAGAATTTCTGCGGCCTATGGCCGCCTTATTCTAGCTCCTGCGGAGAGCTTCTCGGCGCTTCGCGCCTCGCCCATCAACCCCACTGATGTCATCTTCTCCCCCCGCTTCCCCCAATGTGTACAGATACTACTGACTCTATTGTATGTAGGGTGTGTAGGACATATTAAATAAATGTATTTTTTTGGGGGTGGGTCAAATATTTTTTGAGGGGGGTCGGCAATTTTTGCAAACCTGTGAGATCAAATTTTTACCCCCACATCTGGGGGGTCCACTTTCTAGAACTTTTTCATTCAGGCCTTCTTAAAGGCTCTTATAATTTCGTTGACAAACGGACAAATGTAACGCCGAGCTTTTTTGATAGTGCAATATGCTATTAAATGTGTTTCAAATGTGCAATGTCTGCCATGACATGATACATCATGGCCTATGCTTTTACATGTCATATATTCATTAACATTTACTTTCATGCAGCTAGCATTCTCTGACTAGGCAGCTGTAGGATTGTTCCACCGAATCATGTAAACTCCATCAGTTGAGGGTTCACTGACTGGTGCCCAGCTGAATAAAACTCTAATGTATATTTTTCTACTTATAAAACCAAAAATTACAAAATCGAAATTGAACTTGAGGTGTTTTATGGAACAACGCTAGGCTGTTCATATGACAACATGTGTTATTGCTTTACAAAATTGTACAAATTTCCATGACTGCAAATGGATGACAGACTGACTTCAACCCACTAACCAGGATTTGAACTCGATTATAAGCCCAGCATATGCTATCCACAGTGACACATGGTCATCTGGACGGCCGGGTTGTTGAGTGATATTTTAGCATCTTTAATGATATTCACTTTGCTTCTCATCATCTCAGATCATCCACTGTGCCCATTAAATTTCCACACCTCAGATATCACGGTGGTGTCCTTGAGCTCCGTGGCATGATGGGCCAGCAGAGCCAGAACACGAGCCGACTTCCCCCGGCTGAGTGCGCATAACCACACCACGTGAGACACCAATCACGCACAGCATTACTATCACAGCAAATACGCCACCTCAAGCAATATTCAACCATCATATGATTAGAGTAATCACACCACACCAATGTTATAATTGCATAAAATATCTCACATGGGTACTATCATTACTGACAGCACACTTTGTAAATTGTATAATTATATTTCCGCAGTCATACTCAGCAAGCAAATTACAGATACAGCAATATAAATACAACACGCCACAGTAAGCACAATCGAGATTTATAATACATTTTATAAGGAAAATATGTATAGTTATTATAATATTGTATTTTTCTTATTTTGTAAGTGGGTAATTACCTCTTCTTCTTGGTTCTTTCGGTAAAGTCACGTAGAAGGGAAGTAATAAAATAAAAAATAAAAAACATAATAATTCTCACGACGTTTCGGCTACAACGCAAGCAGCCGTCTTCAGGTGAAGAAGCAAGCAGCCGTCTTCAGGTGAAGAAGACGGCTTGCGTTGTAGCCGAAACGTCGTGAGAATTATTATGTTTTATTTTTATTATTTTATTACTTCCCTTCTACGTGACTTTACCGAAAGAACCAAGAAGATGAATCCCTGCAGTCACGAAAGCTTTAAATCGAAATTTGGGTAATTACCTATTTGAGATTTCAAAAAAATTTAACATTCTACTTTTTAATTTCTAATACCGTCGTATAATAAAAATTGGTAGCACTATTGAAAAAGCCCCTGACTCGCAATCAATAAGATTGTGAGTTCAATTCCTGGTCTGAGGTTGATGAAATGAGTACAACTTTGGAAGCCAATCGGCAAAGACTGACCCCTGTCATAAGAATGAAGTACTTCCACTCCGGGCTCAAGACTGTCAATGGAAATGAACACCACTCTCATGCTTGTCTGAGCAGGGATACACTTTATCGTCTGAATCAAACATATACATACCTACGAGGTAAATGCTGATTATCTTTCTCAAGAGATTATGTATTTACATAAGATGTCATATGGTTGAAATAAAAACATTTATTAATTTAATCATTCTATGAGTAGAACAAACAGGTACTCACATGTCCCAGTTTTGAGCAGACTGCAGCTGCTGGATCAGCACTAACAACTGCAAACACGTAAACAAAATTATTGATTACTAAAAATACCATGTATGCAATTTAAAACAATAAGTGTACACTTTTTTAATTACTCCACTGATAATGGAGAAGTGAACCATGGAAACCAATTTACTTAGATTTAAATGACAACTTAGAATTGTACCCTTTGAAACAATGATTTATGTCCAACTCTGCTCTGAAGTGTTTGAATAAGTTGGTGCCCTAATTTAGCAATAGGTTTAACACTGAGAAGTCAGCAAAAGTTGTGCTATGTGTAAGCTGGTTGCTGCAAGGGAAATTTAAGAACGAAACAGGATTTCTACACAAATCTGGCTGTCGCCTGATGATGCTATTATTTGTAATTACTGGCGAAACATTATACTCTGATTGATTGTAAATTTTGTGGATTTACTCTCCAACACAATGGTGTGCTGTACTAGTAACGAATTGGAATGTTCTGTTCACGTAATAAACATTACTAAATGGCTGTGTCGGGTGGTGGCGGGTTTAACGACACATTTATATTTATGCGATATAACCCAAAACAAAACCTGTATTATGTAAATGGCATGTGTTCTGCACTGGATTAGAACCAGAAAAGAGAAATGAACATTGCCTGATTCCTTCTTTGAATTGAAATGTTGTACTTTTTTTTGCAATCTCAATCTAATTGAAAGAAACAAAGGTACTGTGGTATGCTCAAATTTGTAATTTTATGAGTGCTATGCGCAGGGGACCATTTCACGATGAGTGTGGTGAAGATATAATCTTCGTGCTATGTAGGGGTGAGCATTACAGAAACAATTCTAGTTTTACCCAGAAAAGCATCCATATGTTTGAAGACTCTTTTCAGGAGGGACATTCTCTGATGTTAAGCCCATGTATTTATTGTGGCAAGATTCATGCAGAGAGATATAACTATGTATATCAGGACAGAACAATTAAACTGGGCCAGACAGATTTTTCAGCAACCAACTTGCTATACTATCACCTACACGAACCACTTTCATAACCTCCAGGTAGGTGTATTATGTGCTATCTCCACATCGCATCAACCCCCAAACATACTGCCAATCCACTGAACTTCAGGCATGCAAATGATGCCCCCTCACCAAATGTGAGTTGAGAAGACGGTTGGCGGCATGCGGATGCGTGCTGATGATGCACAGGTAGCACAGGAGGTTGAGTCGTGTGCGTGGAGAGCCTGACTTGTCAGTGGCTGCCATCGTGCCGCACAGCTGCTCCAGATACCGGGCCACCTCCAGTTCAGGCAGGTACGCCAGCTTCTCTCCTTTTCACGGTGGAAAACAAACTTACCAGCTCAATATAATGATAATGCTTCGTGTGTAAAGACAATGAGGATGTTGAAAAATAACGAGAACAAATTGTTTGGAAGTGCAGAAACTTATGATACATTGAATAACAATATAGTTTAAGTGACTACATAAAATATACATATAAAATGACTTGACACACTTCTCTTGAGATGGCACACGTTCCCCTGACATCAGGCGGAGACCCCACTGCAACAGCCCCGAGTCTCCCGCGCATCTTCCCCTTATATACCAACCGAGGCCATGCCCCCCTTCTCGATCATTCTCGCTGACTGGACGTTCGCTCCACCGGCTGACTCTACCGTCCTCTTCCGTCACCTGACCACGCTCCCTTCTCGATCATTTCCGTAGCCACCAGTCCCTTCGCACTCACAACTGATACCCCTGCCATTACCTCCCGTGGCTACTAGTCCACTCACAGCGCATGTAGGTTCTACTGTCATCACAGATACATCTCATCAATAGTCTTTCTGTGAACTTTAGTTCTTTGAACTTTGATGGCTGTTGTCCATATTTTGTGTGTGTGAGTTCATCGTAGTACCATTGCCTCAGTGTTTTTTACGTTTCTTGTTTGCATTGTAAAGCAATTTGATACATTATTTCCATATTTAAATGCTCATAGGAATTAAATACAACTTTGAAGTACCCATGGTTAAAGCAAATTCTGAAGTATAGTGACTTGACAAACTCATCCCTGTTTACCAATTACTTCACCAAAACACGATTATAACATTCGTTTCTAAATTCTGCATATTAAAGTTGTGTGGATTTATAATGATGGTGTAATTACCTTGAAAAAATGCTGTTTATTGGGAATACATTAACCACCTAGTCTGAATTATATAATGATATTTCTGTGTTGTCATCTTCCTGGTGCTGTTATCTGACATTATGATGTGGTACACTGCTCAGGGTGAGTTCTGAATGGATATTTTTTGCTCACATGACATAACGCTGATTGCAAATTAGAAAAATAATGTATAAAAAAAAGTTAAATAGTATACATGCTTTTGCACATTGTTTCCACTTTCGATGTAACCACGTTTAAATCATCATTATCATCATTAGCCATTATCTATCCACTAAAATAATGAGGGCCTTGCAATGCCATCACGAACTCTCATGGTGCAATGCTGTTACCATTCGTCTCACTCCTGCACATGAACTGATCTTATCGCTCCATCTTCACAGCAGCCACCCTCTCGGATGCATTATTTCCTTTGGCTGCCATTCTGTTACCAGTCTCGGTCATCAACTATCATGCCATCTTGTGATGTATACTGGCCAAGCCTGTTTACATTTTTAATTACCGATGTCTATAATGTGTGTTTGTTCCCTGATCCACATATTCCTTTTACAGTCTCTCAGTAATTCCAAGCAAGGACATATAATGCCCATTACATTATTGTAATATATTGAAGGCTCTTCCTACAGTCATGTCTTTAATGTTTTCCTTTCGCAAAGGATTAGCTCCTCACCTGTAATAGCAGGGACACCAAGGGTCTTTGGGTCAAACTTTACTGGTACTGGCTTCAGGATCTATGTGAAAAAACAACACATAAAAAACGTTAATTTTTTTTATAAGATACGTTCAAGTTAACATAATATTTTAAGGGATATGTTAATACAACAAAGAAAGTCAACAACCACACGAGTTGCTATACAAAAGCAAAAGCTGTATTGAATTAATGGCAGGCCTCAAATATTACACAAGGGTGACTTGGGGCATCAGGTTTTAAACTCACCCATGACAAAAAACATGGGCTGAGATGACTACGAGATTACACTGCAATATAATGAACACAATTATTAATGAACAACTAATTCCCAACAAAAATACCCGATAGAAGTACACACAATAACGTATGAAAATTATTGGTACAATGCTTTCGGTGGAAAAAAATAAAGGTCTTCATTTAGTTCAGAGTTAAAAATAAGCACAGAAACAATTAATCAGTGTCGCACAGGCATTCTTGGTTCAGTGTTACATCAAGTTACTGGGCTTGCCAGCATCGGCAGTACAAACCCAAATGTAGGCAGTCATGCTGATGCTGCTGATGAGCATGCATTTAAGTGATACTCTAACAACAAAACAAATAGCCTTTAACAAAAACCTATTTGTGTGATATATTGCATTTCAGTTTCAAATACAGCAGTTATTAGTGGAAATGAACTTTACATTTATATGTAAATGAGTGTATGTCAATGAGCTTTGAACCGATTAAAGAACAACTTATATGTAACATGTAGAAGCCAACTAACATACAGATGTAGACAAAAGTTCAATGTTTATTTTCAATTATAAAGCAATATTTTATTAATTTTCCTTTTAAATTAAGCGTTTGTATATAGTCTGTATATGATGATGACGTTTGAGGACAATCGTGGAAATGTTACATTCCCAAGGAAGGAGATAATTAACTATATAGGAATGAATTCCTGCACAGTGGTACTTATTAAATGACCCCCAATAGATGTTGGGTTTAGTTGACCCCTTATGAGGATTTTAACTAGCAAACCTTTCATCGTGAGATAAAAACTTCAATAACAGCATATTCAGACACTGTTGATTCCTATTCCTATTAAACAATTACCTTGGGGTTATCAATTATTGGAGTGATGAGCAGGTCTGATTCATGAAAAATCAGCTCCCATGTAGAAAAGACCTGCTCGCTGGTTTGCTGAAACAAGAAACAACCATTGCAAAGGGCTTCACTACAACTAGCTATTAACATACAAAGACCACATGTTCATGGCATGTCCAATATTAGCATGACTGAAAAACATGCGCAGAGCCTGGTATGCATTTGTGAAATTCTGTACAATCCATTATATTAAAATAGCCAATAATATTGTATACAGTTAAATCATGTTCACTAAAGGAGGAAATATGTGCCTTCTGCTGCTCAAGGTATTCATTACAAAGAGACAAAAATAACAGAAGTACATTGCATGAACAGAAGAGTAGCCCTCTCGTGGCTAGCAGACGTAGACATTGGCATTTAACTCCTGAACATATTCCAAAATGCATAAATATACCAGAAATATGGACTTGTATGTGCATAGCGTGGCATGACATTTGCAATACTCATTTTCTATTGCATTTCCTGCATATTATAAGGTCATTCTCGAAATGCCACAGACGGCAACCCATCTGCCTACAATGAGGGCACGTGGTACCTTCCCTTCAGCCCTGACTTGAATCATCCGTGAGCAAAACAACACCGAGTGAACTGAAACCTGCCCAGCCACATTTGAATGTGGCACAGTGTGCTTGCTCAAAAGTGCAATGTAACGTGCATGAAGAAACGCGTGAGAGCACGGACCTGCGAGGCTGTCGATGCATCTGCAGTGCCTGTCGTTCTGGGAGGCTGTCTCTGCCCGGCTGACCTGGCCCGGCTTGGGGTACCTGGCGGAATGGCAGTACTTGGACCCACACCTGCCCGGGATCGTGAACTAAGGGAGATCAAGGGCCACAGAACAAATCAAAAGGGGCATTGTCCAACATTTTACCATATTATGCTATATATTACAAGGAAGTGTATATGACGAACTTTTTATCATTGTTTGTGCACCAGTGCCAATGGAGTTCCATAATTTTCGTTAAAGACCACAGGTTAATGATGAATGACATCTTAAACTAAAATGTAATTCAAAAAATAAAGCTGAAGGATACTCCATAAACGTCAATACAAAGTAGATTCGAAGCTTTCGTGACTGCAGGAATTACTCTTTAGTTCTTTCGGTAAAGTCACGTAGAAAGAAATGAAATTAAATAATAATAGAATACGACGTTTCGATTGCAACACAAGCAACCATCATCAGGTACAAATGAATGAGAAAACAAACATAGTAAATTTCGATTTAAAGCTTTCGTGACTGCAGGGATTCATCTTCTTGGTTCTTTCGGTAAAGTCACGTAGAAGGGAAGTAATAAAATAATAAAAATAAAACATAATAAAACACGTCGTGATAATTGTTTTATTATGTTTTATTTTTATTGTTTTATTACTTCCCTTCTACGTGACTTTACCGAAAGAACCAAGAAAAACATAGTAAACTTGGAAATATAATGCAATACAACACAGAGAGTTGACCAATACAACAGTCAACTCCCCACCCGGTTGATAACGTTCTTCCAAAGATTGCTAAATTTGAGAGAGAGACAAAACATAGACACAGAGACACACAGACAGACATACAAGCAGAAAGAGACACACACAGAGACAAACAGAGAGAGACACACACATAGGCACACAAAAAGACAACGTCTCTGTGTCGACTATTATTGTAAGTTGATCTTCTTTGTAGTACCCATGAGCCAGCGGTAAGATATTCAACTTTTATAGTGGGGGCCAGACTATGATGAGGATGACCACTTCATTAACAATAGATGATGTGGTCCTATGGATAATCTGGCTTATCTTACCTATACAAGTAATTTTGTCTGTCTGCCTGTATCTCTGTCTGTGGACGCAACTTGCGACGGTTTTAACTCACAAACTGTGGGGTATACGTTTAAAAAAAGCACCCAGATACCACGTGATAAGCCCCGGGGTGAGCCAGTGCTATTCGTATTTCACATATATCAACTTTAAAGTAGTTAAATGAACAATGTATTACTTTTATAAGCACAGGGCGGCACCAGAGCACGCATCTGCGCATGCGCGAAATGCTGATCCGTGGTTCCCATAGCAACGCACACAACCGATTGGTGGATGGAGGGGGGAATTCTCATTCGCGTTAAAAATGTAAAAAAAATACACACAACACTGAGGTCAATTCTTTAAAGTGTGATGTCCTCAAAGTGTGATGTCTTATTTCCCCCCCCACTCCAATGTGTGCACTTACTATAGGGTCGGTAGATACTACTATCGTCCGTAGATACTACTACTGTAGTGCGGGCGGGGGGATGGTGGGGGGGGGGGGTAGCGGCCCAGCCCAAGCCGGCCAAGGCGCCACCTCGGCCGACTGGGCAAGCTAGGCGAGGTCGGGGGGGTCTGCACGGGACCACGGCACTTTGTATAATAATAGTTCAATTTGTAAAGCGCGCAAATTTGCAGACGTAGTGGCCGCAACTCAGAGGCGCGGAGCCAAGCTCAGAGTCGCTCGAAAGCATGATTGTAGAGGTGAGTTTTTAAGTTTCTCTTGAAGGAGGCGATTGAGGTGATGCTGTGAATGTGCAGAGGGATATCGTTCCAGACTGTTGGGGCTGCCACCGAGAATCGGCGTACAGACGTGACCATCCTGGATCTTGGTATCAAGAGGAGGTCGTGAGTCGCGCTGCGCAGGCATCTGCCGTTTGCAGGGCTGCAAGTTGTCAATAATGAAGAAAGGTACGGCGGGCAGGCGGATATGAAGGCATTGTGGCAGAGGCAGGCGGTCTTGTATGTGACCCTACTGGCGATAGGTAGCCAGTTGAGAGCACGGAGACAAGCTAGTGAGTCGAGACGGGGATGAGTGTGGGCAATGACGACGCGTGCTAGGTTGTTTTATAGTCTTTGAAGTTTCTTTAGGTTGCCAGCGGAGGTCCGGACTAGGACGGAGTTGCAATAGTCAAGGCGAGACCTAACTATGCAACATGCCAATGTGTTGGCAATTTCAGTAGAGATGAGAGGACGTATGTGCCTAGGAGCCTTCAGGTGAACCAGATGACGCCAAAAGGCACCTTTTGGCGTCATCTGGTCCAACCCATGTGAGACTAGGCTCTAAGGAAAGCTGTCTCGGGTGTGGACCAATCAACTTCAAGGACAGTGCATATATTATCAGTTATGTTTTTTGTTTGCATTATGGCTGCAGGAATTGTGGTCTATGCAAACATGATTCCTTGTAAAAAAGGTGTCAGTTTTGTTGCCAGAATAGAAGGGTAAAAAAAACAATTATCATATTTTTTACTGGCAAATGAGGTTCCAATGATGTAAATACTATAGAGTTAGTAGTTACTACTATAGAGTTGGTAGATACTACTTTAGGGTTAGTAGATACTACTATACAGTTAGTAGCTACTACTGGGCTCAGTAGATATTACTATACAGTCAGTAGATACAACTACAGAGTCAGTAGATACTACTATAGCGTCAATAGATACTACGTTAGATTCAGTAGATACTACTGTAGAGCCACATACTATTGTAGAGTCAGATATTACTATAGAGTCACTAGATACTACTCATTCTATTGTATGTAGGGTGTGTAGGTATATATGCTTACGCGGGGGTAAATATTTTTTGAGGGGGGGGTCGACAATTTTCAGAAACCTTTTAGATCAACTATTTACCCCCCACTTTATGTAACTTTTTGGACTTCTGCAAGACTCTTATAATTTTGTTGACGGATAAATGGACAAACGGCACACCGGGCTTTCACAATAGCTTCGTATTTGTGTATGTATATGTTATATTTCTAAGAGAAGTTTTGAAATATATTATTTCTGCGGGCAACGCTGGGTTCTTCCCGCTAGTGTCATATAAATGTGCAATTTTCACCTCTGACTCAAGGATAGCATTGGAGAAAGGCACCAACTCATTGCTTGTTTTAACACAACAATACCTTATTCCTGGTACAACCATGACAGGCAAAGGATAAAACTACATTTGAATACTCCCACTAAATGATCAAATTAATATAAACGAACCACGGTTAAGATTTTAATAGTGTACAGGTAACAAAAGGTATGAGATGCAATGAGAAAAAAGTAATGTCAAACCTGAGAGAAAACATTGACTCATTGTTCTCCGTGTCCATGACACTTTTAGGCCTCAATTCATCCGGTTTCTCTGTAAAATAAAACAGAAGCAGTAACAGTTAACAAGGAAAGTAAACTCAATCATATAATATAATTGAAAAATATTCCTCTCACATGAGAAGAGAACACTGAAATTAGAGCTGGCTGGGTGGTTCAACGTCTCATAGTAATGCATTTATCTAAGTCAATACAACTGAGATTATAAGTTTATGCCCCAAGTGTTAACCAAGATAAAGACAACTTCTCGCATGGAGTAAGTTGGATGAGCGACTTCTGAAATCTCTTCAATGCGGCTCGACTATACAGTCCTTTATACTTTGTAAAATATGTTGCATGGCATAATTAATTTAATATATCCTTAAACTTTCTCTTTTAGATAACGAAGGTACATTTCAGTAAAAAAGGATATGCACAGTCACTGGTGACCAGGCATAGATCATTAACTCAATACACTTAAAAACGCAGTTTAATCACAGATCATTGAAATCCAGATTTGAAAATGTAAACCCAGGATCTGATCAGCAGTGCCATTTAGGTGTGTGTCCCCAATTGTCAAATTCATCTGAAACATCTGAAAATTAGGCCTAGATATTACATTTTCGGATGATCAGATTTTGTTTTATTTTGGATGGACCAGGATGTATGGCCTCGCAGAAAATGCTATCACTTTAAATCTTTCCGACCAAAAGTGTTTGTATCAGGTCACTTATGTTAAAAGACACGTTGAAGTATTGCATCATGTAAAATGATCCTAAAATCCAAAAAAGATAAAGTCTGTAAAAATCATAAATATGCTATGTTTTTCATCCAAAATTCATCTCTAGTGCCAGCTCAGTGCTGCCTCAATCCTTACCGAGCTTGAAGGACCGGCTGAGGGTGCTGCGATCTAGGCTGGTGGCTGTGGAAGCCACAGAGCTGCCCTTGGGAGGCGATGCAGATGCAGCATCAACCACATCCTCATTTACAGCACTGCACAGGACCACATGCATACACATATATGAGCACACCCACACACTTTATAAGTGCTAGCACAAGGACCTGTGTTCAACAGATGAACAGCGTTACCTCTTCCCTGCAGGCTTGCCGATATCACCGGGGAGTGATTCTGAAAAGGCGCCCTTCCAGAATGGGTGCTCTAGCAGAGCCTGCCTCTCCGGCCTGCACCCATGCAGAGATGAAGTGGAAACACTGTGTTAAACACCAACCAAAAGAGAGCTCGCTAGCCAAGTAGTTATCTCACCAAATGGGTGCCAATTGATGTTATATATTTTCCAACGACATGTATGACTACACGGAGACAGTGAACAGCATATTAATAGTGAGGAGTAAACTGACCATGATGCTAACATGCTGCTGTAATACTAGTAAATGTGTGCCATGTAGCCTATAAATATTTTCGACTCAAATCATAACTCATGAAATGTATTTGATGATCGAGTATTTAACTCACAATTGCAAGGTCGAGAGTTCAAATCCCAGTCAGAGTAGGACTCGTTCCGGTCATATAAAATGATCATTACTTTCTGGGAACCTATGCTGCCATATGAACATGTAATTTCCACGAAGAAAAGCGCAGAGCCATCCCTGTGTGATCAGGTGGGCACTTTGGTTTTGATAAATTTACTAATATGATTCACTCAAAAACTCGATATGAAGTAAAATAGGCAGTTTTGAATTCAGGCACCAAAGTTACCTTTTAGATGGATCTTTCTGAAGCAGTTGTTCCAACAGGTTGACAAATTCTGGAGAGGGTTTCTTTGCATTTTCTCCTTATACAGTAAACATAATTACATAATTAAAAGCCTTCGTTTATTGAAAGCCAGCCAAGCCCTGTTGTATCACAATTAAAATGTGTTTGTATAACGTATTAACTTGAGCAACCATTCCATTCACCGATAACAGTTTATACATAATCTGTCCATTATTGTCTAATATAACTGAGGTAGCAACAATACAATTATGGTAAAAATATGCACTTGCTGTGGCTCAGAGTTGCCAATGTATTCCCAAATATATTCATAATACATAATAGATGGGCCACAAAAAAACACACACACACCTGATACCGTTGGGGTAGCTGGCACCTCATTGAGAATCTTTTCCATAAGCTCTGGGAAGTTTTCAGAATAAAATGGGGGGGTGCCTGGAGCAAACAATAGGCATCGCAAAAGAACATATGTTAACCAAGCTCAACCAACCATACATATTACTTTTTGTAATGTTTGTTATACAGTTTTCAGTTATGTTGTCGAACCGTTTGACTCTTGCTTAAAAACATCTACCAGTGACATAGGGCTTTTGTGACTATTATAAGCTAGCAAATGTCTTAAGCAAATTGCCTATAATTGTAGCTCTACATGCAGGTAGCTTCAAAGAGAATTCGGTGGTTCACATATACAGTATTATGTGTGATAAAACATTGCCTGTTATTCTGATAAAAATACGATTGTAATTTACAGTCATATTTTTTGCAAAATGATCCACAATTCCTAGCCTTTAATTTGTGATTGGAATACAGTATGGTAAATCTAATGAATTCAAGACGCCACATTTAACCAAATGGTCAATGTTGACCAGCGCACATGTTGTGGTACGGTACAGTGTTGGGTAGATAATGGTATCTTGAGAGGTAACAACTCCTCTCCCTGTGTTTGTAGATGCAATTGACCTATCGGAAAGAATATGATTCTGGGGTCTCACTACTGTATTGCATATGCCATTGGCCTACCAAATCTGAATTATAAATCCATCATAATAGTTTATCTTTTATTAATCATAGGTCACCAGAGGTAAACAGACAAAAATTAAATATATATGGTTACCTGTAAACAGTTCATACAGCATACATCCCAGGGAAAAGAAGTCACTGGCAACACTGAATTCCTCTCCCTTGAGCACCTCTGGGGCCATGTAGACTGGCGAGCCTGATGAATATCATCAAGAAATACAAGCATTCATGCATAAATGAATTTAACTCATTCATAAGAACCACCTGGGAGTTACATTTGATTAATATTGCCTGTGAAAGTTAATACAAATTGTCTTTTTGATTAAAATAACATGGGGCAGCATTCTTCTCCATTGGCATCCCTGAAACGGTTGGTGGATAACATTCCCAAAGTAGGCTAGGGGCAAATCTATAGGTGGCCAGGAGCTATTAGTACAGAAACAGATATTTTAATCAATCTGTGTGGAGCTCTGAGTTTGATATCTTCATATGTACAGATTAGCTCCAGGTACTCCAGTTGTCTCCTAAATGCCAAACATTCATTAATGGCATTAGCAACATACACCAGCATTGCAGAAATCTCTTGTAAAAAGTTTTGAGATTCAGTGAGGCTTTTTTGGGTACATTATGGACATTAGTATTGCATATGTATATAACAAACTTAATTTACCACTCTGTGAGTAAATAACACGTATTAAGAGTTTTTTATTGTAAATTGTGAAGGGCTCATTCTGACCAGAATAAACCAGGCATCGACAGAATTGTACATAACCTGTCCATGACTTACGACCCTTGAACTCAGTAAAAATGTGACTGAATGCCAATTGCAATGAGTGCTTGAATGCCTTGCATAAACATCACAGCAATGCACTCTGTGCAGTGACACCTTTGAGCGCTGTTTAAATTTGTAATGTCATTCTGACAAAACCCTCTGCTCTCTCTATTGCTTTTAAAATTCACTGATTCCAGCTTTAACAGACCATTATGAATGCACATGAAGTCTGAATAAATAGTTTATTTGGAATCCATACGCTATTGAGAATTCAAGTTATATATTTTTCAGTGTTCCATAATGGATGCCATATTACAATAAACTGTAATGGCACTTACAGCACAAATTATGAAGTATTTCTCCTCTGCACTGACTGCACTTTAGCTGCTCAATTTGATTAACTTTGAGCTTTGAAAACCTGCAACCCAATCCATGTAATGAGCTTCATCTCTGCACAATCTACAATTCTCCAAACACATTCTCCGACATTACAACCAAAATGTTAAACATCTCAAATCCAGTTTTTCTTGGAAATAATAAACCCCTCCTTTATTCCAAAACTGCAATGTACTGCCAATACAGCAGATTGGTGAACATTATAATGATCTCGACAGGCAATGTGTAGACATACTATATGGATTAAATATCTTCATAAATGTATGCCTTTCATAACAAGTATTGTACATGTACATTCATTATATACCCCATTTCCTATCTCTTGCTTAAAGTTGGTTACAATACAAAAGTAAAATATGTTAAATTAACTCCTGGATCTAGATTACCTACTCGAGATGTAATCAATGTATTGTGAAACAACATAATCAATAATTTAATTAGCTACATCGAGTGCAGATGACATTTTCTCTGTATAACCAAAGATGGCTCATGTAATTGTAATAAAGGACTCGCTCTCAGATGTCGATCTCCGTTGTCCTTTATTGGGTTCGTAGAATCTCGATACCACGGCGTCTCGCTCAGGGCTGCGTCCCGCTCGACGACCTCTCCACAGCCCTCGGCTGCTCCGATATGCAGTCTCCCTGCTCCTCCAATATGCAGTCTCCCTGCTCCTCCGATATGCAGTCTCCCTGCTGCTCTGTTGTATATGTTGGGTATGAAAATTTGTTATGTTGTATGCGTGCGTGGGTGAAATTATTATGTTGTATATGTGGGTTATGAATATTCAGTGGAAATAATAATAATTAAATGAAATTTGGCCAAATGTGTAATTATCCGGAAATATGTTAATTTATGTAATTACGCACATTTTAATTATGCCAATTCGAGAGGTAATCGTATTAATTATGCGAATGGGTGTAATTATGATAATACAAGTCGTTATGATAACCAGACCCCGCCTCGGTGACGAGGGTGGGTTATCGATCGGAATAAGGCAATTAATCGTATGCAGTTATGCAGGTGTGGTGTAAGTATGCAAGATTAACTTAGATTAACTCGGCATCGTTGTCTAGGTTCGTCTCATTCTCGCTTTAACATTCCCAGAGTTTATTCGTGGTTATATTTTTAGGTCCCCGGTTCACCCCGTTATCGCTTTAACATTTACTGAGTATGTATTAGTGTGTTTATTAAGGTCACCAAGTTCAAATCTCAACGCAGAAGCAGATCTTATGCATAGATTTCAGGAAAGAATCACACAACCACTTCTGTATTGATCAATTTATTACTAATTCAACCTTAACTATGATATAGTATGCGAACTCTCAATCCCGGAACGTCAATACGGCATCAATACAGTATCATCAACGATTGTCTGATTTCACTTTGACAACGGCACATGGATCCCGCATAACGCGATGGTTCTTAGTGAGAGAGAGAGTCGTTAAAACATGCAAATATTATGCTAAGAAAACCTTAACGTTAATGAATGATTATACTCAATATTGTTCACGCAGTACCGCACTCCTTATTGATCATACGCAACCCTTATCACGTTGTTAACACCTTGGGTCACGGAACAGTTGAATATTCTGTAGAGGATGCGAGTACGTGCGGCGATTATGACTGAAAGATACTTGAAAGATTATACGGCGATAAAAAAAACACAATCAAAAACAGTTATTATTCTTAAAGGCACCAATCTCAACAGATACATCGGCAGGTTATCTCAGAACGGCTCGGAGTAAGGGCCTGCGACGGTGCTCCTTTTCCGAAGATCGTTATCTTATACCAAGTTTACTAATTGGGGACCAGATCACCTGATAAGGGTCCGGTGGGCCACCACTCCCCACGTGAGCGTGGCTCGGCGGAAGGAGGTGCCAAGAATCAGTTCGTATTGATGGATCTGTTGGGAATTTATGCGATTAAGAGTACAGCCCACTAAATATTAAAGATAAAAATTAAGAATACTCTTATAAGAGACGGAGGGCCATCACTCGGTCTCGTTGTGATGCTTTCCAGCCACGGATGGCTTATGGGTTCGAGTGTTTTTGAGTGGTAAGAGTTGTCTTGAATAGTCAGTGTTCGGAGTCGATTCTTTAGGTCAAACAGACGCCTGGTGGTCGTGTGGTGAGGGGGCGGTGCGCGTCATACGTATCAGTCGCTCCCCTGTCACCGTGGTGGTTCGGATGGCTGTTGATACGCTGTCGCAGTTCGGAACCCGGTCGGTAGGTGGCGCCCACAACTCGCTCGTAGCGTGCAGCGCTGGATCGTCGCCAAACCGCAACGATCACCACTCCGGCGGCAGCAGAGATTTCCGGCTCGGCAGAGGTTGACGAGCTGAAGATGAGTCGAGCCGACCCGCTGGTCGCAGCTCGCTCCTGAGTCGACCCTCCCGGTCGAGCTCGCTCCTGGGTCGACCCGCTGGTCGCCCTCGCTCCTGAGTCGACTCTCTGGTCGCACTCCTGAGTGGACCCACTGGTCGCACTCCTCCTGAGCCGACTCCCCCGGTCGCGCTCCTGAGTGGACCCTCTCGTCACACTCGTTCCTGAGTCGACCCTCCCGGTCGAGCTTCTGAGTGGACCCTCCCGTCGCACTCGTTCCTGAGTCGACCCTCCCGGTCGAGCTTCTGAGTGGACCCTCCCGTCGCACTCGTTCCTGAGTCGACCCTCCCGGTCGAGCTTCTGAGTGGACCCTCCCGTCGCACTCGTTCCTGAGTCGACCCTCCCGGTCGAGCTTCTGAGTGGACCCTCCCGTCGCACTCGTTCCTGAGTCGACCCTCCCGGTCGAGCTTCTGAGTGGACCCTCCCGTCGCACTGGTTTCCAATGCTCAGGATCCTTTACTTTATGCCGAAAAATCCCCCTGGATCCCGCCCACAAGGCGGGGCTTCCGATTTTTGCTGTGTCAGGATCTGTCCGTAGGCAGGTGTGTCCATGTGTGTGTCCGTACGTCCGTGTGTCCTTGTGTGCATCACTGACGGTATATTCCGTTGTCACACTCCCTCCATAAAACCCACGAGCAAACAATCAGATGTTACAAATTGCCTCGAAGTCGTCTCTCTGTCTGGGTGCAATATTATCTCTTGTCTGGCCTTCTTCATGAACCCAAAACACAGACGTTACAAATCGTCTCATAGGCGTCTTTGTTCGTGTTGCACAACCTGGAGGGAGGGGCAACACTCTCTCCGACCCGGCGCACAAAGAAATGGTTAAAAGTTTTAAGTTAACATTTGTCCCTTACTATTTCACAGTTATGATTCTGTATGTAACCTAAGGTCTGTCGTTTCCCATCGTGGTGCTTGACTCCAGTGGAGGTGTCTCCCCGAGCGTATACACACTCCTATCCCGCGCTGCGGGGATACAAAGACGGCCGGGATCTCCCTTTCTCTCCGACCCTGGGTTTAACATCGTTTTTTTTATTATGTATTATATTCGACCTGGTTGTGATTCATCCCGTTATCCTGGCTTTTCCATAAGTTTTACTTTGTCTTTTCATGCATATACTTATTACTATTAATTTATTTCCGATATCTTAGGTTAAGGGGTAAGTTTCTTGATCCTAGGAATTCGTATTCCTTGGTGCCTGGATGGTTATATAAGCGGAATATAGTTTACGGTGAATAGCGTTAACATTGATGTTATGTGCGATATTATGTATTGTGATGTCTTTAACTTAACTTGTTTGTCAGGGCTTTACTGACACGAAGTTGCATTCCATAGCCCGCAGTCTTTGCCCCACCCTATCTCTGCTCGCCGTTGTTGTTGCCGTCCAGCTGCCGTTAATTCAAGGCCTCATTAATTTCCGTCACTCCTGAGTAGGTGAGGGCGGTTGAACCTTGGAGTCAGTTCTGGTTTTTGTCTGCCTGCTTCTTCTTGTGTCCCCTGACCCCGGGAGTTATTATTCTACTTTATGGCCTGTCGAAGCCCCACTCGCTGTTGCTGGGCTGGTGTTGTTCCCGGCTTTTTGCTTACGTTTGCAGTTCGCCGTGCTCTTAATTTCCTTCCCTCGTCAACCTTATATCGACTATTCGCTCCTGTCTGGGTGCGATTCAATTTTGACTTAGGAAGGTTCTGATTGTCATATGCTTCGGGTCGAGTTGTATAGAAAGTATTGAAGTATGGAAATAACATTTCATATTGACTTAATAATGGTGATGGTTCAGTAGGCGTAACTTGTGGCCTGGTTTAATTGGAGTGGGTGTGAATATCAATAACTTTAGCCTACCCTGTTGTTAAATTCCGACTTTAACGTTACTTTAATAGCAATACAGAATAATTGAGCTTTTTGTCTTAACTAGGCGAATGCGAACTTCTGGTGACCCCCGCAGCCTTGTTACTCAGCTGGGTCTTGCCCGCCTTGAGAGATATACAACCCTCTTCTAAATCAGCCCTCCCCCTGTCCAACCTTCTGCTCTGGGAGTGTTATTCTTGATTCCAGGTCCAAGGCCCCCTCACATTCAGACGCGCAGGGTTGTTTACATCAGCTCCCCCCCCTGTGCACGTGTTCTAACTAGCTCGGAATCCCTGAACACACAATCAGTGATGATTCCTGGCTTTCTGTGGTTATGATTTAGACAAAGGCGCCTCTGTCTTCTTCCATTGCCTTTGAGTCGACACTGCCCTATTATTTGCCCATGTGCTGAGGTCATAGAATTCGTTTTGACTTCAGTAATATTAACATTCAGTATTGGATTAGCAAATGGGCAATGGTTCATTTATGTAGCTCGCAGCCTGGTCTCCAATTTGAGCGAGCGCGAGGATCGATAATTTAGCCTACTCTGTTGTTGAATTTCGAATTTTGACGTTACTTTAAAACCATGCAGGATGGTTGGGCTTTTTGCCTTAACTATGTCTGGCTGACACTCCCACTGTCTCTGCCGCCTGCACGGGTGACATGTGCCCGTTCATCAGGCCTTATCTTTCCTTGAAGCAAGGTTGCAAATTCTGCCATCCTAGCCCTCCTCCAGTTCATTACTTAACAACACCTGGTGTTTTGCAGTTTGCTGCGCTTGGTGTGTTTCAATCATTAAAAAAACAAGTAAAAAGATAATATATAAAAATCATCAAATATTATTAATCTCAATTATGGAAGAAGGGTTAGGATACAACAGCTCCGTTAGGCAATCCTTGCAGCCACACCGCTGCTCCGCTATCTAGCGTCACTGCTGCCCCGTACACAGCTAGCCTCTCACAGCCCCGTTAGCTCTCTCCGTCTGACACCGATGGCTGACGGTGTCGACGTCTCCCACCGCGTGGCGACCGCGCCACTCTCTCCGTCTTGCCCAGCGTGGCCTCATCGTGTTTCACTCCGTCTCAACTCCCCCTTCCCCTTCCGGTTCTCTCCCTAAATCCTCTCACCCACGTGACCCTAACTCCACCCACTCCCCACGTGACCCAGACTCCGCCCCCCCTCAATCCTTGCTCGCATTACATAATTATAACTGGAGGGGATTGCATAGTATATCTATTGCATCATGACACCTTGAGACTTTTTGTGAAAGGTTTCCCGAATATGTAAGTGCAAATAATATTTATCATCACAGCTCCTAAACACAACAATTTTTTCTGCTCAAAACTAATATAGACGTGACAAATACCCCACTTATCTGAAAGAACTGTGCACATTTATGTTAGCCCATCATACATGCAGAGTTGAACATGAGAACCTCACCTTGAGCAGCCTCAGGGTCAGGTGAGTCCCCGTCCTCTCCGGCCACCAGGCTGAAGAACTCTTGTAAATTCTCCCCCTCGGCTCGGGCCAGGGACAAGTTACTGAGCTTCAGATTGCCCGGTCCATCGAGCATAATCTGTGGATATCAGTGTCATTGGCAAGTGCCATTTGAAAGTTTGATAGACGGCATTATTTTGTCCCAGACACCACGGTGTGTGCTCGTAGCCAGGACGTTTAGTAATACTTTTGCTGTGTTCAGTTTCTGTTACTTGTACATTACATGTATTCTAAAAACTATACATCATTCAAAATGCAATTAATGAAATATATAAACATCAAAAAAAAATGTACAAATCCATTATTTGCATAAATGTATTGTTATGGTCATTATCATAATTTCCTATACACTTCTATATTCAGGAATTCTCATTTTGACACAATACCATGCTGTCCTATACAGCTGTAATTCACCTTCTTCCCAATCCAGCCATAATTTAATTGCTTAGTGGCACACTGTTTATAAGCTTTACTATTTAATATATAAAATTGCAATATGGTACAATATGGTACACATCAAGTCAGGACGTTTAATTAACGTTTTGTTATTGGAGCTAATGTGGGTGCATTTAGAGTGGAGATGAGTGCTGTCGAGGTCCAGAGCGCATTGTGCAAAGGAGATACTTTGACTTTGTATACTGTATAAAGCCTAATGTAGGAGCTTGCTTTACCTGTTTTATTCAAACTAGCAAATATAAAACCTCTTAAGTATCTAACATAATAAAGTACTGTCAATTACAACGAAATAAAGTTTAACCTTTGCTGGGGTGAGGTCACTGAAGATGATGCCAAGCTCATGGATGTGAAGCAGGCCGCTCACAAGGTCAATTCCAAATTCCCGCACGACATCCTCTGGGAGGTGCTTGTCCTGGGCAATCACGGCATCCAAAGAACCCCCTTCCAAACAGCACACAAAGAGACTAGCCTTCAGACAGCCTATGATCGCACAAGGTTCACATTAAGTAGCACAACAGGTGATGAAGCACTACTTAGCATTACAGATCTATGCAGAGGATGACAGAAATTTAATGGCAGGACAGGTTCAGCAACTTGGAACGTTGACTTCACGTCACTTAACATTGGGGTTATTTGTAGAACGTACCTTCTGTGACCCTAGACATGCTACATTCACCAAGGAGGGTATGTGGTGTTGCTGTCATGCCAACCGCATGGCGGCGACTGCTGCTGCCGTGTCATGCTGACATGCACTATGTCTTCGGCAACAACCACACAATACCTGTGACCTGTGGTAGCTGGAGCCGGGTGTTTCTCATTGTTACAAATGACGTGGCCAGTGACCACGTGCAGTGGGAGGAGAGGGCTTCTATGTATTAAAGGCAAAGCGGATGAGTAGTACACCACCCATGTTATATGCAGGTGACGTTCACAAGCTCTCCATCGGGAGTTATTGAGTGCTCGTGAAACAAGCCTTCCACAAGTCTTGGGGTTGGATTCACAACACATGTAAGTCAAGTTTACATTCACTTTGTTGGATTTATTTTTGTTGTATTATATGGAGAATACATTTAAAATGTATTCCTCATTTTAAAGTCACTCTACAAATTCATAATTTAACAGTTTTAACAGCATATTTTGTACTATAAATATTTTCTTAGAGTAGATGTAATTGTTCAAATACAGCCTGCAAAAAAGTTTAATAAAACATAATACTGTAATGTTTAACAAACATAAACCATTGGGTAAAAAGGGATATGTTTCATAATTTAGACCAAAATTGTTTCAGTGTATTTCACACAATTATCAGTAGTATCAATCCCCATGAGAGACACGTGCAGAGGTGTTAATCCAGCAATTAATTATGTGATTATATGTATGTGTAGTGACATCGGGGATGTCACTGTATGGTGCCAGGCCCGGGAGGGTCGTGGCGTGCGATGTTCCTACGTCGCGGACAGCACCGGGTGGGTTGCTGTGTGATGCCGGCTCTAGCACAGCACGGCGTGCGATGCACCGTCATCGGGTGTAGTACCAGCCTTAGCCGGGCTTGGTGAGCGCTGGGATAGCGTGGGCACCGCGCATAGCGTGTAGTGCGGGCTCCCACAAGGGGGAGCGGGAGAGTGTCAGCCCAGGGACAGGGTTGCCCCGGGCCATGGCACTCTAGTTGACCCGGGCCATGGCACTCTAGTTGACCCCGTAGACACGTGATCCGGAGTGTCCACAGAGAGGGTCCCAGGTGGGGGGGGGCTAGGGGGTGATCACGTGTCTGGGGAGAGCTCTCGAGAGGGATCGAGGGAGCCAGATCGCTCGAGAAGACAGGTAGGGCCTGGGTGGAGCCAGCTCCGACCCGGGAGGATATAAGGTGGGTCTCTGAAAGGGACCGGGGTCGCTTCGTTCTACAAGCTAGAAGCTCCACATCCTACAAGCTGGAAGCTCTACGTCCTACAAGGCATCTATAGTATCTACTAAATCTGATGCAGTATATACTGACTGTAGTGGTATCTACTGACTGTAGTAGGAGCTACTGAATCTATAGTAGTATCTAGTGACTCTATAGTGGTATCTAGTGACTCTAGTGGTATCTAGTGACTCTACAGTAGTATCTACTGACTATAGTAGTATCTACTAACTCTATAGTAGTATCTGTCTCTATAGTTGTATCTACTAACGGTACAGTAGTATTTACTGACTATAGTAGTATTTGCTAACTCTAAAGTAGTATGTACTGACTCTATAGCAGTATATACTAACTCTACAGTAGTATCTACCTACTCTACAGTTGTATCGACCTACTCTATAGTCGTATATACTGACTCTATAATAGTATCTATCGACTCTATAATAGTATAACTACTAACTTAACAGAGTGCCATGGTGAGGCCTAGTCCCGTGCAGAGCCCTGGCCTCGCCTAAATTTCCCAGCTGGCCAAGGTGGTACCTTGGCTGGCTGGTGCTGGCCTGCTACCCCACCCCCCACCACCCCCCTCCTACTCTACAGTAATAGTATCTAAGGACTATAGTAGTATCTACCGACCCTATAGTATTAAGTTCACACATTGGGGTGGGAGGGGAGAGAAGAGGACATCACACTGTGAAGAATTTACCTCAATGTTGTGTTATTTTTGCATTTTGAACGCAAATGAGAATTCCTCCCCCCCATCCCCACCGATAATGTGTGTGTTGCTAGGGACAAGACCAGACTGCTTAGAGACCTGGGAATTAAGGGCCAGAGCCAGCGTTCGGCAATCAGAGCTGTATCGGAGGCGGCAGAAGGCAGCAGTCAGTGGCTCTGGATGAAGAGGAAAGACCCCAGTTGGGCCCCAAAGTGAGAGGGCCAGGAGGTATGCAGTCAACAATGCTTGACTCAGGGAGGAGGACGCCCCTGCCATGCATAGTCCCATGGGATGTTGGCTATCAACAAGGCAACTCCTATGACTAATTGGGAATGGGACGCAAGCGTAGGATTGATCACCCTGTCGCTGGCCGCCTTTGGGGAGGGTGTATAGTATGAAAGGCCGAAACACCCTAGGAACCAAAGGTTCACTACTGACGATGCGCTCCCCAAATTTCACCAGGCTCACTGTTCATGAACTCTTGGAAGTGCTTGCACAAAGGATAGTAACATCTCATCCTGTGTTCTTGGAATCAAATTTGGAATCTGAGCATGCGCAGATGCGCGATTTGGCGCTGCCCTCAGTGTAGTAATATAACAATAATACATTGTTAATTTAACTACTTTACATTTTACGGATGGGAAAAACAAATAGCAATGTTTCGTCCGGGGGCTTATTGCATCGTATGTGTGTATTTTGTTGAAACGTAAACCCAGCAGTTTGTCAGTTTAATGTGTCACAAGGTGTGTCCACACAGACAGACAGACACACCGATAAAAAGTGACTTTTATAAGTAAGATAGTTCGGTATGATGTCTAACATTTGGTTCATGTGTTGTGAGCTTCTTCCTTCTGTTCCTGAAGAGCTAAATAGTTGACAGTGCTACATTGCCAAGATTGCTGTCACATTTACCGGTTAATTAATATTAAATACTGCTATACTAGATAATCTATGTAGCTTGGGGTAAGGAAACACAGGCACTGCACAAAGTTTATATGGTTCACATGGTACCTGTGCAGAGCTCCACCACCAGCCACAAGTGATTGCTGGTCTCGTACCACTCAAGAAACTGCACAATATTCTCATGAATAACTTCATGGGTTAACCTCACCTGTAATCAAGTCAAATAGGCAAGTGTCAATATTATCAAACGAGGCACATTGTGTATTATTGTATGTGGCTGGGTGGCACCGACCCAGACTCAGAAAGGTCATGTGATCAAATCCTGATCAGAGGTCAACTCAGCCTATCGTCCTAGGTTTTTATATTTATACTACTTTGTGGGAAGTCAATAGTGATTGCCCTAAAGAGAAATAGCCCCCACCATATAGACTGTTTACCTCTGGCTAAGGGCCACACATAGCTGCTGTCCAAATGCTCATGGAAACAAATTGTAATACGAATTTGTTTTATGTTAGGAAAAGATTTATATTCATAACATATTTTTCTTACAATTCTTGTATTTTATGTAATTACCGGACATAAAAATATGCTTTTTAGATCAGCCAACAAATCGGCACCAAGAGCCTGGAACATACCCTGTTCGTAATTTGTGGGCGTTTGCACTTTTCAACGCACAGGATAGCCACAAAGTTGATCGTTCCTTTCCGGCGCCCCTTGTAGACCACGGTGTGACGGCCTCGGCCAATCTCCTCGTAAAGGACAAAGTTTTCCATTTCACTTTACTGCAATAGAAGATCCAAGCAAATGGCAGCACAATTAACACACCAGGTTGTTTCAGCATAATTCGCACCTTGAATTGCTTCAGTTTACTTTACAAAAAAAAATACAGAATTATTTCAGTACTCCTTTGTTTAAATTAGTCGATATAGTAAAAAAGAATTCTGAACCATATCAGCTTTCTCACATGTTTGTATTTTATAGTGAAAACCCTATGCCATACAAATTGACCTATTCCAGGACAAACGAATCAGTCCATAATTTCTCCAGGGCCACTAAAGTACGTACCGATGACAATTTAACAGTGGCGGTTTCAGTAAATAAAATCCCACGCCATGGGGAATTTCCTTTTCAGCACTTCCATGGGTGCTGGAGACGAGCCCAGCCTTATTGCTTACTTAAATATGGAGCCAATTTGGCTATTGAGGACTGTCGTGTAAACAACGTACAGCACTGTACACAAAATAGTAGATGACATAGAGTCCAGTATAGTACACAATATAGGTATATGAGTAGTGGCATAGTGGTTAGCACAGCGCACTATGAATTCTAGATTTGAAGCTTTCGTGACTGCAAGGATTCATAATCTTAGGTTTTTCCGGTAAAGTCACGTAGGTAAAAATAAATAATCAAATAATAGAAATAATAATAGTTATTTATAATTCTTATGATAGTTAAATAATAGAAATAATTATTAAAACTATTATAATAGTTATAATTATTATTTATATTATTTTAATAGAAAGAAAATAGAAATAATAATAGTTTGTATTTATTTTTACCTACGTGACTTTACCGAAAAAACCTAAGAGTAGTGCACTATGAACCATTCGACTCAATATAGTATTTATTTCGATTTAAAGCTTTCGTGACTGCAGGGATTCATATTCTTGGTTCTTTCGGTAAAGTCACGTAGAAGGGAAGTAATAAAATAATAAAACTATATTATATTATTATGTTATTTTATTTTATTATGTTTTATTTTTATTATTTTATTACTTCCCTTCTACGTGACTTTACCGAAAGAACCAAGAAGATAGTATTTATTGTATTTTGGTTTCCACAATACAGTATTTAATCAGGTTGCCAGTCCCACTCACTGTATGACGTGGACCAGTCCATCCACGTGGAAACCGCAATACAGTCATTGTACTATACAGCGGACACGCTCTTTATAATACCACAGTATTGTATACATTTAATTAATGTGCACATATAAAGTTCAGTATATAAACCCTAACTAGTAATAGTACAGTACGTACAGTGCAGCAGTGACAACTCCAGAACTGGGTGCACCATGAACCGTGCAAGTGAACTCTGTAAACGGCGACAACGACGACAATGAGGCACTCGAATGTAGGTCTGGGTGATAGAATAACAATCAAGAAGTTATTGAATGTAAAGCTAATCGATGATTCACGATAGCAATGAAGAAGATACTTGCGTTGTGGGGCTTCCAGCGCGTCTCGCTCGGCTGTTGGGCTCGACCATTGCCTGGGTGGAGGGGGGTTCAATACCAACAACGAAATAACAACATCATTTAAGTACAATGTTCGTTACTCACGTCCATTACAATTACAAATAAAATATAGTATAATTGAAATTGTTACAATTAATCACAAAAAACGCGTTTTTGGGTGGTGAGGTTGTTTTAATGTTTGGCTATTAAGACCTTCCACCCCCCCCCTACCTCAAATGTAGAATAGACTATTCCTGCAATAACGGTTGCCATGGTATTCTTGGTTCTTTCGGTAAAGTCACTTAGAAGGGAAATAATAAAATAAAATGTTCTTTTATTTTTTAATAAAATATAAAACGTGACTTTACCGAAAGAACCAAGAAGATGAATCCCTGCAGTCACGAAAGCTTTGAATCGAAATTTACCAATATTTTATTATGTTTTATTTTTATTATTTTATAACTTCCCTTCTACGTGACTTTACCGAAAGAACCAAGAAGATGATTTACCAATATTGTTTAAATTTTAAACTTTTCCACTGGTTTAAAAGCTGTTTTGCTATGTAAAGTGACTGAAGTGCGCTTGCTTGTAAGTGGCAGGGGTTCGTAGGTATACTGTCGTTGAATTAGAAAGTTTATGCTCTGGCTCATGCACCATTCCCACGTACATTACTTCCATAGCTGTCAACCCATACGGTTTACCCGTATTCTTGTAGTATAATTTGTTTGTGTTTCTCCCTTGTGATGGGACTTTGTAGGATGAACCAATAAGATCTGAGTTGGTCTGTACCGTAATAAGGTAGGCACTGATCAGGTGTTGACAGGTGTGTACTTAAGTGATCAACATTTATCTTTTAATATGTTGCTGCAACTCATTACACATGCCTGAGGGTATTTCTAGAGACAAGTACAAGCATCGTGTAATGCTTATTATGTACGTGTCACAAGATATAGCATTGGTTATTTTTTGTACGTCCGGTATGTGGTACGAAAGCAATGATTCTATTTATTTTATTGACAGCAGGGGGCAGCATACGAGTACCAATGTTTCTCAGGCAGTGTTCTTTTGAAGCGACCCATTGAAATCTTTATCAGTACTGTATGTAGTGCATTCTCTTGTAGGTGTTTTGTTCGGACCTTAATAAGTACATGGTTATTGTCGTTTCAAGTTGGATATTAGGGCCACCCTGGCACACATGAGCCTACTCTTGCAAAAAGCGTTGAGGGTTTTTAATGTTCACTTTAGAATTTCAAGGTGACTACTCTTAGGATATTGGACTTTCACAAAATTGACTCAGTGCCTGTGCTTCAAATATATTAAAATGTGTTTAAATTGATTAATTGCAGGCCTTATGGTCTGAAACCAGTACATATTTTCATGCCAACCAAACTCTATTCACATTTAAAGTGGAACAAAGTGTATAATGAATGGGGGATTATTGATGTGAAAGCATGGACCAACCCAGCCCTCAAGGCCAAAAATTATCCATCCCTGTCTGAGCATCAAATGTCTCTCCTATTTCACATGACAGGACATCTCTAGTGGTCTTTGGCACACTATGCTTGCTCGATATATACAATAATCATTTGGTTTCATATGAATATAATATATTTCAGTATGTTGTGTGAATTGTGAAAGTTGTAGTTACATATTGTATTATTTTTCACGGTAATTTATTCATGAATTCAGTCAAGTGTCTTCCTGCTCACATAACCATGGAGTGGTTTTCATATTGGCAGCTCCTGAGCCAATAGAAGATATTCCACATTTCTATATCAGGAATTATGCAGTTTCTCCATAGGTCGATCATTTTTGGTATTTTATGATGGGCTAAGTCAACTCCTGACCAGGAATTGAACCCACAGGACCACCCAGCTGCATATTCTCGATATTTACCCGACTCCAATGGATTTAACTTGTATCAACACCAAGTGTATTAGATTTACACAAACCACAAAACAATAGTTGTACAATTTTACTGAAAGTACATTAAATGGCAATTATAAAACCTCTACTGTCCTGTACTGTAACGCTGTACCTGTTCTATACAGCATTTATTCACTTCTGCCACACCTTTCCCCCCGAGGGGCAGTTACATTTCTGGTTTGCACATTAAAAGCAAGTCGAAAGTGAGGTGTGTTCTATAGCCTATGAAGGCGTAGGTTCTCTGAACTTAAAGAATTTTTAAATATCAAAAAACCATGTCAACCTTTTAGTATGTCACGTCCTAAAAGCCATAGCCAAAACCGCTTTTGTTGCTTGAAACGTCACTCTAAGAGACCGCCTTTCAAGATATTCAATGGGCACACTACGAGAGGGATGTGGCTCCTTCCTCGGCATGGATACAAGTTCTATTTATGGTTTGGAAGACGATAATGATCCAGTTTGGTTGCACTGTGGAAAGTGTTCCAATCAGGTTGCATGTTCAAAACCTGGTTGTGGGTAGACTTCACACAATCACCACACTTATAAGGTCGTCAATTAATTATAACTGCACAGTACTGTATTTAGTGGGAAGTCAGCAGTGCTCCTCCTATGGAAAGACGGATCGGAATGCGGTATTTCCACCACTCAAATTTCGATTTAAAGCTGTCTTTCCGACAGACCGTTCTTCACCTGAGGACGGCTGCTTGCGTTGTGGCCGAAACGTCGTGAGAATTATTTTATTATGTTTATTATTTTATTATTTCCCTTCTACGTGATTTTACCGAAAGAACCAAAAAGATTCCACCACTCAGTTCAGTTTCATTTACTTATCTGGTATAGCCCTGTGAGCCATTCGGCTCAGGGTTGCCAATAGAGATGAGTACCGCTTCACTCTCATCTGTTCAAGGAAACAAACTTCGATGACATTTCTATTGAATGCTCGCCCGCATCACGAGATGGAAAGCAATACCCCTGCCCGCATGGCACCGGCGGTATTGGGCAATCCACAGCTCTCACTGCACGTGTGACGCAAGCCACGCTCGTGATGTCAGTCGTGTCAATAATTGACTTGGGGCACCACCGGCTGTGCTTGTCCCGTTTTGCAAGATCCGGATCCATCGCACCTATCTTGTTAGCACTCGGCGTGTGTTATAACGCCTGTTTCATTACATTGGATCATTTAATCTGTACTTTTTAAGGTTTTTTTTTCTACTGTGTCGTTTGTTCTGTTTGAACTGTTGCACTGAATGTAGTCTCTGTCTTGATTGCATGTTCTGGACTGGCCCGTCTCGCACACATAAGGGGCCGTCCATAAATGACGTCACGCACCCGGGGGGGGGGGGTCAGACATTTGTGACGATGTGTGACGATGGGGGGGAGAGGGTTTGAGAAATGTGACGTCACATTAAAATGCGCAACTTTAAATAAATATAGACAAAACGTTCTACTTAATTAAATATACTTTTTAATGTTTTCTCCTACAACATCAGAGTGCAGCGCCACATTAAATACGCACTACAATGACAATAGTTTAAAGATATTTGAAGAATGTTTTATATTTGGGGGGGGGGGGCAGAGCTTTGTGACGTCATATTTGAGGGGGGGTCTGATTTTCTGTGACGCCGTGTGACGAAGCGGGGGGGGGGGGGGTCAAAAATCGTCCAAAATTTCGTGACGTCATTTATGGACGGCCCCTAAGTTGTCCTGTTTGTACTGTGAACTATTTCGCTTGTACTGATTTTCTCATTTGTACTCTCTTGTCTAACCCGCACTTATCTTATGACTTGTCTGCACTTATTTGAACCACCATCCTCGTTTGTACTGGTCGCCTTGCCTCTAGTGACTTAGTCCTGCATCGTTCGATTTACTTATTATATTGCTTCGCCTACAGCAACTCTCTCTGCTCTCCACAAAACCCTAATCTGCAAATTGCACACCGAAAAATGAGACTGCATCAATCCAATCACTGCACTACAATTACCGTACTCCATTGGCTCCCAATACAATTCCAGATCAAAGTCTACCCCGCGTTTCTTCGGCCACACTTGTCTGTACTGCCACGCATGTCAGCACTGCCTTACTTGCCTGTACTTCACACACGTGTCAGTATGTACTGCCCCCCCCCCCCCCACGTGTCAGTGTGTACTGCGCCCCACGTGCCTCTAATGTCCGTACTCAAGTGTCCCGTAGTAGTGCCACTCGCTGCTTGTACCAATCTCAACCATCTCAAACCCTACTCTTTGGTTCTTTCGATAAAGTCACGTAGGTATAAAATAAATTAAATCACGACGTTTCGATTGCAACTAGCCCTCGGCAAGGTAAGGTAAAAGTTAAACGGTAAAACAACAAGACAAAATCTACCCTACCTTTTACCTTACCACAATACAATCGCTCTACCCTACCTTTTACCCTTTAGCAGGTAAGGTAAAAAGCAACGAGCCTACCTTTACCCTACCCTTTACCCTTATCCCATACAAATTACCCGATTACAGGGAAATTACTGGGGTACAACACATGAAAAAGGTTTATAATGATAAATGCTAGGTAGAGCGCTTTATACATATAGAATACTCTCGAATCGGGCGTTGAGGCTGTCGACGACACTGTCCTCCATAACCTCCTCGTCCCAGTCGTCTTGGTCGATGGCGATCTCATCAACAACCTGATTAAGTTCGTCATTGCCATCGTCCTCGGACGAACGACAGGCAATAAGATCCTGCGCCGCTCCGGCCCAGTTAGACAGAACCTTCAGGCAGCCGACGCCGACCTCCCGACCTCGCTGCCTGAGTCGAGCACGTTGTGCTTCTTGAGGTTGGCTTTCCACCCCGACACGTTCGTGCCGCTTCCCTTGCTGTACATTGGGATCACCCTCCATCCAATGGCGTGTGTGCTCGCACGGGAACGCATGCCGCTGCCTCTTTCGATTGCTGTTCGCAGCAACCCCAAAGATGCCGTTGCTGGCATCATCGTCCTCTAGTACCTCTACCTCAAGAACGTGGACCGTCTCCATCTGGTCCGACATCAATTATCGCAATTTATAATGGAGG